ACACCTTGTATTTGGGACTACACCCAACGTATAGTCTATTCCCGACCAAAATTCTCGAATACTTCCAAATAAAGACAGCTCATAAACTTAACGGATGAGATTTTGAGTAATAAATATTATGGTTTTGCCTTCGTCCATAATGGGAAGGGTTGTAACAATAGATAGGGTTATCAACGCGTGATATGAATTTTTATGCATTTTCTTTTCGTGTGAGTGTCCTGCGGATGTCGTGGCGGCCATGGGAGGATTCCAACGAAATTTGGTTGCCCTGCGCATTCTTTCCCAAAAGGGTGGCACTCACGTGTCAATTCCAGTTAACCACTTTATGGCTACCCAATAATAGTGTCAGGGGGAATCCATATCCGAGAATTTTGGTCGGGAACAGGCTATATAGTCTGCATCCTGAATCCTTGTGCAGCGGCCTGCTCGTCGGAGAACCGCCATAAAAGGGATTAGCACTTGTCAACTGAGTTGATAGAAGACTCCAAAAACGAAATTTCAGAGAAAGAGGGATGTGAGGACGGGCCATAAAGCTCGGGCATTTGCAAACGAAAATTCCCCTTCGTCAACATTATTGCTCTCATTTGTCACCATCGGCAGTGACACTCATCTCATGAACCTCATTGCCCTTCGACTCTTTGAGAGTCTACCGCGTGCACAAAGGGATTCAGGATATGGACTTTTTAACCGTGGGTGGCGGTTATGCGTTGGCGTGGTCTGCCTACTCAGCCAATCCGGAGGCATGTGCGAGAATACGGGGAAAGTCACAGATGTTGGAGCCGCCTTAACGTGGCTAAAGGGAAGCCCCGTGTCGGATCTAGAACCCCCTCAAAGGAAACGACTCTCCCAATCTCTCACCTTGTCAGACCTGTCATGGAAGGGGTAAATTCGCCCAATGACAAACGATAGAGGTCATCCCTAGCTCATTAGACCTGGTCTCCCGCGTTTCCCGAGACGTGGATTCCCATCACCTGCAAAGGTTTCCTTCCCCCTTCCAAGGATCTAAAAATTATGCCCTCGTTAGCATCCTTTGCGTTTCGGCAGGTGGTTATTATATCTGGGAAGCTGAGGCTTCAATTCGCGAGACGATAAAACACCAGACTATTTTTGAGTGAGTTCGTGAGTATGCGTGGCATGATATGAGGGCAGGAATTTGCATTGGAACTTTTTGTGTTGTTTTTTTTCCATTTCGATCGACGGAAGTCGATGGCTTATATGCTTATTAATATTCGGCGTTAATAGCTAGGAAAAAAACCCACAGCGAATCCAGGCTTTTCAAGCTTCTCACAGGGAGATGAGTGGAAGGAGCCAGTTTATAAGAGGGAAAATGGATTAACTGATTTTAATAATAATACCAATCTGCAGTTGAAGCTGATTTCAACTTCGCGTTCGGTCACTGTCCAGTCGAAGTGAAGCTGCAGTCGTTCCATTGTCCTAATCGTGTCGTAGTTTCAGCCGACTAAGATGACTTGACTGGACAGAAACTGGGATTTTAAAAGCATTATTACAGTTGCGGTTCCTCGATGTTTAACAAGGAGTCCCTTCTATTCTATTCTTCTCGTTCATTTTCCCACCTCTGACCACCAAAACAAAGATAGAGTACTGTTTTGAATGAGGGACCCAATCCTTAAAATGGGGAGATTCCCTATCCAGTATGCCTCAGTCTCCCCCAAGGCGACGGCGACCAGACAGGTGGAAACGGGCCTGCACAGTTCCATAGGTTCCATCGTAGGCTTTCTTATCGTCAACGAGACCTTGAAGAACGAGAACCCTTCAAATCTCCCGTGAACAATAGCTGAACCACGAGCGTGACCTATGACCAGGGAATCACAGATCAGGGAATAACAGAAATTTGAAATGAACCCGGACTGATATGATCCCACTGACCTGACAAGGGAAAAAAAAAATTTTAAGCGAGGCTCTCAAACCGATTTTCATTTTAATTTCTTCCCTAGTTTTTCATCGATTCATCATCGACGTAAATCAACATTTACAGATAAAAATTAAAAAATATTTCGAAATTTGAACCCTTTCGTGGGCTCGAAGCGCCATGCCTGTCTATGAATTCCCATCGAGCCTCCGCGGTTGCCTTGGCTGTCGTTGGAAAAAAAGAGACAGAAACGTTGCCTCTCGTGGCCCATTCCACCTTTGTGACCACCATGGGGTAAAAGAGCAGCCTGGATAGCCTTTGCCTATTTCCCTTCTCAAATCCTGAGCCATGGATTTTCGCGCTTCTTCAAACAACAAATATTTGCCCGAATTCTATTTATTTTTTTTCCTGAATCAAGAGCGGGAAAGTGGTCATATTTCTTCCCTGCTGGTTGAAGCCGCTCGTCCGCTTCAAAGGAAATGTTCATTGCTCGGGCTCAAGGGGACAAAAGGATGATCCCCTAATCCCTTCGTCTCCGCTTTGTACTTCAAACCGGCTGAAAACGCCTGTTTTCGTGCTATCGCATGAAAATTCGGATGATCAGGTGAAGGGATGGAAAATGACAATAATCGTGTTGGCATACAATCCTATCCGCGGTAGAAGTGGTTTCATTCAGGGGAGGGAGACGTTTGCACGCTCAGAGGTTCCACGACACACTATAACGGGAAAGGATGCCAACAGCATGAGAACGAAAAAGGACCATTGTTCGTGACGAATTGTCTGTTTTCGTGTATATGTGTGTGTTTCTGCGTCTATCAGCTGAAGATAAAGTCAACGTATGCAGGAGTGCTGTAAATCTCTGCACGAGAGCGACCTGCAAGCATGTGCGACCCGTGCGGAGGTCGCCATCCTTCCCTAGATAGGTTCCCTACGTCAGTGATTTTCAACTTTTTTAGACTTTCAATTCCTTTATTTGCTGACGGCACACTTTGTATCGTTCAAAATTCCCTCGGGTGTTGCTCGGAGGTGCGGGGGGGGGGGGGGGGGGGGGGCCTGAGCAGAAACCCCCCGTCGTGGGCTTGAAAACTGTCATTGGCCCTTGATAATTCAGCGAAGAAAAAAAAAAAGGTTTCTTCTCGTATTTTCCCTCTTCGAAAACTTGAAAATCACGTGACACATCTGAGTTTCGCTGACGGCGCACCTGTGTGCCACAGCACACGGGTTGGGAAACATCGCCCTACATAATGGAAATGACATATCTCACATAACTGGCACATTCACGTTTGTCCTGTTCAGGCCTTCCCTAATGATCCTTCGAGCCATCCTAAGACAAAAGTCGGGGGAGCTACTGACATACCGTAGCGGACACCGAGTTTCCTCCACTCTGCAACTACATTATCTTCGTTTTCTCGTTTGTGATAACTGATGAGAACCTACAAGGTGTGGTCCATTTCTAACAGAGGTCCCCTGGCTCGATAATCATGCAAATATTCATTATGGGAAAATATGTTCGAACGCACGCCAGATCTGCGGGGAAAATTCGGGAGAAGTCGCAATAAAAATGTACTTCCGTGGGCTGCACTGCTTATATGGCCGCGTAAGAAGCGAGCTATTTCCTAGGCATGTCCACTGCACCTTTCAGCAACTCATTACGGACTAGAAAAGCATACATGCGAGCGGGGCCTTCGTCAAGTAATGCTTTTCATGCCGCGGGAAGGATTTATTGGTTGCAAGGAATGGTGAACGATGAACTTTCACTGTCTCCGCCGAGCGTGACTCGATCAGTCCATGTCCGAGTCGTCCTGCGTCGTCGATCGAACGATAGCACAAGTATGATTTCGAGCAATGGAGGATTTCAGGGAAAACTTTTCGAACCGGCAAGACGAGCTTTTCAGCGGGCTTGTACACAGTAAACGCGAAGCATCACCAATTGGGTCATTCAAGCGTCAGGGTCAGGCGTGAAGCTTACTTATACTGTGCTCATCGAGTGCTTTTCCGGACCGTGGAAGAAGCAGTTTCCACCAGGGCCGCCCAGAGGGGGGGGGCAAAGGGGGCAATCTCCCCCGGGCCCCGCGTATCAAGGGGTCCCAAGGGGGGCCTCCAAAGGGCCTCAAGGGGGCCTCCAAGGGGTCTCCGGCTTAATTTTGCCCCGTGCCCCTGGAATCCTCTGGACGGCCCTGGTTTCCACTGTACCTTATTACAGCAGATGGTCACCTTTCCGCATGTCTGATGACCCGCTGCCTCTGGCCTCTGCTGAGTAAATAATCCTTAGTTGAGGTCCCTCATTTTGAGAGTAACGTATATATATTTCTAGAATACTATTTATTAGGGGTGCCCTCATGACAAAAGTGTCTCTCAGCTCGGGGAGTAATGTGATTATGGGGCATTTCTGTAATGTTCAGGCTGTCGGTTCGCGTCCGTTTCAAGTTTCAAATGCAGTGGACGGTATGGGCGAGATTCTGATCGCTCTCAGGGAGATAATAGAGGAACCAATGATATAAGTCATGTGGCAGCAGTGTAAAAGCAACAAAGGAGCTTCAACACCAAGTTCGCTTGCATTTCGTGTTCTCATCGCTTTAAATTCAAACCCGTTGCGTTTCGGGGACCTCAATAAGTAGGTGTGTGTCGGACCTGTAGGTAGGAATCGTTTACCGATAAAAGACGCCTTCGTGAAGCGCACTGAAGTTCCTTTTTTCTCAATGTTCTACCCCGTGGCCTCCTTGCAAGGCGGAAGTTGGACAAGCGTTACGTGGCGAAGGAAACGAGAATGGCAGCAGACGAGGGAGACAGGAGGGTGGGGGGAGGAGCAAGTCGTCTCGTCTCCTCGCACGTGCTACGTGAGACTCTGCATGTGCTGGCGGCTCTGAGGCGGTTCATTCCATTCAGGAGCGGGGTCTTGTTCTTGTGTTTCATTGCTCTAGCGCAGGAAGGGATTCCCTAAATATAATCTTCGAGGTTGGTGTATGTAAACGCCGAGGAAAGATAAATGTTTGAACGGCAGAGTAAATTCTTGGTGGATCGATGCGTTAAAAGAACATTAGTAGTTTGATGAACGTGTTCAAGGTGCATAGGTGGACAGTCAGTGGACCCTGTTATTAGTCGGTGATGGTGTGGAAATTTAAGTTGCATCATGGGTGATATTTTTCTATCTCGAGATCTCCGGTGTTTGCTTCACGACAAACGAATCCTGCTTCTTGGAGACTCGAGTGAGTGTTTCCCCAGTTTTTCCATTGATTAAAAAGGGCAAGCTGTCCTCTTTATTCTGCAAATATTTCAAAGCGTAACAACCTGCTTTACAAAACGCTACTTAATGAAATGATCTTCATGATTACAGACATGAGAGCTATCTACAAGGATTTCATCGTTCTTTGTACGGAGAACAGCATGATTACTGAAGAGGTTTTAAAGGAAAAGGTAAGTAAAAAATCAGGTGTCTTGCAGGTCAAGATTATTGTATCAGTACACCTATTGGTTATGTAAGCCTACACCCAGTATCATATTTGCATGTCATCTTTGATCATTAGTGTGAATGCTTGTGACATCATCGCATTGGGTGTCCTTATTCCTAGAGCAAGAAAACTGACTAAAAGTAAGAAATAAATATATTATTCATTACATACATTTTCATACTGAAATTCAAGCCTGAAAAGGTTTGACTCATTGTTCATAACATGAATAGCCATTGAAGTGATTTACAAATTAATTAATAAATACTTTTAACATAGGTTCCATTAGCATAGTTTTTCCCAGCCTTTTTCATGAGGAATCTCCCATGTCTCCTTCCAAGGACTGTAGATGAAAAGCAATAGTAGAGATCATGAATCTGGTTATCCAGTTTCGTAGGCATGAAATATGTCTTATCAAGGTTCAGCTAGTCTAGCCAAAGTGTTTTAAGAATGCTTTTCCATATCTTCCAACAGGACATCATAGTACAAAATGAATTGACTACATTGATATCTATCAAACATGAAGTTATCATGTAGAGGTGTGTTGTTGCTGTTACATAGGTGATTGCTGTTTGCTATCATAGCAATGCATATTCTATATTTCAATGAAGAAAATATTAGTTTTATCTTCTGCCAGTAGGGCTATATAAAACAGATTTCCCTTTCAGGGTATGGAAAGGCTGACACCATATCTCATGATTGAATGTAGAGAATTAATGAAGCAGGCTGTTTCATCTTATGATCAGGAAACTCTTTCATCATGGTTCAGGTATTATGTGTATCCTCATTACAGCTTGAGAACAGTTTCATGGGGGACAACCTCATTGAACGAGGACAGCTCACCAAAGGTCGGGAGTACAGGGAAGTACGTCGTTATGATGTAAGCGCTTTGAATCTACCATGAATTTTCACCTTTTCCAGTGGTTCATTTTCCAAGTTGGAGTTTCTTCTTCAATGTGCACACATTTTGATTTAGCATGATTTGCCTTGACACTTTCATTTCATCCAAATGATATTTGAAACTTGGAAAGTTTATGCTTTGTTTCAGCGACACGGCATTCACCTGATGTTTGTGTACTTGACACGGTGCTACCAGAAACGGATTGAGGATGTCCTTATCCAGATAGAAGAAGGCCACATTTCAAAACCAGATGTTTTCATCATAAACTCTGTGCTATGGGACATCAGTCGGTGAGTGTCTTTTAAGGTGAAAAATTATAGGATAATTTTTGTGCCTTAGATGGAAAACTTGAAGCAAGATTTTAAATTTATGTACTCTGGCAAAAAATAAAAAAAAGCTATTGACATGTTACAACTCCTGACAGTGTCAGCCTCGATCTTAACATGGAGAATTAAAAAATTATGTGCCACAAATACACTCTACAGATGACATCAATGTGGGTGGCATGGAACTAGAAGAACCAGAAAATTGTGTGTACCTTAAGCAACTTCTTGAGATGGAGAATGACTTAAAGTGGGGTATAGGAGTTGGATGAAATGCCGTTGTGAAGATGAATGTAGCCATAAAGAATAAGGCTCATACTCATGCTGTACAGCATGCTGGATGCTGCAACTGCATACTGTCCAATGCAACATGCCCATGCTGGATTAGATTTTGCTGCTGCTGTACATACTGTACAGCAAGAGTATGAACTTGGCCCAAGGTGTATATAAAGAGAAAAATTACACTTTGTAAGTGAAATACAATGTATATTATCTACCATGAGATGAGATGCAATGGAGACTTGGTTGTTGAAGATGAAGGAGAAGCTGAAGCTAATGCAAAGGGGCTTGGAGAGATGAAAGACAAGAACTATAATGAGAAACAAAGAAGATTTCTTAGATCAGGGAATAGACACAAGTCCAGAACAGCATGCATGGTGTCAAGATGCATCTAGCTTGAATGAGGGATGGCAGAGGAACAAAATTTGCTAATGAATGGCAACCAAGAATGGGAAAACTTACATAGAGAAGGCCAGGAGAAATATTGAGAGAAAATGCCTCTAATGAGTCTCATTTTACTTATTGAAATTGGAGCAATTCAGGATAGAAGGATATGGCATATTTGTACACGGTGAACAATTAGGTTTCTAGACTGAATCTTCATGAGCATGGTGACATCACTGCAAATATTGCTGTGCCATAGGCTGATACAGTAGACTGCTGAGCTGTGTTACCCAAGTTCTCTTCTGACTAGCACTGTGAATGAGAAATAAGATGACAATGACATAACACAGTGTGTGAAGTGCCTGTTGTATTCCTAGAATGAGGCAGTGCATCATCAAATTTTGACTTAAACTAGGGAATACAGCTTCAAATATTCTTAAGCATTGCAATAACCATATTGGACAGGTGGCCTTGTCACATTTCCAGACTTTAGAATGGTTTGCAAGGTTTTGAGCTGGTGCTATGAGGCATGTGTAACACCTTCATCATTATGACTGGTGGACAGTCTGCCACACTCATCATCTTGGACTTCTCTACTCGCTCAAAACCTTGACAAACCATCCTGAATTCTTGGAATGTGAAAAAGGAAACCATCAATATGCTATTGCAATGTTTAATGAATCTTTGTATTCCCTAATATGAGACAAAACTTGAGGAAGCATCTTAATTCTAGGAAAATGACAGGCACTTTACATACTGTGTTGCTTCATTGCCATTCTATATGTCTCATTTGTAATGCTTGTAGTGTGGTGTGGCAATAAATATAGTGATGCCACCATAATCATAACTCAGTCTGGGAACTTAATTTTCACACCTTGTACATGGGTAAGCCTCTGGGAAAAGTAGACAGAAAATGGCTGATAATGGTATACAAAGTATGACTGGGCTTCCTCTGAAAATGAACAATGAGGAGTCTCTTTATCTCCTATCAGTATAATCAAATGGATGTAGTTTCAGCATCATAAAAAAAATTCTGCACAGATCTGTCTAAGTTCATCTCAATAGCATAGTGTTGTGTCAACAGTCTCAGCAAAATCACTGATCAAAATGAATCCCTTCCACAGTGATGTGAGCCTGCAGTCAACAGCACCATTGGCTTTTGGCTACATTTGTAAGTCATAGTGGCAGGCTGTGCCAGGCACTGATTTTGACATACATTTTCAACTTCTCCTCAATGGTGATGTTGGAAGGCTGGGGTGGTACACCATTTCTGAGAGAGCTGTCCAGATGCAGTTGTCAATGGGGTTCACCTCTTGCCTGGCCAGTGAATAGGAGAAATTTATGTGAAAAGGGATTCCAGCAGCAAGAAACTCTGTTTCATTTCTCCTTTTTGAGCTGTCTTGACCTGAGCCCTATTCAGGCTCATTGTTATGGCATGGGTTAGGAAGTGATCAAGGGTATTGATTAGTACTTAATATGATTTGTTCTCTAGGATGCATGTGTTTTATGTTATCAAATAATCAATGCCTTTAAACTTAAATACATTTCTATTTTTCATGCCTAGATAATGCACGTTTTTGCCTTATGTATTGTTTGAGGTTTTATTTCCACTAACACTAGTTATCGTAGCAGTTTTAGCATGTTTCTGATAAGAAAGCTTTCAGCATAGTTTTCTTTTCCCCCAATTTGCTTAGATGGGGGCCTAGAGGTGTTGAAGAATTCAAGCATAACCTGAAGTACTTGATGAAGAGGCTCAAGGATACACTCAGTTCTGGAACTCTTGTGATTTGGACCACATGCCCACCCATAGCATCTGAGATAAAGCGTGCATTTCTTATACAGCAGGTAGGAATTCTGGCTTATGGGAGGTTGGAGCATAGTCAATAGCAGGACTACAATTATGGTTCTAAAATTCTTGCTGCTTTTACTCCCAACATATTTCCCACACATCTATTGAATTTGGCTTGTGTCACTCCATGTCCTGTAAGGTTATGGAGAGGATTGGAAAGGAGATTTAATTTGAATTAATGAAGCTAGTTTGTGATCTGCATTAACCTTTATAGGCTGAAAGGTGAGTATACTTACTGCTATATGTATTGCCAGACCAGAAATTTATTACCATTATTGTTTTTGTAAATATGTTTTTTTCTTCATATTGTTCAATAGTTTTACCATCAATAGTTTATGAGAAATTAATTTGTCCCCAAAAGCTTGAATGTATTTGCACTTCACATTTAAATACCTGTTAAATATTGGCCATGAAGCAACACAGGGGCATTTAAATGCCGTACGATAAAGGTTAATCAAATAAATATGATATTTCATCACATTAATATAAGGTACTTCTGTCTATGTTGTCTTTATGCTCAAGAAAGCCAATTCAAGCAGTTAATTGCTATAAATTATTAATCCTGCTACATGCCTCTTATTACTCCAGTGGGACATGTAGCTCCTAGGGGAATTCTTCAAGGAAATAGGTGGCTGGCAATATTTCTCATATTCATAGTAACGTAACTAATGGTTGAGCAGCCACTTGAAGAAGTATAAAATATTTATCCCAAGTTTCATGGAATTCTGATCAATAGATTTTAAAAAATCTTTTGTAACCCCAGTCTAACTGATTACTTTTTCTTATTGTGGAACTTTATATCCCTGACAAGGGATATAAAGCTATTGTAATCCAAAAACTTATTTTAAACCATGGACTGCATTAATGATCTGTGTTGACCAATGATATTGATTGACATATGTTCTTTACTACAGTTGAGTTTTTTGGAGCAATACATGAGATTTCACATCATGGAAGCCAATGCATATGCACAAAGAGTTGTACGCAGCTATGGATTTGATGTTCTTGATCTCCATTATTATCTCCGTCTGAATACTCATCGGTAAGTTATTGGCATGATGTGGGTAATGATGAGAAACAATCTTTGGCCCCAATACATGGCATATGCATGATGTGCATATAATTTTATTGTGCCATGAGGCACAATCAAATCAAGACAGGCTTGCCTCCAGTAATAGCATCAGATGAGATTTTGGGTGGGTAGGTAAAGTTACCCAGTTAAAATTTTTTTTGAATGTGGATGATCAATAATTTCAGTCGGTCAAGAGATGGAGTACATTGGGAACCAGATGCTGTTCGTTTGATGTCCAACCTCATCCTCACTCATATCTCCGTTGCTTGGGATGTCTCTTTACCATACCGTGGTGCTACTGCACTCCTTTCAGATTGCATCAGAGTTTCTCAACAAGAGGTGTGATTTTCCTGTTCACAACTAACTAATCACTCAAAAATCAAATGCTACATTGCTTGTTGGGTTTGCCTTTCAGTATGAGAGACAGAAACTAGTGGCTGTGAGGCATTTGCCAAAAGTGCCTTTGACCTGTGATCCCTCCACAAATATTGAAAAACCTGAAGCCTGCTCTCTCTTCACAAGTTGCTTGAAAGCAACTGCCAAGACCTCTGATTGTGGGAAAATGCAAGCTGGGCCTGTAGTTGACTTCAGCTCTACAAAAAATAATCATGTGTCCTTACAGACAAATCTGACAAATGGAGCAGCAACAGGAGGACCCAGCAAGAAACAAGACCTGAATACAAAGGTCAATGGTCCTGCATTATTTGGACAGACACCTGCATCCAAGTCTACATTGAATGGTGTAGTGAGTCATGATATTCAATCTTCCAGCTCATCACAGTTCCTTCCACAGAATAAAGGCACAAGAGAGAGTCCTGGGAAGATAGGAGAGAAATCTGGGGCACTGCCACTCAGAGCGGCTGGAACAAAACCAGATGCATGTTTTTGTCCAAAGAACAGCAACTCTTTGCCATCCAAGCCTCCAAAGGTCATACTAAAGCGAGACACAGGCAACTTTATCATACCCATGGATTCTCCAGCAAAAAAGAAAGCAGAGTCTTCTTCAATAGGACCAATGAGCAAGGAGGCAAGACCTACTGAGAATCCAGTGCAAACTCAATCACCTGCAAAGACTGAAGGAAGGAGAAGGATAAGAACTTCACCAATCAGAGCCCTCATATTGAAGTCTCTAGGCCAAACCCCAAAGAAGGGTGAAAAATCATCACCTCCTAAGCATACTACTGCAAACAAGAGTGAATTGACAGCTCATCACAAATCACAAGTAATGGATGAGAGGATGAAGAAAAGTAATCAAACGAGCTGTGCAAGTAATGAGAGAATATCTGCTGCCTTACTACCTCCAATAAAAGATGGCAATGTGAAGCTTGCCAACTGTAACAAAGTTGGAGCTCTTCAGAATATCAAGAAGAAGAAAAAAAAGAAGAGGAAGAAGGTAAAGAAGAAATTAGAGGCAAGAGATGCAAAACTAGAAAAGGGAAAGCTATCAAAGAGGATGTCAGAGAATGTAGATACATCTGAAGAACTTACTGAAGAAGAAAGGCGCCGTAAGGAAGATGCAGCAATTGAAGCCAGTCTCAGGCAGGCTTTTGGTTTGTCTCCTACAAAGGCTATAGCAGTTGATACTGAGGAAACTGATAAGGCTGGAAAGCAGGAAATTTATGATTGTGAGAAAGCTGAATGTTCCAAATCTTCATCTCAGGTGACCAGAGAAATAAAGTTTGAGCCCCAACATGGACTGAAGAGGAAACCTATCTTGCTAGAAGTGAGTTTCTCTGGATTGAAAAAGAGAAAGAGTAAAACTCTGGCTCCCTGTGGAACATTGGTGGGAGCTCAGAATGTTTTGCATAAGAAACAGGAGCTCTTGGTGGACACATGCAGAAGGCAAAACAAACCCCTGGGACAAGAGAGTGAAAAGGTCGAGTACAGTCTATTAAAGGAGGCTGTTTCTGCAGCAAACATGCCCCATGCAAAAGAAACTTATGCAATATCATCTCTTTCTGATCAGGATAGCTTGGGACACTCTCATTCTGGGTCAGAAAAAGAGCCTAGGACATCGAAAGGAAAAGGCTCTGCATTATGTTATGATCCATCTCCTCACCAGTGGTCAGTGGCTTCTACTAATGCATCTGATACCTCTTCAGTCAATGGAGAAATCATGCAAGCCATTGATATCCTTGATGACCATCTCTCCCTATCTCGGACCAGGAATGAATGCTCTCAAAATTTCACAAATAGCATTTCCTTAGATAATTGCTTGCCATGTGAACACAGTGCAGCAGGATCAGCATCTGAACATCTTGGATGTGGTGTTTTGCCCATTCCTCTGAATCGCAGCATCAGCAGAGGGCCTGGTGCTGTACACCTCCCGGAATCTCTGTGGGATTCTCAATTGCCAGGTGAAGATGAGTCTTGTGCTCCCTTTTGCTTAATTCAGGATTGGCAGGTATTAATGCCTCATTGAGAAGCTTATGTAAGACTGCAATTTTCCATAAAGTTGATGGAAGATCTTGATTCCATCAGGTCCAGGAGTGCCTGACACTGGGAAGAAATGGACTGGGCTCACAGATCAGGTACAACCGTTTACAGGTTTGCCATATGGGTTGATGGGGATTCCTGTTGTACCACCTCAGAATGGATTTCCAGGTTAGCAGATATAAAATTACAAACAAATTGGATATACCCATGCATGAATATCTCTGAAGATTTCTCTGGATGAATGCATTTGTACCATTTGTAATATTTTCATTTTGATTTACTTTAGAAAAGCTGATATTCTTGTCAATAAGGTTTTTTTGTCAATATTCTGCATGATTCTGCTGGCAGAACAGGAGAGGTTGTTGTCCTTTTTGTATGGTGACATTCATGATGATAAAGTTTCTTACTACTTGGGTGATATCTTTGTCATCTTCCTTCATATTGCTTGAGTGGTGGTTAACCCTTCTATGGTTTGAATTCTCAGGCAAATTTGAAGAGGTATGTGTGTACTTAAAGAAATTACCTATATCCTTCTATACATTTTTCCAAAATAATTTTTCACTGAAGCAAAGTAGATAATGTTAAGAATATATTATAAAAGAATTGGCCATGTTGATGAAAATCAATGAGTAAAAATAGTTCGAGGGAAAAGATGATGGCAATAGGTATTTTTTCTCATCTTTTATATGCATCTAAAGAGGGAAAGAGGGGTCTTTTATGCATGAATATATTGGGCAGCAGGGGACAGGTTCTTGTATGCTCTAATGTTTCACTTGACATCATTCTTATATTTAATAATTAGATACTCTAAACTTGGAAGAAAATCTTCCTGCACCTTCCAGCAATGGGGACATCAAATATGAAACTTATGCTTATCCTGGAGATTTCAGCCATCATTTCATTCAGCACCAATGTCTGATTTCTCTTAGTAAAACCAAAGAAGGGTTAATTGAGAATTGTTATAGATGCATCATATAACCATTCATGATCAATCACTGATGAAGAGTACAGGGTGTCTCAAAAAAAAAGTTACTGCTGCAAGAATTGATTTTTCTTGTATTATACAAGGGGCATACTGAAAGTAATGAGCCCTAATTTATTACAGGAGAATCACTATTTGGACTAGCCTGAGATTTTATTCATGCAAAATACTATGTTTCTGCTACTGATGGGCATAGGTGATTTCATTGTTTTTGCCCAGGTGGCAGCACAGTAGCCATTGAAAATGGCAACTACTGTCAGATGTTGGATGGCTTGCCTGAATGTGGGCTGTCTTCGATGCCACTGTTTCCACTGTTGAAATGCAGAACCCACAGTTTTGCACTTGCATAACTGTTGTTAGAGCACATTCTGCAGTCTCAAATGGATGTTTTCAGGGGTTACATATTCTTTTGTGAGAAACTCTATCAGAACATTTTGCTTCAATACACCATCCATAGTAGGTGCCATTTTCAATGGCTACTGTATAGCCACCTGGGCATAAACAATGAAATTACCAATGTCTATCAGTTGCAGAAACATAGTATTTTGGGTGAACAAAATCGTAGACTTGTCCAAATAATGATTCTCTGATAAATTAGGGCTCATTACTTTCAGTATGCCCCTCGTATTATATTTGAATGTATAATTTTGAGGCAGTTGAAATTAGATGAGATTAAGCTTTCCATTGCTGAAGATATCATTAAGATCAATAAACTCAAAAGTGAGATATGGAAAGACAAAGTTTAGATTAACAAAATTCAGACATATTAGTGAACCACTGCAAGCAGCCTACATAAGAGAATCCAGCGATGCAAGCTGTCAAAGAAGCTACTGATCCCCAATTGTAATGCTGAAGCATGGAACTCTTCACTCCTTTGCTGGTTCTTGGGCAAGAAAAAATGCCATGGAATTCATTGAATGGAAGAATCTTCTTGGTGACCAACCTTCACAAAAGCTTGAAGGGTATATGTTTACTTTGTCCATGTTCAGATTAGTTGAGCAAACATATCAAAAGAAAGCTCCTTGTGTAGCTCTGTGGAAGCTATTTTTTTTATTTTAGCAAAGTGGTTGTGTCCAAAAACTGAATTGCTGCCATACTGATTGCCCTCCATGTGCAAGAAGCAAGAACAAAATTGAGATCATCCATGAAAGGATAGCACATTCCCCAAAGCAATCCATTTGAAGACCCTCCAGGGAAACTGGCATTTCAAGAGCAAGCTCCCAAAGGATGTTGTGGAATGATTTGGGAACATTTCTCAAGAAGTGCAGAGAAGATCCCGATTCCTTCTACTCCATTTAGTTCTCAGATGAAAGATATTTCCATTTGGATGGACTAGTGTGCTCAGTCTATTGGGGCACCCAGAAACCATATGAAATCCACGAGAGGCTACTGCAATCTTCTTAAGTCACTATGTTTTGCACTGTTGATTTTATGCATGGTATCATTAGACCATTCTTTTTTGAACATGATGACTGACATACTGCAATGTAAATGCAGAGCATTACAGGGAAACCTTGCAGAAGTTTTTGCTAGTTATGTTGGTTTTCCCAAATACAAACAGATGTGGTTCCAGCAAGATGGTCCAACTCCTCATACAACACACATTGAACAAGCATTTCTTCACAAGATTTTTGGGGATGAGTTCATCTCCAGGAGGACAGATTTCCTATGGCCTAGCCAAAACTCCTGATTGTTCACTATTAGATTTCTGGCTGTGGGGTCACATGAATGATCAGATCTACTGACCAGGCAAACCTGTCTTGCCAAGAATGTGAATGGAGAATCTGCAGAGAGGTCTCTAAAATCAGAGTAGAAACAGTTCAGTCAGCTTGTAAAATTTTGTTTAAATGCCTGAAGGTGTGCTGGCATTGAGGAGGAACACCTTGAATATATCTGGACATGTGAATTGTCAAAATACTAGATTTTATGGTGAACAGAATCCACATGTCAAGCAGGAGCATCCAAGGAGTACAGCCAAGGTTCAGTGTGCACTGGGGAGCTCTGGCATCATCAGCCCATATGTTTATGAAGCTTGGCAAGGCCAGACTGTTACTGTGACTTCACAGAGGTACCAGGATATGCCACAGCAGTTTTACTTTCCAGCACTTCAGAACTTGGACAAGGCAGGACAACTTGATCTTGCAAACCTCTGGTTTTAACAAGATGGCACTCCTCTTCTTAAAGCAAAGGCTACACTAAACCTCCTGCAAGGCTACTTTCACTATCCTACCATCTCTAATCACACTCCCAATTTATGGCCTCCTCAATCACAGGACCTTTACCCTCTAGTACCCTCTGTGGATTACTTGAAACAATGTGCTTTTTTCCAGCCTGAAACCACAGGATTGCCATCAGCTGAAGCTGAACATTTGCTGTGAAATTGGCAGCATCCCTGATATGCTTCTGCAAGTTACCCAGGGATTTCAGAGGAGGCTTTAAGAAGTAAAGCAAAAGCAGGGGGATTATCTTGGCTTCATTTTGATATTGGCATAGTTTTTCTATGTATGCCTCCTCTAGAAGTATTATTGGCCAAGGAGAAGCTTGAATTGATGTTACTCAATGAAAGAGAGCCTTGTCGTTGATACCAGATGTTTTACTTGTTAGTTATCCTCAAAGAATATGTAATAATGGGCACAAGGTATATCTCCATAGAAAAAGAGTGGAGTGTCTTTTTTGAAACACCCTGTATATTGACTTCCATAATTCCATTATCCTAAAAACCATCATTACATCCATACTAGGTGACTAGCCTAAAAAAAAATGGCAATTGTCCACTTTTTTCTTCAATGATATACATGTCAGACCTAATTGTGTATATTAATGATTGAATCTTAGTAATAGTATAGTAGAAATAGAGACATCAGACATTTCCTTGGAAACAGTAATGGGATTTAAAGCAAGAGATGATGAAATTTAGCATATTGGATGCCAGTTGTCATGGACAAGTATGTAAGTAATGTCCATGAGGTATGCATCTCTTTCATCACAGATATATACAAATGGTTTCACCTTTGTTATTGTTGGCTTTGTTACCAGCATTTAGAGGGAAGATTAATGGTTTTAATGTGCTGAAATCAAAACCTGAAGATTTTCAATACACGAGTGCTATGTCAGAACAGAATTTTATTATGACATCCATGCCTGAAATTTTTAATACATCATTGGATTAAGTCGTGACATTTTGTGGTTTTTGCCCCAAAAGCCAAGACCCCTTGCAAAAAAAATTCCCTTAGAACAAAGTTATTTGAAAAGAGGTTGGTGCCGTTGCATGCACATATGGCAAGTTAGTGAATAAAAAAATTGAAGCTTTTTTTGTCAGCTGAATGTGTATTTGTTGGCTAAAAAGAAAGATTCATAGCACTATTCAGTTTCATTAGTAGCACTAGTGTCACTACTGATTCTTGGCTAGCTCTGTTAACCCCTTCAGTGGCAGCTTTTTCTGACATGCTACTAGAGAAGCCCGAGAATTTCTCGACATACTGCTGAAGGGGTTAACTATTGATAGCATACAGTGTTGCTAATTGTCTGATGTCAAACATTAGCTCAAATTGAATGAAAATATTCACATCTAAACCCTTGATACATGTGCAAACATGATATACTGCAAAGCTGTGGGAATGCCACAGAAAGTTCATGAAAATTTGTCCACATATGTGGACACAGGGCCTCAAACAGCAAAGAAAAATATCTAGAACCTGTGAAGTTAGAAATATTGAAAGGCCATCATTAGAAACCAGAGTGGAATGTGGCTTTAAAATATAAAAATCTGAGAGGTCATGTTTTTACTCTTTGACTAGCTCCCCCCTCCATTTCAGATTTCAACTTATGAGTAATCACAGATGCTGAGAATGCTCCATCTTTGTTCTTAAGAGAACTGGATGCTTGTCTAAGCATTTTTTGCCCTGATTTGCATACTGAACTAAAATCAAGAATAGCAAATGACTCATGCATGTCTTTTACTCATGTCACCAGACCTTGCTCCCTCAAAAGTCTTAAAGTCTTGTTGTCATCACTTGTGCCATGATTTGCATACATTTATATTTGAAGATTCTTTTGGTTGACAGCCCTTCTAGATGGTTAAGGCACCTTGCACTGCATCTTTCTTGAAGAGCTATCTTAAGTGTCCCTTCTTCTACATGGTCCCATGAATGTTTTTGTAGGTTGGAGTGCATTTGAAACAGCACATCCTGTTGAGATGCTGCTGAATGTGTTGGATGTGTGTCGAAGTTCTTCAATTTGGTGACCTGGATAGATGTTTTACCTTTCTGATGCCATTCATCAATGCAAATCCAGAAAAAACCATATACTGTTCCTTTGAGGTTTGTTATAAAAAACGAAAGCCATTGCATATCATTCATGACCTTCATTCATGATGCCCACAACATCCAAAGGTGTATGGCACTGACTAGCAATTGAGAAAGACACAACAATAAGGGAAGTTAGATTATCAAATCAGCATTGTGAAATCCACTTGTTTAAGAACTTGATCATGAATGCCCAGATTTCAGAACATCACCAAAAGCATAGGCATATGCATCAAATGTGCTTAATGTATAAAGAAACACTAAATTTTTTGTCACAAACTACAATATCATTAAAATTTTACACTAAGTTTCTTGTTTGCTATGATGCATTGGGATTTTAACTCACTCTGCTTTCTATACAAATTCCAAGACAGAATAAAGGAAACTTATTCAGTGATATAAAGACAATGGAGAGGTGCATGCAGAAAAATTTTATATTAAGGAAGGCAGCCTCCAAAAAATAAAAGAAAAGCCAATGCACACAAAGAACAGGAACTCAGCCACTCAATTTGTGGCAAGGCTACTTCACATATTTGGTGAGGGTTATGCTGGTCAGTGAATATGTCAAATTTCCAAAATAAGAGGAACAAAATTATATCTAAATGAAAAAACATTCAAAAGATGTTCCTGGCTGTTCCAGGACCATAGTGAATAAGACAGACCCTATTTGCAACTTCAAGATCAACTGCACACAAGTTCTACCCGTTGAAAACTTGGCCGATGAAGATAGCAATGAATTGCAAGATGACAGTAAAAGAAATTGGAAATTCAAGCACAGACCTCTGTAAGGTCTCTCTCTCTTTGATCAAATAGTCAAACTCCACTTTTCCCAACAGAAGAATAAAATAATTGAAACTAACCCATGTAACATATGGAAACAATCCACAATGTATCCAGAGATGAATCTGCACTAGTCATTATTCAACAATGGATGATGAAATCTGGATGCAAAATGATTGCTTAAAAAAGAAGACAGTTCCACTTAGTGACAGTTGCCACCAGAAGAGGAAAAATTCATCAGCTCCTATCCATTTAAAACTGGCTTAAGTAGAAAAATCTTTCCAAGTCAAGGTTTTCTAACTCATTCAACATGCTGATGCCTGAGTTTGGGCTTATAAGCAGGCCATCGACAAGTGGGACAATTAGGATTATTCCTATGAAGCCAAATGAGAATGCATTCCTGATGGTAACTGTGAGAGCAAGGAAGCCCACACAGGAGATCTCCACTAGAGTAACTTTCCAAACATATGGCACATTCACTCCCTTCCATCATGCCAGCTGGAGGATGCCATGCCTGTTCATCCTCCAACTTGGAATTCCTCCTCTTCATCCTGGAATCACTAGATCTCCTTATACTTGTTATTACACCCAGTAAGTCCACTTTGACACCAATGAAAGGAGACCAAATTTGTTTGACAAAACGAGAGAGAAGATGCTTCCAAGTCCTTGAAGTTTGAGCACAAGTTTCAGGGTGGAGTGATGGCAGATCAGTGACTGACTTATCAGTGCAGGGTGAACATGTAGTGGCATGGTGAGCAACAAATTTTGAGGTTAATCCATGATGAGAATTCTCCTGATCACTGAAATAGTCCATGTCTCCTTCACTCCCACCAGAGTCTTCAGAATTGCCCCTGTGCCTCCACACTGGGAGGTCTTGAATGTAATCAAAATTGGTTGTATGTAGCCACAAGTTTGGCACTGCCAAGCGTTCAATGAGCAATTCAAGTCCTTCTTCAAGGTCAGCATCACTTGCAATGTGTGTCTGCCTGAGTGAAGCATGGAAGAGGTAGCTTAAGGGCAAGAAATCTGATCCTGGAAGGTGGGAATCATGAGAAGATGAATCAGGAACTTTGAAGAACCAAGAAACTGTCAAGATTGCAAGACAGTAAACTACTGAAAAGAATATCATGTATTCTTGCCGGTACTGCATCCAGGAGAATATGTCATCACGAAACACACTTCCAACCCAAGTCATTGCCAGGTATCGGACCTCTTTGGCAAAGAAATCTGATACCAAAACAAATGAGTGGAATTTAACTAGTGCTGAAGCCAGCAACCAACACACAAAAAGGGACATATTTCCAACTATAACATTCCACAGCACCTTTAAAAATCCATGCAACAAGAGCAAGTCCAAAAACCTATACAGATTTAACAAAATCACACTCAAAAGGAAAATGTCATTCATCTCAGGTTTCAGTGACCGAAGGAATGCTTCAAAATGTCTGAAGGTAAGTGATTCTCCCCTTTTTGAACCATATACATAATGGCCTTCAGGAGTAACCACAAGATATGATGGAAATTGAACACCTGGAAATTTGCGAGGCACCTCTTCCTTGTCAGTCTCTTTGGAAGATGAGAAGATCCCAAACTGAATTCTCCCTGTGAATTTGACGCTCAAAGCTGCCAAGAACAGAGGAACCACCATGCTATCTGTGAAGAATACAACACGCAGAGGACCACCATCTACTTGCTTTGAGGAATCTAACCACTGTGATTCAAGCTCCTCCAGTGACTTGATATCATGCACATGATTCTTCATTGTCTCTTGGACCCACTTGAAAACAGCCTAATTTCCAAGAGAGAGAGAGAGAGAGAGAGAACAATCCAATTATGAACTTCAAACAAATATCTAATTTTGTTCCTGAATCAGGTGCAAAATTCTTAATCCAGAATTAGGTCTGCTCATAAGCTCTGATGGAGCAAGGAACCTCTTTTTTTTTTTTTAAATGAAGGCCTAATATGGTTCACTAGGATAAATCTTCAGCAGTTAACTTGAAAAGCTCTGCTTCTTTCTTCATCATGCCAGGAAATGGCACTGAGTTGATTAGAGGGGAAAGAATAAGATTACCAGACAGGCACAGACCTGGCTGGTTACTCTTATTTTTCTCTTCCCACCCTGTTAATAATAATTCAAGCACAATGGTCCTGTTTCTGTCCAGTATTGCACAACCCCAGAATACAACACGACAACTCACCGGTACTCTTGGATTGCTGAAAGTATTCAGAACAACTTGATCTTTCGCCTTCACACCTTTAGGTAATGCAAGGAGTATGAGGGGCTTGTCCCAGTTCCTCCTCTTGCATAGCCTGAAACAACAGGTGATCCTAACTAAATCTAGGATAATGTGAGTGGGCATTAAGACAAATGAGTGGTATTCACAAACCTCCATTAGTGCATATTTGGAATGGAAACACAAAAAGAACATGGCTGCCACATTTACCAGCAAACACACAGCAGAAGCAAGGCAATAACATAATATTTTTTAATGCTGACTTTCATGGTGGTGGTTCCCAATATTAGAGCTGTCAGCTTTGCATTAAAGTCTTGGAAACAGGTGAAATTACCTGGATGGCAGCATTTCTTTTTCTTTTCATGAATGCACTTCATGACTGTTAATGCAAGTTTCTACTGATTCCACAAAGTGACAAGCATGATCCCTTCAGCCATTTCTCAAATAAGAAATACAGAAAAAGATGATAAATTTGCAGGACCACTGTTTTCGTTTTTACCTTGCAAATCAAGCCAATCTTAAAACTTGCCTCAATGGTTCAGCACTCTCCACTTGTGCATGAAATTCTGGACATTTTAATATCTCTAGCAGGGGATAGACATCAGTTCTCCTTGCTGGTCCAATTATACATCCAATGATCCAATTATACATCATTCAAAATAAAATTGAACAAGCTTCATTTTGCTTTTATAAAAACTGATATTGGCCCAACAGGGTTCCAAGTTCTTAAGCTTCAAATTTGGGGCAGTTTTTTTTGGCCCACCCAGTATAACTAAGGGGTCCCTGCAATTCACACTATGGTCAATGATGGATAACTGTAGGCACAGGAGACCAGACACCCAGCATGTAAATTGATCTTATGTATGCTTCCATGCAGATGGTGTTATTGAGTTTGCACATCAATACCTTAAAATACAAGTACCCTAGTCAGTCTTGACACTTTTCTTCGATGGAACACTTCAAGGTACAGTTTGAAATGCAAAGCCCCATTTTCTAAAGTTCCAGGAGGAGGAAGGCTTGCTTCCATCTCATCAGAAAGTGCAGAAACAAAGAGAAAGGGGAAAATATATTTAAATCACTATTAGGGTTGGTCATTTTCAGAAAACTTGACCAATACCTAATAAGCTTAAAGCAGCAACCCAGCAAATCAAGTCAGAAAAAAAAAACAGTTGTGAAAAATTCATTTTCCAGAGCTAATATTATAGTGAATTGAAGGTTCTTCCTAAAATATCTAAAAACTTAAATTGATTCCTGATAAACAGGCTTACAAAATCATTGTTCATTTTTTCTCATAATATTTCTTTTGCACTCAATATTGGTTCAAATTATGCTTAAAAGAAAACTTTATAGCATACCTGAATCACCTGCTATATTTCATTTACCTACCTCATGTAAGCAGTAGTGGAAATTTCTCGAAGCTGCTTAGTTGCTTTATGGATGCCCAGTATATATTCATTATCGTATGCATGTAAATGTTGGTTTTTCTTACACTCTGGGACTGCATTATTTGGCATCTGAGGTCCTCCATCTTACAGCAAAATTGATTGCAGGAAAAGTGTACTAAGGTGTAAAACTATACCAATTACCACAAGATATGTCTTATCTATGTCATAGACAATAATGCCAGGGACTTTGGAAGAATCTAAGCCACTTAGTACCTCTGCCCATGATTTTCACATTCCCAGGCAACTTTGACTGGGTAACAGTAAGGTTTCAGCGATGGAAATATAGATGTCATAAGAGGAAGATAAATAAGTGTAAATTAGCCTAACGGTCATTTGTGAATACCAGCCAATATTGTATAAGCATTCATAGCTTCCATAACCAAGAAAAAGCTCACATTGTATCAAGACTGCAATCTAGGACCCCAACTCGAACGCCAAATGGAGATACTTTGTTGATAACCTGTCGCCATGAATAATCGTCTAGCAGGGGGAATTCATTCCTCTGTGTTGGTACCACTTGCACCAACCAGACACTATCCTTTGTATCCTCAACATCCTCGTAGAAATGACTTCCAGAGGAGAATGAGGAAACTGGCTCATGCTTTGTGCAGTTGTTCTGAGAAGTTTCTTGGAGTTCACCTCTGGTCACCTTTCCTACATAAAATGGAAAAATGAAATGAATGTAATGAAAAAGAAAAAAGGACTGTTACATAAGTGTCAAAGCCTGTATGATATACAAGCCCAAGGCCTACAATTATATCAATTACAATTTTGCTCACTCTGTCCAGGTAGGAATTGGTATTGGGTAAAAAAATAAAAAATAAATAAAACTGAAGTGCTTTGCACCTTTCTGGCTTTTTTCTCTTTCAATTTCAGATTTTGAGTTAACTCTTAGGCTGACTTCAAAACTGCCATTCAGTCACAATTCAACTGCAATTCAGTTTAGGTTTTTGTTGTCATAGTTCCACTTCCAGTGTAGTTGCTAAGACCAGAGTGGAACTTCAGTCAGACCAAAGTCTGAACTAAAACTAAAACTGAACTGCAACAAAACTGTTGTTTTGAACAGAGAATCCCAAGGAGCCAATATGATGGCTCTTCCAAATGGGATACAATTCTGCTTGGGAGCAAAAAGGTTAATCAAGTTAATAATTGGTGCTAATAATTTGTTCACCTCTGGTATGAGTTCAGCACTAGTGCTGAACATCAATACAAGAAGACAGGGAAATGCTGATGCTTTAAGCTCACCTGTGCTCACTAATAGCTGCACCAAGTCTTGCTTCTCAATCACAATGGTGGAATCTAAACCCCGACCTTCAATCAAGCTCTTTAATTCACGAACACTCAAAGTCACAGGATTGAGAATGGTAGAAGAATATGTGATTCTCCCATATGTATACCACTCAGCAACTTCAAGGATTCTTGAGAATACCAGTAGAAGGATCACATATGCCAGTAATAGCAATAGCTTCAGCCACATGCTGTACAGCTGTAAGTGGGTCTTTTGCAGTTGCAATAAACTACCTGAAAATAAATGTTTGGGAGTTTTATTTTAGATTTTTCTTTTGTAGAAAGTTTCATACAGGTCATTCCAAAGGCTTCAATATAGGAAGCAGGGATTGAACAGTCTTTTTACAAAACTTTATTACTTGGATGTTATTGATAACTTTATTTGAACATTTATTCATCAGCACTGATACCATAGTTCCAGTTCCTTTCAGAAGTCATACTCATGTAGTTCAACCAGCACCATTGTTGGAGCACCTTTTGTGTATGACTACACTCTCACAATACATAAAGCTGGGGTAGCCTGTGTGCTATATATATAGCACACAGTCCAGTGTTTCAGGCCTAATTAACATCCATGATGATCCCACATAGGTATCACTAAGAGACTTGGATTGATTAATGACATCTTTAATTATTCTAACAAATGTCACCCAATACAAGCCTATACATCACACATGACATGATTCTTGATAGACTGAAACTGGCATCAAATGAAATCAAGGTTAACAGGTCGACTGCCACGAAGCACACTGGTGTGCCTCACTGAATTGGAAAATCAATAGGCCAGCATTGCTGTGGTGGTCAACATGTTAATGACCAAGTCATATCAGTTTATTCTCAAATATAGATCATCTCCATCTGTACTTTCAATTTCTTGATGAACCAAAATTGGCATTTTGTGAAATCAATCCCAAGTTGGGTCTGGTCGTTTAAATTTTATTCCTGAGCTTTATTGTTGAGGGACCAAAGGAGACCATTAGTTTAACCCTTAAACGACCAAACTGGATCAAATTTGACCCAGAGCCTATCTTATAACACGTGAAACTTCTAGGCTTGGTAGTTTAACACGTTGACCACCACAGAAAAGCTGGTCTATTGATTTTCCCATTCAGTGAGGCACACCTTTGCCCCTCGTGGTGGTAAACCTGTTAAGGGTTAACTAGTTTAGTTCTAATTTAGCCAATGTTTCATTTTAAGGTAACTGAAGTCATAATGAGTTCAGTTTGAAGCTGGTTTAGTTTCAGCAACAATTAACTGGTGATCGATTTAAACAGGAACTAAACTGCAACATAAAATCATAGATATTCTATTTTAAAGGTAAATAGAAATAAAATTGAAACTATATTGAAAATAAAGAAAATAAATGAGCAGTGTCTTCCAGACTCCAATTCACAGAGACTGAAACAACCAGGCTGTCAACCAGTATCTGGTTTGACTTGGTGTCAGTTTCAGTTCATCAAGTGACTTTGAATTGATTGCCTCCCTCTCACACCCTCCTGAATGGTGCCATGGAAATTGAGCAACACCTGCCTCCTAAAAATAAAAAAACTGACTTGGCTAAATTAACAACCAAGGCAGGAACTAAAAACTTCCTGCTTCCACAACAGAAAGGGGGTGGGGTGCAATTGAAAAGTTAAAAATCTCAGTAGAACCCTGGCATCTTCTAGTGCATCCATGCTTGAATTATTTCACTCAATATGATTGATATGTCCAGAATGCTTAAAGAAACTGAATAATTTAAAAAAATAAAGATGATAAAGGTGATGAGCTTTGCAAACTAAAATGAACACACATACACTTTTCATGCAATGGAGAATCCTGCCCCTTGGCCAACTTATTTAAATGAATCTTGTTAGTACCATTTATCAAAACCTCAGCTCAAAAAGTAACCAAGGACTGACATCTTTCACAACTAAATTTGCCAAGTTTCTCTCCTTTAAAGTGTGGAGTATTTGAAACATTGATTAGTGAAGGATTTTGATGTGATTCTTGCACAGTCTCACACTGCTGTCTGTGTTTTTTGTTCCTCTTCTTGTCATCCCAATTCATTATTATGTGTACTATCCTTCCTCATCTCAGATATCATCTGCAAGTCTGATAACTCCAACCCTTGGGGTTTGAATGGGCCTTGAAGGCCCTCTTATTCCAGCTCTGTTTACCACAATAAGTGCCTAAAATGCATACATGAAAAAAGTAATGTAATACAATTCTGCTATGAATCTGGCATGATATTGCACCATTGTGAATCTCCAGTTTTAGTTCCTTTTTTTCCCCGTTTATGCATCCCATTCTCCTCTCTTCATGCTTAGGCCTGCAATCTTCACAAGAGATTGCACCGAAGATTGAAATATCCATACCTTGGAGTCTTAACAAACCTCTTAGGCCCACCCAAGGCCTCAACTCAGGATACCATAAAGAAAACTGTACAACTTGATCGTATGAATAAAATATGAATTAAAAAAAAAGAATTACAACATGAAACCACTACTCTGTTGAAATAGGCCTACTTAGATAACGAAATCCTCTCTCTGAAGGTAAAGAACTATAGAAACATGGGCCTGGGCATAATCAAACGAGAAATGACTGGTCTAGGCCTCCTAACGTTAAGCTACTATGCACGAACAAGTAATGTGAGACCGAGGAAGAGGTCGACCTTCACCCAGAGCGAGGGCCATCCCTCCCGCCCGTCTCCCGACTTTCACTTATTGTAAGATTGCATAGCATCAACAAAAGAGCCAGTGACGACCGCAGGGACCCCACGTGGCTGTCTGGACAGAGCTCTCAACTATGGCGGCCTCCTTCTCCCATGTCGATGATCTCGTGCGCTCAGTGTCCTTATTCGTTCCTCGACACTGGCTTTTTCACGGTTATTCTCTTCCCTTTTTTCTTCTCTATGCCGTTTGGTTCTATGTCTTCTTCATTTTCTACGGAATTCATGACATCTTCGAGGCTGCTGCGATCGTGGGTTGTGTTATCCTCATCCTCCAAATTTTAGCCGCATTGTCATGTGCATGGTCTGTTCATGTCAAGTGCTTCCTCACATGCAAAGGGGTAAGTATTTCGAAGTAGGCCTGCTCATTTTTTTGCCTAGAGACCAAGTCTGTTGTACAGTTCGTGCAGGCCAAGTGTAACAAAATTGAACTAATATCTTGGCTCTGTTTCAGGAAAGTGATCCACGCAAGGCGACAGTTGTTAAGGTTATACCTACCCCAAACAATGGGTCTGCTGAAGTTGTGAAATTGCGACATGACTTTGTGAGTGCCTGGGTTCAATATTCCCACAACAAATTGGATTGAATAAGCCTAATTTTAGCTCAGACAGGGGCAAGGTTCAATGTGTAATGTTAAAGCACAAAGTTTGTATTTTTATTTGTTGGTACCACGTTCAGATCTATAAGTTTGCTGCTTCATTTATATTCCTCTAACCCACAAGCCTGAATGAAACAGAATCTGCATTTTCTTGCTTGTGTAGTCCTATTGTTGAATGGCAACCATGTGTCTTTTTGGACGATGCCAAGTTCAGAATTCTGACTATCAGATTAGAGCTATCGCTAAGTTTTATATTGACCAAATTACCCAGTGCCTTCGCTTGATTCCTTGAGGTGATCCAGAATCTTTCATAGTCTTTCTTATTGGAGGCTCTTTTAAAAACAGCCTCCAAAAACATTGAGCTACTCCAAAGGAGTCTCTTATCAATATTAGTTCCATGATAGTTGCATTCATTAGTACATGTTGGTTTTCATTGTTATCTATATGTATGTCTGAACAGTTTTCATGCATCTTCATGAGTATATCTAGAATGAATCCATATGCACAATACTTTAGCCTCATGAAAACCTAATTTCTTTCATATACCTCAGTTGAAGTTATCTCAATATCAGTATCTTATCAATATCATAAAGGATTGAAAACTAAATTGTTAACCCTGTGTGACTGAATTGGTTTAGTAGGATCTTCTGATTTTCCTTTTTCATGTTTAGGAGAGCCATGGGGAAGAGGAAATATGTTTTGAATTCCAGAAGACTAAGTACATTTGGGATGAAGATAAGAAATGTTTTAGAGGACTGCAGTTTCATGTGGACCACAGTTTTGATTTCTATCAGGAGTGGAGAGGGTACACTGATGAAGATTTACCAAGAGTTGAGAAGCACTTTGGTAAAAACAGGTGAGGAATGTCCCTATCCTTGAGTTGGGTAACCTAATGATGCTAGCCATCATAAGATTATGTACAGATTGACTTTTCATGAAATTTCAATACTTTTCTATCTGATTCCAACCATGATTTATGGGAAGAACCATACAGAGGTGGCGAGTCATATGACATTTTAGTCCCAAAACCTGTTGGTGCACATACACCCCATTGCCTAAAGAATGCTCAAGGAGCTTTCTCACTCTTGGGACACAAATAATTTTCATTTATGAGGGGCAGAGACTCTCAGAACAAGCTTGCAGCATAATCCCTCTGATGAGAAGTGCAGGTTTCTTTTGAAAATTTTGCTATTACTACCAGGAAAACTTATATGGAGAGTTGCTATAGTTTCCTACAAGGATTTTTAATTCCTCTCACAGAAGGTTAACTCATAGGAAAGTTTTTTTTTTTTTTTTTTTACTGAAAAGTGCAAGTTTCCTAGGGACATAAAAAGTAGTCAATATATGCAGTGTGCTGACTATATTGGTACACATTCAAGAATACTAAACTAGGAAGAATAAATGTTCAAGTCCCTTGAACATACATGTGTAGTTCAAGGAAAATCTGGACTTTCTGTTCCACATATGGTAGCAGTACATTTGGATCCATGGAAATGTATGCATCAGTCAATACAAAAGTTCATTGTGGCACCACCGTCTCAGGATCAACTTTACGTGTCAAGTGTCTCAATGACACCTAGTGTGACAGAGGGACAGAACATTACATGCTTTACATAGTGAAGAAAGACATAAATACTGCTGAAATTCGTGATAGACTTGCAGATAAGTATGGTGAATCTGCTCTATCACAATGAAGTGTAAAGGACTGGTGTATATGTTTTCATGAGGGGAGATGGGACATTCGTGGTGCTGAGTAGTCCTTGTGTTCCCCCTTCCACAGTGATCTGACCTGACATCACTCATGTGAATGAGTGAATCGCAGAAAGTTGGGAAAAATCGTAAAGCAGTTTAGCTAAACATAGGAGGTGTGAAAATAAGATTCTTTGAGAACATGACAGTTTGGGAAGATGATCTGACCTGACATCACTCATGTGAATGAGTGAATCGCAGAAAGTTGGGAAAAATCGTAAAGCAGTTTAGCTAAACATAGGAGGTGTGAAAATAAGATTCTTTGAGAACATGACAGTTTGGGAAGTGTCATAGCTAATCGCATTCAAGAACCTGCTCATTCTTTAGATGTGGAAGTACAAACTTGGAGCCAAATAATCAGTTTGAAAGTGAGGGGAGCAACTTCCCTAACTTGTCCAACTGAGCCACAAGTCACGATCATGAATTCAGATCCTTCGTCTTTCTTTGTTACGAAGTCGTCTTTAACTCCTATTCACACACAGGACGTCACCCAAGTACTAGACGGGTTCCAGTCCGCTAGAACGTCAAACCGGACCTAGTTTCAAGTTTACACACCACAGTTAATGGTTCAAGGTATTGGCTAACACATGGTCTCCAAAATTTGCCCAGAGAACATGTTTTACTCAATTTGTAATATGGGGTGGAGCACCATCTTGCATGAAGACTGCTCAACCATTTTATTGGCTAATTGAAAACTACTTAAGGTTTTGCAATTGTGGCTTCTGCTCTCATACCCATGTGGTGTCACTAAAATTTTCTTTGCTTTCCCCTTGGTCGTGGTCATTCTAACAGTGCTAATGACTTTTGTTATGCCTGGTATGTCACTCTTGTGCCTTACAATGCATTCACAGCCATAAGCAGCTATATCTAACTCTGACCCTAACCTTAGGGAACAAGCAAAAAAAATTTGGACATAAAGTTTGCTTGTACTGCAGTTGATATCATAGTNTATGTCACTCTTGTGCCTTACAATGCATTCACAGCCATAAGCAGCTATATCTAACTCTGACCCTAACCTTAGGGAACAAGCAAAAAAAATTTGGACATAAAGTTTGCTTGTACTGCAGTTGATATCATAGTAGGCCTTATAAAAGGGTGAGTCCAGAAAGGATCCAGAAAATTTTCATGAGGGGAATAATTACATTTATTCCATACAGAAAAATAATTAATGATGAAAATTCATTGTTGCACCTAAGAGCTCAGACTTTCTCTTTCAGAAGTTCTAAGGTGCAAAGATAGATATTTCTCAACTTTCTTATATTTAAAAACTGTCAAAAAATTTTAAATTGCACATTCACCCTTCTGTCAGACTTGCAACAGCATGTTGGTAACTGATCATCTGGGAATGGTGATCACCTAGCGAGCTGCTGTCTTGCTTGGATTGGGCAAGCCATAATTTATGTAAACTCCATTCTGACATTCCTTTTCCATCAGGCTCGAGATGGTTATACCGGAATTCATGGAGCTCTTTCAAGAGAGGGCTACTGCTCCCTTCTTTGTATTTCAAGTGAGTTGAAATTCAGAAGTATACTTTGCATGTTCCTAGAATAGATCAAAACTTATTGACCACACAAACAGGAAAAGGGCCTGCTCTTGACAAATAATAGTGACAATTACAGTCAGTATAAAAAGAGTAAATTAGAAAAAAGGGCAGTTCTCATAGGTATGTCTTGGACTGTCCAAGTTAGATTACAAATCTAAGGCGAGACCTCTTGATGCCTGGGAAAAAATATAAATTTAAAAGAGTGAAAAAAAGAGAAAGCCCATTTTTCTGACAAATGATATTCTGGAAAACTATTATATCATATGACTGTTCTTGGAGATATTGATGCTTCTTTGTCATTTCATACCTGATAAAAAATTTTTAAAAAGGCAGACTCCTTCCACTGGCATTAAATTCTGCCTCAATTTTATTTTGCTATGTGAATAATATGAATTAAATTTAAAATTTATCTTTATGTCTTCTACTTTGAGTATATGTTGCTTGTTGTTTTATGATTTAAATACTTGGCTGTTTTTGCTTCATTTCTTAACAAATTTTCAAACATATTTCAAACTGTGCTACTTTATTTTCAAATGGAATTTTTCAAAATATGGATTATTGTGCTACCCACGTTTCCAATCAAGCTCACCACACTTGGGCCTTCTGTGCTATTTTGAGGTATTGCATATGAATTTTACTAGGAAACCCTTGCAGTACAGTAATTAATCTAGAGTATGGTATAAAGTATACATTTGAGTGGAAGAAAAATAATGGATTAATAAATAATACAAAATGAGACAAAATTCAGACTCAAAATTATGAATATTTTTCAGTATCCCATTTTCTTGAACCCTTTTAGTATGGTAAAAAAAATTACCCCCAACTTTAAATCCATATCTCTCTGGAAACTTACTGAAGGTGTTCTTTTGAAACATGCATTCTGTGAAAGCTTACATGTTCTCAAAAATTTAATCCAAATCCATTTTAGCAAAACAGTCCTAAGAGCCAATTCGTTTTCTTTTCATTTTAATTTTAAAAGAAGTAGGGATTGAAATTAGTGAGTTCAGTCTCCTCAGAGTAAGCTTCCTATGCCTGCCATCTCCTCCTAAGTAAAACAACATTTTAGTCTTTTCACAAACAAGTGCTGATTCATAAGTTTTTATGTTGTAAACCAATCTGAACTGTATTGAAGAAAAGGTCAACCTTAAAATACTGATTTATGGTCTAAGAGGTATTTGGAATGGCCACCATTATGTGCAATCACATGGTAAATGTGTTTCTTCCTCATCCCTGGCCATTTTCAATTTCAAACATCTTAAAGTAATAACGCATATCCTTGTATTAGCAGAGTATATTTGGAAGAAATGTCACAAATCAGTTGGAGACAAATGAGCCTGTCCTCAATGTATGTTTAATTTTGAAAGAGTGACTTCAGTTTGAATAGAATCTTATGGATTCACAGTTAGGGGGATCATTCTTAAGCATGTCCTGTATATGCACATCCCAATGATTTCATTGATATGTACCCCTTCATATTTAGCTGTGTTTTCCTATTGAATACCATTGTGAGGCCTGTTGCAGGTATTCTGTGTTACATTGTGGTGCATGGATGAGTACTGGTACTACTCAGTCTTCACCCTGATCATGTTGGTGACTTTTGAGTGTACTCTGGTTCAGCAGCAGCTTCGGAACATGACAGAGATTCGCAAAATGGGGAACAAGTCATATAACATTCAAGTGCGTTATGGTTTATAATATCACAGTTCATGTAATTTTGCCATGTTCCTTGTCTCTTCTGATGTTACTTCAATTATGAATATTTTACTTCATTATTTCTTGAAGGTGTACCGAAACAGGAGGTGGAGGCCTGTTAATACAGAGGACCTGTTACCTGGTGATATAGTATCCATTGGTCGAGGGGGCAGCGAAGAGCATCTTGTTCCTTGTGATCTTCTCCTACTCAGAGGTCCATGTATTGTAGATGAAAGCATGTTGACAGGTGGGATTCAAGGAAATTTATTCTGTACTTCAGGGGATTTCTGTACACTCTGCATGTAAACCCATCCATGTTATTAGTTGGTAATCACTAGAATGTAGGCCTGTCTCATTTCTCATTTTTTAGTTATGAGTAAATGAGTGTCTCTTCCCCTAGGCAAATATAGAGATATTTGTGAAGTTTCTTAAAGTTCATGCTTCATGATGGATGCAGCAATGAAGTTTATGCTTGAAATTATCTCAAAATGGTATTGCAAGAAAGCCATTGCACATTGCTGGCTGGGGCATTCTTTAATTTTGTTGAGTATTTATAGGTGAATCTGTGCCTCAGATGAAAGAACCAATTGAAAACCTAGAGAAGTCAAGGTTCCTGGATCTGGATACAGATGGAAAGCTTCATGTGCTTTTTGGAGGCACAAAAGTTGTCCAACATACAGCTCCAAGTAAAACTACAACAGGGCTGAGAGGTATGATTTTTCTCCTATCAACCTCTTTCCTTATCCTTTCCTGTTTGCATATTAGTATTCTGACATGTTTAGGACCTGTCATATATGACACTCTTGTTTTGGGAAGGGAAAATGGAGAGTTTAGTGCAATCTGAAATCTTCTGTTTTTGGGATAATAGTTGGAAGTTTGAGAAGTCCCTATGCCAACACCCTAAAGGGAATAATTCAGGACTCTTAAAATGTCATATTTCATCTGATGGCATTGACAAGATTTATATATGAAAATGTGACTGGCTTAAGTATGCTATTTTGCAGAGGTTACTCATCAATTGGCCTCTCACATTTATTTTCATGATTTGGCATGATAGAGATGCAAATGACAGTTACTCCAACTACCTGAGTCATCCAGCTGTAGAATATGAATGTACAGCCATGGAAGTGATAACATAAATGCTTCCAATGCCCCAGATCCAGCAAACACATGCTAGTTGTCATCTGGCCCTCTATTGGGACAGATGTCAGTGTTTTTTTAGAAACTGTTGGCATCTTTATTTCTTTCTTTCTTCTTCTATTTCTTTCTAATCGAATTGCAACACCTGCTGGGGTAGACAATGAGCCCTAATGACATGAGAGCTCAATGCCTATGGATACCATGAGACAATGTCCTGTCTCACAGGATGCATTCTCATCTTGATCTCATTGATTAGAAGAAATGATTAGTCTTGGCTTGAGTGGCCAAGTAGCTAGCTCAGAGCACTATAGGTGCAACTAGAAATTGTAGATGATTTGAGAATGGGGAAACAATCCTAATATTAGGAGGTAACTTTCAGGCCAGACAAGACTAGCTCACGAGCTGAAATTAGCCTGCCACCCACAGGTTGGAAATCTCTGTCCAATGATAATAGCTCTGTTTTGATGAAAGTTCTAGTTAGCATTATTTTACACTACACTGAGACCATTAGTTGAATTGGAGGGCAAAGACCTTTTCAAGCAGATTAAAGCCCCTACTTTATGCATGGCCATCTTGTCATTATTACATGGTCCAACTGTCTTTCAGCTCAAGACAATGGGTGTATAGCTTATGTTCTTCAGACTGGATTCAACACCTCCCAAGGGAAACTTCTGAGGACAATTTTATTTGGAGTCAAACGAGTAACAGCCAACAACCTTGAGACTTTCGGCTTCATCCTGTTCCTCCTTATCTTTGCAATTGCAGCAGCTGCATATGTTTGGATAAAAGGTTAGTATATATAGTAAGGCCACAATTGCTTCTCAGGTGAAGAAAGTGAACAAACTAAGACAATATGAGTTTAACATCTTGCTTACTTTCTGTTATCAGATATAGATGAACCCCAAGTTTCTGGGTTTTCAATGGAATTTCAAAGGGCTGTTGGGTATTGAATATAGTTGACAGCAGTTTCTGAATTGATAAGGAAATCAAAGTCAACCCAGAGAAGAGTCTCATATAACAATGCAATCTCAAAAAAGTCTGAATGTAATGCATTGCCATAGACATTTTCACATGGCTCTTCTATGGAAAAGTTAATTATATCTAGTGTCCTTTCGGTCTTGGGAAATAGAAGTTCTTAACGCTGTATGGCATTTGAAGCACTTGGATGAAAAACTTTCAAAATTGGCAGAAACCTTCATTATTCACAAGAAATATCATGTGTAGATGAACATGGGGCTCATACAATATCAGATGGAGGTATTAAAAGAAAACAAAGTATATATGAACTCCAACAATTCATTTGATACCCCTTTAGGGCAGATAACATTCAGGAAACCCATGGTGGGACTTTCTTCCAAGTTGGGGAAAATGAGTGCTGGTAAATTCTGGGAGTTAGGGAGGCAAGATATCAGAATCATCATTAAACAATATATTTCTCTTTGTTTCATTCCTGATTCTTCCAGGGAGTGAGGATCCTGAAAGGAACAAATACAAATTATTCCTTGAATGTACACTCATTCTCACATCAGTGGTCCCTCCAGAGCTCCCAATTGAGCTTTCACTTGCTGTGAACACATCTCTTATCTCTCTCACAAAACTTGGTAAGTTCCAGCTCTCCAGTGTTCTTTGCTTCTGTTTCCAGTTAAATTTTTCTACATTGCTATTTCCACTTTTCTATAGCTGTGTATTGCACAGAACCATTCCGGATACCCTTTGCTGGGAAGATTGATATATGCTGCTTTGACAAGACAGGAACCTTGACAAGTGACAATCTTGTGGTGGAAGGACTGGCTGGTCTAAGGCAAGTACTGTATATAAAAAGGTCAAGTGTACAAGGTGTCTCGAAAAAAATAGTTAAAATGCCTACTTCCAGGAATGTAAGCTATTGAATATGCTAGTGATCTATAAGTTTCCTGCCAGAGCATGCAATTCTGCTCTATGTTAGGGTTTTTTATGCTTTGATTAGAATTTGTATTGAAGTCTCAAAAATATGTGCAGAAGCAATAGATATGAGATAAAGCACTTTCAATTGGTGAGTGGGATTCCTAACTGATGTTAACCTGGGTAGGAATTTCAAGCAGATGGAACTGTGTGTTCTGTATAATTTTACAAGGGCTGGCTTTAATTTATGTCATTCAGGGCATCTCCTGTTCCCTTCATGAGGACTGCCACTGGACTCCACGACACAAAAACTACTCTCCAGTTTCAGAAGTTTCTAAATCCAGGTTGACCCAAGTTGTAAATGCTATCCCAGTTGGACAAATTTTTTCCTACTAGATCAGGAATCCATTGAGAATCTTGTAAAGTGTCTCAGGGTGTGTACAGGGGTCTTTATGAGGCACACCTTCAGCATGTCCTGTGACAGTGATAGTAAATTTATTTGCATATAATTTTCATTCTCTCAAATCATGATTGACTTTCATGGTCAAAAGAGAGCAAAAGTGAAGATAGCAAAAGAGAGATTAATAATTCATCTTTTGAACTACTCAAGGAATTTTTTTTCCAGTATAGGATATGTCAAGAATAATTATTTATTTTAGTGTTGACTTTTTTGAGATACCCTGTACCTTGACAAGACTGTTCTCAGTTTGTGAAGTCCAGAATACCAGAATTTGCAGTTGGTTTTACTCATGGACTTGAAAGGGATGTAAATGAATGAATTTGAGAAAACTAAAAAATAAGTCTGGTAATGTCAGAAAAAAATGAAGTGCTTTATTTTCTTATTAGGGGTACTTCAGAAATATCTCCACCACAGGATGCTCCTTTTGAAGCAGTTCAAGTCATGGCATCATGCCATTCTCTTGTTCAGCTAGATAGCGGATTAGTGGGTGATCCACTAGAGAAAGCCACTTTACTAGCAATTGACTGGCAGCTTACCAAAGGTAAGTTACTGTGTTATGTATGGCATCCTGGCTTTCCTCATTTTAATAAATGTACAAATCTGCCTTGGAAGTCAATTCAAAATTGAATTGTGGTTCATGAGATGTGGAAGAAATTTTAATTGGGTTCAAAATGAGGCTTACAACTCAATTTTATGATAGCATGGATGAAAATTTTCATAAAATTGCAAAACAAAGTATGAATTCATTTGGGGATGCATTTGTGATGCTATTTGCATTTCACAAAAGTATTTTTTGATAAGCTATCAAATCAAATCACATGTTCTTTCTGTTGCATTTCATGATACTACATCCACATCTCAAGAAAGTAGATGTAGAATCAGATTTTCTTGAAGCTGAACCACTAGAGAAAGTATTAGTTTTTTTTTCCAGTGAGAGTTGAGGTTTGTCTGAACAAGAGGCTTATACATATTTGCTGTCAGTTCACCTATGGCTCATCTATAGGGTGGGTAAAAAAAAAAAAACAAAGTTTTGTTTTTTGCAAGTTGTCAATCTGATTGTAGATGCTGATTCTGATGAAATTTGGTAGACATATAGGGTGACTCAATTAAGATTTGTGTGCCAAGTTTCAAATCAAAATGCCAAAACCTGTGAAAATGGCATTTCATTTACTGTTGATCACAAGAAAGTAAGTGTTCATTTTTAAATTTAAATCTAAAATTTCCCTGCCAGATGCATCAATTTTTCAGATGACATTCAAACCCACTCCTTGACCAATTTTTTTTATTGGTCATTCATTCAAAATTTTCCTTGAAGCATATATTATCCTTTTTCAAGTCACAAGTTTTTAATAAGAGCAAGACCTTCATCACTTATTATAGGCATTTTTGACAATGCACTTTCACCTGAAACACAAGGGAAGAAAATTTGAAGTTCCACTTAATATTCAGTGAACTAGCCTAGGCTTTTATAAAATGTCTTTACAGTATGTTGGTTGGCCTTAGCCTAACCTAGTTTATAAAGTAACTTAGCTCATTGCAGCAGGCAATCATGAATCATTCCATGAATACAGACCTCAAGTTCATATCAATATTTTTTATACAGCCTATTTCTTTGTGGGTCATCAGAAAATAATTACAGCTCCTATAATTTTATAGCCAAAAGGCTTAAATTTTGCACACAAACCCCAATTGTTACTATACATCTACCTAATTTTTCAGAATCCACAGGCTTTGAATCAGGTTGACAACTCACCAAAAATGACAGCTTTGTTTTTTTTTTCCCACTCTGTATTAATGGCAGATCAAGAATGTTTGACCTTAAATTTTGCAATTAGAATAATTTCAGTTCATGTTCAGTTTGGTTCAGGCTTTGTGAAAAGATCTGTTTAGAATTAGTGCTTTAATTTGTTTTGCAAGTGTGAACTGACAGATTTGATTCAGTTTACATTGAGATAAGAAGTAAGAATTGTGTCTTAAAAATTATTATTAATGTGTAAAGTAAGAATATGATACTAAAAATCTTCAGAGTATAGGTGGTGATTTGCCTAGGTGGTTTATGTCATATATGAGCCCATAAGTATTTTGGAGTTCTAGTTCTCTTGACAGTTCATGTTAGTCCATGATTGTTCCTGTTTGGCAGGAGAAGCTGTTCTCCCCAGGAAATCTCGAAACATGCCAGGAGTAAAAATTTACCAGAGATTTCACTTTTCATCAGCATTGAAGAGAATGTCTGTATTGGCTGGTTACACGCCTCCAATGTCAGCTGATATCTCCTACATTGCAGCAGTAAAGGGCGCCCCTGAAACTTTGAAGCCAATGGTGAGTCACAACTAATGATAGGCTCCAGAAAGAGACAGAGTAGTAGGCTCCAGAAAGAGACAGAGTAGTATCTAACTCCATCATTTGCCTGGAACTGGTTTTTGTTTGTCTGTAGTTCAAGGAGCTTCCCCAGAGTTATGATGAGATATATCTGGAGCATTCCAGAAAAGGAGCTCGTGTTCTGGCTATGGGTCACAAGGAACTTGGAGTGCTCAACAACCAACAGGTACATTTTAGTCACATGGTGCATTGTGGATATGCTTGTTGAATGAGGAACTTTATGAAATGTCATTGTTTTGGGGTGTATCCAAAATTTCCATTCATAGGTTCGTGAACTGACACGTGATGATCTTGAGAAGGACCTGTGCTTTGTTGGTTTCTTGGTCATTTCCTGCCCTCTGAAATTAGATTCAAAGCAGATCATCAAGGAAGTCATCAATAGCTCTCATAGTGTAAGTTGCTGTTATAAGCACTCAATACTTTATTATATGAAGAAAATGATAAGAAAGCATATATGTATTGAATAGTCAAATAGGATGTCACCAGATGTTCTCCATTCTCCTTTTTCCAGGTTTCAATGATTACAGGTGATAATCCCTTGACTGCCTGTCATGTAGCAAAGGAATTGAAGTTCATACGCAAGACAGATATCCTAGTATTGACCGAAGTGAACTCCAAGATTTCTCAATGGGAATGGCAGAGTGTGGATGAAAGCGTTTCCATGCCTCTTGATGTACAAAGGCCTGTTGTCAAATTAATTGAGCAGTATGACCTGTGCATTACTGGACTGGTAAGTATAATATAGGGAGTCTCAGCCACATTAGCTCAGTTATGTAATAAACAGCAGTCAATTGTAGCTATTCTGCTTCTGTTTCTCCTTTGATTCCCAGTTCCCACATTTTTAGCTATCTCAGGCTATCTCTGATAATTTTGTTGATACTGTACTTCAGGGATTCAGTTATCTCCAATCAGAACATCCTAAGTACCTGTCAGCACTCTTGCCCCACATCAAAGTGTATGCACGAGTGAACCCAAAGCAGAAAGAATCCATTGTTGTGGAATTGAAAGAAAGTGGCTATGTGACCCTGATGTGTGGTGATGGTACCAATGATGTGGGTGCTCTCAAACATGCTCATGTTGGTGAGGCTACAGTTTTACCTACTTATAATGTGCAAGTATTCTTCAGGTTTCATGATCTTCAGATCTTGACTGCTAATGTAATTGCAGGTGTGGCAATCCTCTCTAGCAGTCCTGTAGAGAGGGTTCCATCAAGAGTTTCTCGAGGTCAACCTGATAATTCTCCCCGATTGTTGCCTTCAACTTCTGAATCATTGGTGAGAAGAGGAGGAGGAGGTGGTCCCCCAATGCAGAGTGGAGCTATGAGTAAGGCCAGGGGAAGTTCATCTGGCCGCTCTGCATCAGGAGCATTCAATCAACATAGGGAAGATGGTCGCACTGATTCACTCCAGGTATTAATATCCAAGTATTTTCAGGGATTTCTCCAATTTCATGACTGACTATGTACAAGGATCAGTCAAAATAAATAAGTTGTATGTGCCAATAACCCTGAAGTAAATGTTTCTTTCTTCCTGTATTTTTTATGTTTTGAAGGGCTTGCATTTAGTCCATTGTATATCAGTCAACTCATTCTTGTTTGTGCTTTTATTTGTTGGTGATGAGTATACAGTATTTCAAAGGTGCTTGCATATAGCAAACAGAAGCAGAATTTCATTAAATTTGGTGGCTGCATGGCAGCCTTTCATTTTGGCAGAAAGGAAAGGCTACCCTGCAGCATTCCCAGTTCATTTTGAAAAATCATTGTGATTCAATGGCTTCACCAAATTTAATGAAATTCTGCCTCTGTTTGCTATATGCAAACACCTTTGAAATATACTCATCACCAACAAAAAAAGCACAACCAAGGAGGAGTTGACTGATCTTGATAATAAAAAAAAACTCAGTACACAAGCTTATACTAGCATACATAAATTGATTAGAGTTTCAAGTGTGTGGGGTGAATATTTACAGAGAAAACTTGTCAAACATTTCAAATTAAATAGCAGTTATAGGGTCATACTAGTGGCTATGGGATCATACTACTCCCTGAAATGGTTACCCAGAAGGTTTTTATTGATGAGACAGGGCAGGAAAACTCCCAAAGATAAGCAGAAAAGTTAAGAAATGTTTTGAGGTCATGAGATGAGGCATTGCAGAGAAAATTTCCCTAATGTACAAGGACTTGGAAAAGATAGCAGCATCATTGAAGGTGCCAGTTCCCTTTTTTCATTCCCTCAAACCCCTTTACCATAGGGCTGTTGTTGAAAGTTTGACTGCAAGACAGTGCCAAGGTGAGATCTCTTGAGGCAATTTCAGCAAGTTTTTAGGGTGTTTCATCAATGTAGGCCAATTAGGATGCATGTATCATCTTAAAGTTGATGCATTGTAAGCATCCCAATTACCCTCAATAGACTAAACACCCTATTAACCCCTTGAACACACCAGGTATTAGACAATTTCCTGCCATCATACACCAAAATTTTGTATTAAATAAAATATATTTTTCTGCTAAAGTTCTCTACTTAAATGCTATTGCCACTGATATAACTTTCTCTCGTGATACTGTTTCCCCTCATGAGCACTCACCATGAGCAACTGGTGAGTGTTGTGTATTAGTTGTGTGATGCATATGGGTGCATCATGTGTGTTCAAGGGGTGAACACTAAAAGTACTGAGAAAAATGTTTTGACTGATTTTTAATGCAATTTGCTCTGTTTGTTTGGCAACTAAGGGCCATTTTTACTTTCCCTATCTAATATCAACATTTTGAACTTGTCAAATAACATCTGAGAAAAGCAAATAAAATATTACAGATGAATGGTTTTATACTACTTTTAATGCAGCGGTCAAATTGACCACTGTGGTCCTTCTAGTGTTAACTTGCTGATTTGCCTCCAGTGACCTTATCTTGGCCCTGCCTCATGGTTTAACTCTCAACAATGAATCTATGGTAAAGTGGCTTAAGGGAATGAGAAAAGGAAACTGGCATCTTTAATGGTGCTGCTATCTTTTCCAAGTCCTTGGACATTAGGCAAATTTTCTCTACATTGTCTCATCTCATGACCTCAAAACATTTCTTAGTTTTTCTGTACATATTTAGGAGTTTCCCTACACCCATCATCAATTCATCAATAAAAACCCTCTGGACGACCATTTCAGACAATTAGTATGAGCCCATAGCCACTATTTAAATTGGATTATTTGACAAGTTTCTCTGTGAATAATCACCCCACACACTTGAAACTCTAATCGATTTCATGTATGGTAGTACAAGCTTGTGTACCAAATCTCATCAAGATCGGTCAGCTCCTCAGTGATGTTTTTTTTGGCAATGAGTGAGTATGTGAAAAAGATAGGAAGACAGAAACATTTACTTCAGGGTTATTGGCATATACTGTACTACTAATATATATTAACTGGTCTCTATATACTAGCACCACAAGCAGAGAACTGAAGGGTTATTGGATATACATGTTGGGGCATGTGAAAATTATGCTACCCAGTTTATAGACATTTTTATGTGGTCTGTTAAGGGAGAGTCTATTTAAATTGTGACCATGTCTTATGATTTTCAACAGTATCATTTGGTGAAAATCTTTTTCAGTTTTTATGAATGTCATGAAAAACCCATTCCACATTTTAAGTTTTAATTTTGGGGGGGAAAGCCCCTCCTACCATCTCACTTTCTTATGCCCATGCTTCTTTCAGGTTCATTTTCTGTTTTACAATCTCTTCATTGAATCCCTGTTTAGGAAAGGTTGCAGAATTCCCAGAGCCACTTGCAGAAAATGCTTCGTGACATGGAGGAGCAGGATCAGGCACAGGTTGTGAAATTAGGAGATGCTTCCATTGCAGCTCCCTTCACTTCAAAAATGTCATCCATCCAGTGTGGTAGGCTCTTGAGTTTCCATATTCTATGCAGACAATCAAGTATTGTTCAATTTTCTGGGTGTTAGGAGTGCATTGCTTTTCTCTACAGTGTGTCACATCATCAAGCAGGGTCGGTGTACACTGGTGACAACATTGCAAATGTTCAAGATTCTTGCACTAAATGCTTTGATCTTGGCCTATAGCCAGTCTGTATTATACCTGGATGGTATCAAGTTCTCCGATGGCCAGGCAACACTGCAGGGCCTGCTACTTGCAGCCTGCTTCCTTTTCATCTCAAGGTCAAAGGTGGGTGGGCTTTTTATTGCTATTATCCCTTGGGAAATTAAGGGACTTGCTATTCTAATCTTACTCCTTTCACAGCCACTGAAAACATTGTCAAAAGAGCGTCCTCTTGCAAACATCTTCAACCATTACACAATTGTAACTGTCATTCTTCAGTTCTTAGTCCACTTTGTCAGCCTGATATACTTGGTTCAGGCAGCTCTCGCCCGATCTCCAGAAAAACCGTGAGTCAAATGCAAATTTTACTTTATTTTTCCTTTCTTCACCTTTATTAAGTAACATTTATTGGATTTTTGGATTTTCTCAGGGAAAAAGAAAGTGTAGATGCCCATGAGGGAGAGTTTCAGCCCAATCTCCTCAACAGCACTGTTTATATTATCTCCATGTCCCTGCAGGTGGCTACATTTGCCATAAATTATCGGGTGAGTGATAGAGAGCTTTTTCCGTATGATAGTTGTTCAATCAGCTGGATTATCAGTGACTTTATGTCATTCCATTCAAGTCTAGTTTCAGACTTTTTTTCTAGAGTTCCTGTTCACTTGGGATAAATGAAACTAATATGAAACTGAAAAACTAAACTGGCATCACATGAAGCCACTTTCCAGTTAACAACCTGTTCATTTAGTTCATTCTCATGCTTTGATGAAGGAAGCCCTGAGAACACTTGGTTTACCTCTACTTTAGTTCCACTTTAGTTTCAGTTTCAGTTTCTGTTATTTGAAACAGGAACAAATACACTTTGATGTTGCTTTAGTTTCAATCAACTGGATATAAACTAAACTGAAAAGTGATGTGTCCAATGTAGTCAGTTTGTATCCAGCTTCAATTGACTGGAATAAACTTAAACTAAACTAGATAACATGATACCACTGTAAATGTTTAAAATTTCAAATATGTCAACATGACAGACTGATCCAGTAACTTTACTTTTGGATGGAATGTATATTGCAGACATAGTTTCTTATTCTGACAGGGTAATCCCTTCATGGAGAGTTTGACAGCCAACAAGGCCCTCTTCTACAGCCTGCTGAATTCAGGATTCTTCATTTTTGCCTTAGTCTTCAACATTATTCCAGAGCTTTCCTCACACTTTGAAGTTGTGGAATTTACTCCTGAGGTAAGCCTCCACTGCACAGTACCATGCTATTTGTATTTTTATCAGACCCATGTTGTTGACTGTTGGATATCACATCATCATTGAACCAACATTTCCCCAATTGCAGTTCCGCAGCATCCTGGTGTCAGTGTTGATAGGGGACTTCATGGTTGCCTTCTGTCTGGACCGGATTTCCTTATTTCTTCTTGGGGAAGGGAAGCAACGGATACACTGACAACTCAGGTTTATAGTGATGCAAAATTGCAGATCATTATTATAGGTTTTCTCTGTTTTGGGACCATTTGCACATTTTATGAGCTGGTTCACCTCTCCCTAATCTGAAGGTTCCCTGTCTGTGCCTCTGAAATCCAGGCATAATGTTTACAGTGAATGTGTGATTCAGCCTATATTTCCTGCCACTTTTAGTCTGTTGCATCTAAGTTTGCACATTCCAGCAACATATTCTCACTTTTCAGTTTTTAGCATACTATGTCATTCTGATTTGCATTTAATTGAAATAAGTGGAACATGAATCCATGACAGATCTTGAAAGGAACATTGTCAGTTGGATGTATTATTGAGCAAAATGATTGTGACAGTTGATGTTATAACTCCTCTCAACTGGCTGAACATTTTCTCTCAGAAAATCAAAATATTTCCATGCTTCATGAGCTGGGAATTGCTCTGACATTCTTGCAGAATCCCTTCATTGAATTATACCAGATAACTCCTGTGATGTGACACCAGATACTTCTTACTTGGAATGATAAAAACTTTATCCTTGCAGATTTATCACAGTTTCTCAGAACATACTTGGAGCAAATTTGCCAAGGTTTTTTTCTGTATGTTCTGAATTGATATTAGGTTATGCAAAGAAGCAAGATACAAAGAACACCATTTTCATTTCAGTAGTGTTGCATAATTTCTGCAGCAAATCATTGATTTAAGCTATCCTGCAACAAAAATGGAGCATTAAAATTTCAGAGTCACACTTCTGTGAGCAGTAGCCAATATTGTCTTGGTGCAAGGGAAACATGGGATAAAAGGACAAAACATGAACACTTGAAGATTGAGTTATTTGTGCAAACTTTAAGGTCAAGATGACTGGCCTTAGATGCATTTGACTCAGTCTTCAGGTGTTTGAGTTTTGCCATTTTACCCTGCATCTTACAGCAATATAAATGGCACTGAATTCTCCAGAAGATAATACCAATCCTTTCTATTGACTTTGATGAGACAATGCATCAATACATAAACCCTGGCAATGTACCCTCTACAGCAAAAAAAAATTTTTTTGCACTTTTGCCTGCAACAGCTGAAATACAAATCATTCCCAAAGTTCTACATGAATGCAAATTTTGTGCTCATCCCCAGAAGGTAGCAAGGTCATTATGATACATTTCCTAGAGTATTTGTCAATTTGATTCAACACAGATTTCAGTTGATTTCATCAGTAGAAGCTTGATTTTTTTCTAATTTCCAAACTTTTTCCATTGTTGAATTTCCCAATTGTTTTTTTGTGATACTTTTCCTTGCAGTGTTGGGAGTGAATAAGCTAAGTTATTTATGCAAATCAGCTTTTGCTTTTCACTTGTGCCTTTCATATGAGAAGTTTTCTGGCATGTTTTTGTGGGTCTCCTTTCCTGAAGGAAAGATACCACTTATAGTCCCATCCTGTCTGTGTGTCTGTGTCACTCTTTAGTCATCCAATTGTAACTGTAAAAAAATGGTCTGACCACAAGGAATCTTGGTATGCTGGTAGATGTGGACAAGTACAGTAAGAATTCATTTTTGCCTAATTTGTACAAAAAAATTATATAGCAGATTTTAAATCTGGAACTTGCTCACAATGAGAAAGGCATGAGCAACTCTCAGCCTTCTTGGATCTTGACCTCAAGGCACTTGTGAATCTCTCAGTGTGTGTTGGGCTATTGCCAACCAGAGGTGTTAGTTCCCTTCCAGCCATTGGAGCTGATGGATTCATTGTTGAGACAAAAGAAGGGAGGAGCAGTACATTGCAGCCGAGACAGGTTTACTAGCTGAACTTGTGCAATACCATATCTGGCAGTGCTCCATATTCTAGTCCCCTCCCATCTTCCAACCTGCCAGCAACATCCTCCTCCTCTTCCCAACAGTCATGGAAAGGAGGTCCACTACTGGACTGTTGCAGAATGCGAGAAATTCCTGAAAGTCTTCAAATCTCTTGCGTGGGGTTATGATCAGCTCAGCGGGAATTCAGACCAAGAAAATATAAGAAATTCAACATTATGCTTGACCCCATGCTGGCATTCCAGTTGTGCATGGTCATTACAGATCTTGCCTGGGTCATTTTTTTTTCAGTAAAGTTTTGGCCAGGATGTAGGACTAGTCACTAAATTTGATTCAGATTAATGTTTGCCAGCACTTTTAGCTATTATTGTGCTGCTGTAGTACTTGCTTCTGTGAAATCTTGTGAACATGTGTTCAAACTGAACCCAAGTCTTTTTTGCAAATGTATGGATTCTCTGTGTTACAATGAGGAAAGGGACCAGTAGAATTGAGCTATCTTATGTTTCTTGAGGCTTTATAGCCAAATTTATTTACCATGCTTAACTATCAGGATGTTCAGTTGAGAACTTGATCAACCTAGTAGCATCCACGGTCACATGCCAAACCAACCACCAGGACAACTTGATTGGGAAAAATGTCAGCCTTATCAAGAACCATGTTTCCCTGGCAGATGACAATTCCATAGTTGAATTGATTGGATTTCTGTTCTGCTATTGGATAACAGGTCTGAGGCATCTAGACATACTACAGGGTGTCCCACTTGAAAGTAGCCTGGCAAGTCATTCTGTATTGTTTCCTGTTTGGGGCTGTCTTTCAAGGCAGGAAAGGTTTGAAGACTCATGCAGTTATAACTCATGTTTCAAGATTCAGGATAGTGATATCAAGAGACGATTTCACCCATTTCGATATCACGTGTCGAGGTCGAGCTTTCCTTAATTTTAGGGTAGGCCTAACCCTCTTAAAGCTAAATATTTTTGTATTTTTTATTTTTATTTTTTTGCTTACTGTCTAGTACCTAGCGTCAATATTGCCCCCCACCTTTTTGTCTGTCCATGAAAGCATCCAATTTCTTCTTAAAGATAGTCACAGAAGGGGCAGCCACTACTTCGTCATCTAACGCAGGGGTGTCAAACATACAGCCCGCGGGCCGGATCCGGCCCGCGGAGGTGGTTCATCCGGCCCGCCGTTTGTTTTAGAAATTTCTGCTTGGATAGACTGTCGCCACAAATTTCAGTGGAAAATTATGGGTGCGGTCCGCAGGCATCTTCAGGGTAGGGAACGTGACCCTCCGACCGATTTGAGTTTGACACCCCTGATCTAACGCATTCCACGCGTTCACCACTCTGCAAGTAAATAATTCCTGTCTCGACCAGAGCAGCACCTGCGGTTTGCGCAACTTAAGTTGGTTACCTCTCGTTCTCTTGCTGCCATCAAACTGGAAAGACCTACCACACTCGACATTATCTATTCCTTCTTGAGATTGTGTAGTGTCTGGCAATACCTGTCGGCATTGATTATTGTGCTTGATTCCAAAAATTCCATTTGTATTGGACCATTCTTGTCCCCCTCAAAAAAACTAAGCATGATCTTTTTGGGCAGACTCTTGCGATTTAAACTTCCTCGGTCTAGGAGATGAAAAATGCCACCATTCCTTTGACTGTTCCTTCGTTCCAGATCGTAGCAGTGCAAGGGGAATATTTTTGAGGAATAGAACAGGCCCAGCTGCATAGGTGTACCAATTTCTATTAATCCTTTCCCTGGCTGGGATATCCGGACACTTTGAAGTTGTCGACGTAAAACTACACCGACGCCAGGGAGAGGGTTAACATCCAGCCTTAAGTAATNAGGAACGGTATCGAAAGCTTTCGCGAAATCTAAATAGACGATGTCCATGGGATTCCCCTTTCCTTCTCTTCCGTCGCCCAGTCGTAGAATTCGAGCAAATTGGTGAGACAATTTCGACGCCTCCTAGAGCCGTGTTGGGTGGTAGGGGTTTGTCGTGCTGCAAAAGCTTCCAGAACAGTAAGCAGTCAGTGTTATGTGCAATGCAGTTTTCATTACTGCAGTGGGATTATGTATTATTGAAAGTTACGTATTCAACAAGTTTGTGGACCAAATTACTCCTCATGAATGACAATATGCTTATTTCCAACAAAACAGAGCTGCTGCACATATTGCACAAACAATTACTTCATGTGTCCACCAAGTCTTCAGAGAAGGAGGAGCTTTGAGTAAAGTCTCATGGCCACCACATTCTCCAAATTTATCTGTATGTGGCTCATATCTTTAGGGGAACCTCAGATTCTAAGTGTACTCTAACCTCAGAACGATTGATGAACTGAAGGCCAACATTTCTTCTGCCATAGCTGCAATCGCGCCTGAAGAACTATGGAAGGTGCCCATGAAAATGCTGGAGAGGATACAAATATGTATCCATGTAAACGGCAGCTACTTACAACATCTGATGTAACATGTTATTTATTGTTCATATAAAAAAAAACTCACTGGGCTACTTCCAAGTGGAACACCCTGTATCAGGTGGGATGATTTGACAGCAGGTCTAAGGTTTTATTCCACTATATTTTGAATGTCTCAGAAGTTGCCCTTCAGAACAAATTCATGAAACTCTGCAGAGCCTAAAAGTATTGTATTTTTTTTATTGCTTCTATGTCCTGATACGAGGGGTGATCAATAAGTTTCTGCACACCATTTCTTTTTAAATTACTTAAGGCTGGATGTTAACCCTCTCCCTGGCGTCGGTGTAGTTTTACGTCGACAACTTCAAAGTGTCCGGATATCCCAGCCAGGGAAAGGATTAATAGAAATTGGTACACCTATGCAGCTGGGCCTGTTCTATTCCTCAAAAATATTCCCCTTGCACTGCTACGATCTGGAACGAAGGAACAGTCAAAGGAATGGTGGCATTTTTCATCTCCTAGACCGAGGAAGTTTAAATCGCAAGAGTCTGCCCAAAAAGATCATGCTTAGTTTTTTTGAGGGGGACAAGAATGGTCCAATACAAATGGAATTTTTGGAATCAAGCACAATAATCAATGCCGACAGGTATTGCCAGACACTACACAATCTCAAGAAGGAATTGAGAAGAAAGCTACCCTAATGAGGGACACTGATGTGTGCCTGTTGCATGACAATTCTTGCCCACATACGGCATTCAAGGTTGCACAGCTCATCGTCCGCTTTCAGTGGATTGTAATGACCCACCCACCTTATAGTCTAGATCTTGCACCCTTGGATTTTCATTTGTTTGGACCGATGAAGGCGCATCTTTGAGGAGTGTATTTTTCTGAAAGTGAAGACCTTCAGAATATTGCAACCTAGTGGCTTCGTCAACAAGATACAAATTTCTAACGAGGGGCATATGCTCTCTCCCCTCCAGATGGCATTAGTGAATGTGAACGGGGAATATTTTTAAGAATAGAACAGGCCTGGCTGCATGTGTATACCAATTTTTATTTACATCCCACCATTAGTACTTTTTTTTTTAATGGTGTGCGGAAACTTATTGACCGCCCCTTGTGTGTGTTGCTGTCGAAAAGTACTTTAGATCTCCTCACAGGGTGAGACAGCTTGAAAACTGTTTCTTTGCAGGGCCCTGTCCCTCCTCTCTTATCCCTTTGCAGTCCTATTACAAGCAGGCTAGGAAAACCCTTGCGAACGAGGTTCGCGGGAACGGAGATGCGCGGGCGGGCGGCCCGCTTAGTCCGCTTGCATATCCTTCCCGGAAAATTCCAATTTGTCGCCTCAGGTTCGCGGAAAAAATATATATTCTTCCTACACTGATGTCAAGTATACCCCAACAATTCAGAGAGAATTGAAGAATTTGGTTTGCAAAGGGACCTCATCGTTGAAATGAATTGGAACAGAGGCATACTATACAATATATATTATGGTAAAGGATACTGGTACTCAAATGTGAAAATGAAGAACTTGCACTGAAATGTGATATTAAATGCATGTCTCTGGAAAATGAAAGTCCTATAGCAGTGAGAATGACAGAATATAGTGATATACAAGGTATGTTGCTTCTCCAACAAGCAGTAAGTAGCTGTTATCTCTTAATGACCAAGAATAGTCTGTTGAGAACCAGTGAATATTCCAAATAGGAAAACAAATGCACGTGGCAAAGGGAAAACATCTTGAATTGAGCTTATCTTTCTCACAATTTTTTTAAAATAGGGGGTTGTAGTCTGTCCCTCACAGAGGAGAATGCTTTGCTTTCCTCACCTTTGACAATTACTATACTTTATGGGATACGGAATAATTTCAACGTTGTTGCAATGTGATTCCATCACTCCCCAGAGAGATCCACAGGAATATACAGTCTTTTGTGCTGGAAATGGGAAGCTAATTTTATGGCAGCAAAAGATTATTGGCTTGTGGGACTAATGCTTCAACTAAGGTCTTTTTATGACTATTTTTCTTCTATAAAGCATGTGTAATCCTCATAACTTACAGGATTATAATTTACTAGTTGGTGACCACATTATTGTTTATGTACATACTTTTCCGTGACCAAGGAGATAGAGGCTGATAATTAAACCTATTCACTTGACTGATGTTAAGTGAATAGGTTTCATTGGTTCTAAGTGGGTGGGAGTGAATGACACATCACTAATTTATCTGCAGTTATGCCATAATGCAAAGTGATAGACTACAAGTACATAATAAATAATAATTGTGAGTCTCGTGTATGAATTTAAGTGAACTGAATTTAAGTACAGTAAGAACTCGTTAACTCGGAAATTTTTGGGACCGGGCAAATCGTTTCGAGTTATCCGAAGTTTGACTTATCAGGAATTGCCCTCTACCCGTAAAAAAAAAAAAAAAATTACTCACGTTAAGGGATATAATAGGGCGATTTTTCCGTCCTCGAGAATCCGATTTCAAGGAGCGACGACCTTCTCATTACAATAGGTCTAATTCATGTCTAGGGAAACTATGACACACCATATACAGGGTGATTTTTTTTTATTCATGGGACCATTATAAATATACATAATCTTGGAATAAATTGAGTTAGATGACTGAAACTTGGCATCAAGAATCCATAAACATGAGAAAGTTACACTCTATGGGGAAAAAACATGTTCAATGTGTCCGCAGCTCGCTATTACATGTCGTAGGGGCGTGGTGTAATTCTGCACAACTGCTTGCAGGGTATCCAGGGAAATGGAATAACTTCACGATCTGTGGCCGCCTTCAGGTCTCTAAACGTGCGAATCCTACGGAAGTGTGGCCTAGTCAGATCAGATCAGATCAGAAAGTCAGTTCGAGTCAGTCCACTACGTGCGTGTTGACATTGCGGTCAAGTCAAGTGGTAGGCGAGGTCTCTACCAGAACAACTGCAGCATGGAAGAGAGTGAGGAAGAACTGGTGTCTACCCTGTTTTGTTGTGGCGATGGAGAAAGAGATGGCGAAAGAAGTTGCGGGTGCATCCCATTAATTCCCAAAAGTAGCAATTCGATTAATTCCATCACCTTTTCACCGAATTGCAGAAAGTCCCTGAGCGGTTCTTTTGGTATTTTCGCATGAGGACATCCTCTTTTGAGAAACTCTTGCATCTCATAGCTCCACACAATGAGAAGCAAAATACCAACTACCGAAGGACTATCCCTCCAGAGGAACGACTAGGAGTCACACTGAGGAGAGTCGTAGACATAATTCCATTGGTAACTCTCCAATGAAGGCTATATGTATTGATGTAGTGAAAAATTCGCTCTTCAACCCCTTTATTTCAAAAACACAAGATAAAGGGGGGGGGGGGGTCCTACGGGATCGCGAATACGTGCCAGTTAGAGAATGCCAGGTCATCAGTTGCTCGCTTAGACTTATTGCCAGGTCATCAGTTTCTGGCTTAGACCATATTTCTCTGCTGTCACACCTATCTTTCTCACTAATTAACAGTTCATGTCCTGTAAGCTAGTGCGAGAGCTGGAGTGATTCAAGAAGGTGGTGTCATTTCGCATCTCATGACCAGACTCATTCTCTAGTTCATAGCGCAATCAGGAGCCGCGCTCCTATCTCAATCAAACCCAATAAATTTCTAATTAGGGATGAAGGGAACTCATTTTCAACAGTCATTGCCCCTTCGCTTCCATGTGAAGGTGAACTTTGAGTTCGGGTAGCACGAGCGTGCTCCTGTGTTGTGCGAGCGCACGGAAGCCCTGATTCGTAGTACAGAGTAGCACTAGCAGGGGAAGAAGACGGAGTTGAGGCATAGTGATGAGAAGGTGGCAAAAAAAAAAAAAACAGGGGGCAGGATCGTAGATCTCAGACCTTTCGCGAACCAAAGATATCAGTACTTCCACTTGGGAAATCATTTCACGCATGCCTTCAAGTCCCATAGCACACTAAAGACTAATAAAAGACTAACGGAAAAATAGAGCCTGTGCCTATTTGCGTCTTGACTAAACGTGACTGACGAGGACTAGACTGGACTGATGCGATGTGAAGTGGATATCAGAAAGAGCATGTTTAGCAATGGAGCTGTAAAAGTTTTGACTAGACTTAAGATGACTTGACTCAACTAGACTGAAAAAGAATGATTGGTGTGAATGCACACTACGACTCGCCCAGCTTGACTGCCAGACTGATTATATAAGACTATAAGACTATACTAGACTGATTCGGTGTGAAGGCGGTATCAGTCATTGCATGTTTTGAGCTATGGGGCTCTAAATGTTTTGACTTGACTAATCGTGACTAGACTGATCCGATGTGTAGGCACCTTTACACATGGGTGGTTATGTCTATCACAAGATGAAGTGGAACTTCTGTAAATGTGTGGTCCCTCCATTCTCCACTATAGGTGGGTGGTACAAATTCAATTTGGAAACATTGTATTTGTAGACTGTCACCTGTTCCATTTTTATGAGTTTTCTAAAATCCTGTGGTAATTAGGTTCAGTATCAATCTACAATCTACACCCTCCTTTTCCTCTTGACAGAAAGAGACTCTTGGATAGACAGAAGGAGAGTATGGATAAAGTTTATAGAAGTTGAACCACTCACTGCTTCTAGCCATATACTTATAAGGCAGAGTTACATAGGAATGCAAAATGAAGCCAACCTTTGGATACTTCTTCAAAGGAAATCCCACACCATTGATGCTGGTATAAGCTGTTATTATTTTACAGTTCAGAGCTGCTGATGACACAAGCCAGTGCCAACCTAGGCATAGTTGAGAAGGATAATGCCTGAGATGAATTCATGGCTTGAAACAAATTTTACTGTTTATTACATGGAATTTCTTTACCCTAGCATGAGTGATCATCCTGAACTGTCTTCACAAGGTAAAATGAAACAGGGTGACAGCAAAGGAGAAGGAAAAACCCAATTTTCTGAAAAATAGGTTATAGTGGAATAGGGCTGCATATTCATTTCAGAACAGAACATCCATCTGCTGTATTGCAATATATTTATTTTATTATCAATTGATGGAGGAAGTAGATAGCTGTGTTGGCACTTCAGAAGTTTTGGGCTACCTTTTATCCCATTCTCTGGCCTAATGTTTGGAATTGATTTCATTGTCAGAGGAAAGAGAGAACAAGGGAATTATGATGATATTCCTCTTATTTAGGTTTTCCCTTTCAGTCTGTTGGATGAAACAATACTCCATGTGGTGTATTAATGGGCTGCAATGAGGGAAGGAGAGAGAAAGGAAATTCCCAACCATTACCTTTTATGTTTTTTGGTCTGAGAGCTAGTCCCTACCAAATATTATCTCAATGTTGAATTATTGATATTTTCTTTGGGGCATTGGTTGCTGACAGGAATAGGCTAGGCTCTTAAGTATGGAGGAAGGAGTATATTGGTCTCAAAACTGTTCCCATTTTCAGATATCCATTTTGAGAATATTTTCAATTGCATGATGTAGCTGTACATGAGTATGCAAGAGTTTGACTTTGATATGCAGTCACAATTTTTTCATAATATATTGTGCAGCCCTGATATAGCCTACTTAACTCTCTCACAGCAGATTTGTTGTGATTGATTAATTATATCTTCAACCCTAGGTTTTAAGTGTCCTTAATATTTTCTTAAGGTTTTGTGAGTGAGAATGACTGTAACAATGGTTTCTACACTGAGGATGCGTCTATGCAGTGTTCATGGATCATCTTATGTGGCCGTGAGTTTTCACATTTTGAATTTGATTTGTCTTGTGCCTTGAAGTGTATATAATGGTTACATTATTTTTCCTGGTTTTCCTTCTTTCTTTGTGCTGCTCCAATATAGTGTATGGGAAAAGAAGTTGTTGCCTTGATTTAATAAATACTTTTTGTTTGGAAATCATAGAATGAATTTGGCATTATTACAGTCAAGGAGCCCTGTCATTGGACATGCACAGAAGTGGATTGCCCCGAGTTCATGCATTTCAATGCTGAAGGTAGCCAGGAATCCTTGTAGGCACAATTCCTTAGCTGCATCACAGGTCCAGTTCCCCCGTCTCCCAGTTCCACCTCTTGATCAGACTTTGGCCAAATTCTTGAAGTGAGCAAATTAAGTTTTTTCTTTGATACATTCTCAGAACATGACTCATAAGTGGCATGATCATTTCAATGTGTGTGGAGCAGGACAGTGAAGCCCCATTTAAGAGATGATGAGTTCAAGGTCACTGAAGGTGTGGTTGCAGATTTTCAAAGGGGAGTAGGCCCAAAACTGCAGGCTCTCCTAGAACAAAGAGCTGCTAATACAGAAAATTGGGTGAGGCTCCCAGCATTTGCTAGTTGTGGGTTAGAACATGTTATGTGTTTTATTTTTCATTCATAGTCAAAATTTGTCACTTACAGCTGGCTGATTTCTGGCTGATGGCAGCATACTTGGGAGTTCGTTTGCCACTTCCTGTCTATTCAAGCCCAGGAATTCTGATGCCACTACAGAATTTCAGAGGAAAACAGCAACAATTGCAGTATGCCGCAGCTCTGACAGCTGCTGTCATTGACTACAAGACAATGATAGAAGAGTATGCCTTTATTTCTGCTACTCAGAGGGTGTGATAGGTGCTTCTCAAATTAAGACATGGGGAATGTGTTCTTAGGAACAAAATACCAGTGGAGAAGGCAGGAGGTGTTCCTTTGGACATGTCACAGTACAACAAAATCCTTAGCACTTGCAGAATTCCTGGTGTTGAGCATGACTCTATAGAATATCATGCGGAGCATTCACCCACCCACATTATGGTATCCCACAACAATCATGTGAGTCTGCCTTGCAGCAGTATAGGCTTTCACTTGCATCCCCTCTCCTCTGACTCATATTCCATTCTGTAGTTCTTCCATGTTGAAGTTTATGGCAAGTCAGGGAAACCCCTGAACCAAAGTCAGATCTACGACCAGCTAGTGTCTGTAGTGGAACACTCAGCACACAAGGCACCACCTCTTGGAGTCTTGACAACAGACAGCCGACCCAATTGGGCTCATGCCTTCAATGCCATGATGAAAAGTATGCAATCATACCATCTTACATTCCATCAAATCCATTTTTTTTAATAGCTATGCACAAAGAAGTGAGGGTGGCAGTGAGAGATGAATGCCTCTGTTTTTGATGAAAACATCAGGTTTGTTAGGTATTATGATAAAACTAACCCACACATGGATGGTTATTGCTCTTAATGTTCCTAACGGGCCTTAGCAAGAGCCAAAGTTGCAATACTCATTTATTCATTAAATGGTGTGAAAACTTGAATGCATTTTACTGTGTTCTGAAAACTTTTTTTGTGAGGACATGTTAGTTCTCAACATTTAAACCGTTTTGAATGATCTGCATTCAAGATCTGCTGGGTTATTCATTAAAGGTTTTATTATCTTTTATTACTTTATTATTATTATCAAAATTGGTATTTAGGCAAAAACCCTTTGTTTTGGACTAACTCCTTTTCTTCCCCAAGATATGTGCATTCACTTTTGGAAATTGTCATTTATAAAATCAGTAAATTCAGCATGTATACAGCAACACATAAGTCTTGTATGAGAAAACCTAAAATGTTTGCATGGCATATTGCTGCAAGAAAGGACATTATTACTCTAAGGCATAAAATCAATGCTATGAGAGGCTATAAGGAACAGCTTTATGACTACCAACTTGATGAAATGGCTACCTCCACCCTCCAAAGGTTAGACCTCACTATCTCTTGGATATTGCAAATTAATTAGTGTTTTATTTGAGTCATAGTTTGTGGGGTAAATAATCTACCTTGAAAAGTTGTTGTACTTTGGGTAACGGATATTTTTGAAGAAAAGATAATTCAATGAGTGTCCCACTAGACTTGATTCAGTAGCTGCTTCTGGCAGTTGCTTGTATATTGGAATACTAGCTACAAACTCCTCAGAGAAATAATCAGAAAGTTTTATGGAGTATTTATCATGCATTCAATTTTTTGCATTTCTGCAGGAGGGGGCTTAACCCACTAAGGGCTTAAATCTGAGTGGTTTGGCTCAATAATATCAACCAAAATTTCTGACAAAATTTGAAACTAAATTTCCACCCCTGTTCAAAACTGCCCCCACTTTTTCAAGCATAGTCACTTTGTTAAAGGAGAAGGCTTGCCAGACCAAGAGGGAAAGACTTACATTTTTTTAAATATTGGCATATTTGCCCACTCCAATCAATGTATTCAATTCTTCTGGTGTTTTGCACATGCACTCTGCTTTACATAAACTTTTTATATCCATTTTTATGCATTAATGCCTACTACTTCTTCACCATTTACCTGCAGGCAAACAGAACAGAGGATGTCTAGAATCCATCCGAACTAGCATCTTTTTGCTGTGTTTGGATGGAGAGAATCCTGATATGCCTGCTCATACCTCTGATTTCAAGACTGTTTGTGCTCTTCAGACCATCCATGGTTGTGGATCAAAAGGAAATGCAGGCAACAGATGGTCTTTGGATTGCTTGTTTCCTCTGAATCCTACTCATGTTTCAACAAAACCCTAACTATATCACTCTTGTAGGTTTGACAAGACTGTGCAGTTCATTGTGGGAGAAGAGGGTCAACTAGGAATGACCTATGAGCACACTCCTGCTGAAGGACCCCCAATTGCTAACCTTACAGACCATGTGATGGATTTCATGTAAGTTTCTTTTAGATATGTTTCATTAGTGACCAGATATATGATTCAGACTTCAATTTTTCTTCATCTCAACCACCTTTTCTAGATACATTGAATGTCACATTGAATTTTGGTCACATTGCTGCAAAATATACATAATCAGACTGATGGAATAGGAAATGTGACCATGGTTAATCCTTCATGTACCAGAGTTGCAGATACTCTAGCTTTATTTTTTAATTGACCCAGGGAGTAAGGCTGCAACGGTCTCAACATTACTCAAAAGTGCTTTAGTAGAATACAGAAAGCAATGACCAAACTCAAGAAACTCAAAGGAGAAGAAAAGTCAGGGATATTTGGGATAAGGAGTAAAAAACTTGTTAATGCAGAGCCATTGATGTGTATTCACATTGTGTGTATTTCACCAATTGCCTCATCACTGATATCATGATCATGACTATGATTTAGTCAGCCCTGACCTGTTCTATGAGTAAGAATTCAATTCTAATTGAATGTGCTTGATCTCCATGTATAAAATGCAGCTCCTATTGCTTATGGTTAACTTGCTTGATGTCACTGTAAGTGAAAACTGTGGTAGGTTATAAATGGCTCTGGACTTATTTCTGATGAAAGGGAGCAATGGAAAAGGAAAATTTAAAACACCATCCAAAAGTCATGTGGCCCAATCCTGAGCTAGCCTGAGAGGCCTATAAAATGCAGCCTAAAGGACCTAGAGGTAAGGATGCCTGATTAAAGATTCAATTGGCTTCAGTTTAAAAGGAAATTTTTTTACCTTAATTATCATCAGTATAACAGTTAGAATTGAATTAGAAAAAGGGGATTCCAGATGAAGTTTTAAATGCATCAAAATCAGTCTAAGTGAAGTAATCAGTAAAGCTTATTAGGGATATTAGCCTAAAAATTGAGTTGAACATGTTTACACTGGACTCAGAAACACCCAAGGCTGACCAAGTATCATAATAGTTGCTTTTATTGACCAATAATACAATAATCAAACCTTTTAGACTCAAAAAAAGAAATATTATCAAACTAAGCTGAAAAACACCTAAACTTTAGCTTTGGTAAAGAGCTTAACTGTCTGTACCTTATCATGACATCTAAATGATAGGGTAACTTGGGGGAATATGGCCCTACAAAATGAAACCTGGTCATAACGGCCCATCAAGGTTGAATTTGACTTTTGCAATGTTTCTAAAATATTTATTCATATCTCCTTTACTAAATCTGAGCAAGGCACATGCAAAAAACTGCATGAATATTGCGCCTTCGGATCCTTTCCAAGTTGGTCTCAATGCCATATTACCCATATAGTTGGGGAAATATGACCACTTCTGATAAAGCAACTCCAGGTTTTACAGGAACATGTGAAATATGCTGGAACTTGCTGAGTACCTTGAAACATAATAAAGGATGCTCAGGAGTTGAAAAAGAAACACTAACTGCATTGAGAAGAAGCAAAGAAGTTGACATCATTATCTGACTCAAGGACCTGCTGTGGAAAGCAAGATTGCAATGCTTTTGGTTTTAAGTAGCATTGCATGTGATTGGGAAACTGTATCTATGAACTGTGGGTGTAAGAAGAGGGATCAAACATAGATCAGAGTGAACATGCGTTAAGTTGTGTCAAATAAGAGGTCTTATGTTGCAGGAAAACATTGTGAAGTTTTTGCACACTTGCATTCAAATTTCGCACCACAAAAATGTTTGGTGGATTTCAAGTGGATGTCAAAGAGGTGGTGCATGTGCATATCCTCATGCACCACCTCCTCATGAACTGCATATTTCATCCAGATATCCAGTATGTCTATCCATATATCCAGAGGAAGTGCATGGGATGATCTTTTGCTGCCTGAGGTTCCACATGAAATGAAGCTGACAGTACCAATTGGTCAGTGCGGTGCTACCATGGAATCAAGGATGTGTCCATATTACCCTAAATCAGGGTGGCCATATTCCCCCAAATTGGCTTGCATGACAAAATTGACAACACTCTATGTGTACCACAAGTGAAGGGGCTAGCACTTTCCACAAGCATTCAGGAGGAACCATAGCATAACTTTGAACAAATGGTTTTAGTATCCATGCTGCTGTTAGGAAATAAATGCTTAAGTGGCTCAAGGCCCATATTAGTTTCAGGGCCGTGAGTTGAAGAATCACATGCATACGACTAGAAGAAATCTATGTATCCTGAATTCCAGTGAGAACTAGATCAATGAACATGTCTAAACATTTTGACAATTGCATGCACTCTTCAATAGAACTATTTTAAAATTCGCCCAAACTAATTATTCATTCTGTTAAGAGATTCATTGTGAAGGGCCATATTACCCCAATGGCCATATTCCCCCAAGTTACCCTATAACTTGAAAATCAGAAAATGACTTTATATCAACATGGCCACTCTTTTTGAGGCATGGTGATGCCATTATGACATTCATGGTGAGATTTCATAAATGTGCAATAGACATTATATGTTTTTTGGGTACAGATTTAATTATCTCTCTCACCTCTACCAAAAGTACTCCAGCAGACTTTAGTTACAACCACCCATGCTACTTCCTCTGTGCAGAACCCAATATGGTCAATTCACCCAATGTCCCTTTCTGTGCCAGATGCCCATAAAGTTACTTTGTACTTTGAAGCATTTGTTGCTTTCCAAGCTCAAAAATATAAAAATGAAACCTGATAGGGATGTGTTTTACTCATGAAATATTTTTTTAATGCATAAATCAAATCTGAAATGATTAAACTGAGTCTTTGAACACTATTTTCTAAAGTCCTGCTTTCTCTAATTTCAAACTGCAGGAGGATCAGATCTGATATTAAAATTCTGGAACAACTCAAGAACAGTACAAGTTCAAGTGTATTGTGAGTAGGGATGAGGCAGTCAATTGACCACCTTTTCATTGACTTCTTTTTTTTTTATTCAGCGAATAAATAAATTTTTATAGATCTCATAGCTGTGATCATTTATCCTCCAGCGCTAAAACCAAAGAGTCAGTTCCATTTTAAAGTTGCTACATGTTCATGCAGCCTGCCAAATATCTGGACTGTGGCATATGAAAATAAAAAATTTATAGCAAATGCTCAAATTACCAGAACCTCTCACCTGAGTGGTGTAGAGTGTGTTTCAGGCATAACCTGCTGTTCAAGGTCTTCCAACCTTTATGATTTTGAAAGTTAGGGTCCAAGATCCAAGTTACAGCTTTAGAACTGCAGTTCAATGCTAGGTTTATCATGGTCTTGGCCAATAGACTGCATCAGAGTATCAAATCATTCTCAGAGTCTGTGAACAAGGGACATGTACTTGGATTATGCTTAGGCTAAAGCCTATAAAAATTGATATAGCTATGAAGAATTTCCTTGAGCAAGGTGGAGGCTATTTTTTCTGGTAGGAACAGGAATAAATGCTAATACCAGAAACCATGACACTCCATTTCTGGAAACTATGTACTGTATTCCTCACTATTCAGAGTACTTTGGAGCTACCTAGTTGCAGAATTCACCTGTGAAACATGACTGATTATTGTTTAATGTTCCAACTCATGCAATCTATATGATAAAGTCTACCTTGGCAACAAGATGTTGATTGGTCTACATGGTCATTTATGATCATATACCATCATTAGGCCCAGCCTCTTGTTGGGCTGGTTGACCATTATTGACCATAAATGGTTAGAAGAGACCATGTTAACCACTCAACTTCCCATGTCTAGTCTATCACCTTAGAGTCATGACATACAAATGGAGCACAAACTGTGCAGGAAAAAACAAATAAAAGTTGGCCTAATTGACCGTAGTTGGCTGTATTGACCAGTCAATTGACATGTTTTTAATTGACCAGTCAATAACCCATCCCTAATTGTGATTCTCCTAAAGTGGACATGTGCAAAAACTTTTCCTTCCTGTACTGCAATTGTTGAACTCACCTTAAGCTGCCTTTAAGTTTGATGATGATCTTTCACTAGGATGAAGGCCCAGCTTGTGCAACCAGTCAGGAACTTGGTCAATAAAACCTTCCATTTCAAGTAAGTGCCAAGAAGAGGAAATCTTATTCAGTGGGCACCTTGCACCCCTGCCTCACCTGCATTGATATTTTCTATGGGGCCTTGCAACAACCAAGGTTTTATGTTAAAAGACCCAATATATGAATTACCTAAGGGCAGAATCCTTCCTCTCCTTTTAGACGTTTCTGAGGAAATGCTGTCAGCAGTATTGGAAAACTAAAGAAAGATGGCAGAAATGCCTGTATGTTGAACATGGGTATGTAGAAAAATGGACCAGAATAAAACTTCCTCTTTCAAATCTTATTCAGAAATGTAGGTAATTTTATGGAAAATATTTCTCAAATGTTTAAAATAACATAATGTATTTTATTTTCTGAGCACCTGATATTATGAAAAACTAGGACTGTACCAATGTATCAGCAACTACCAGTATTGGCCACCATTGTTACACCATCAGCCAGTTTGCAAGTTGCTGATGCTGATATCCAAAGTAGGGGCAAAACAAAAAAATAACATGAGCATGGGAATGTGGCTAGGTGCTGGCCCTCATGTCTCACTGAAAGCCACTCCTGCAGGCCTCTCCTAGACAATAACATCCATTGAATTATGTTTCATCCCAAGTGTAGCAACTGGTGGAGGAAAATAGTGGGGAAATCATTTCCCCTCCATGAAAGGAGGTTATGCTTATATGAGAGATATGTCATTAAATACTCTTAATAGCCACAATAGGTAACAAGGTAACCACTGACAGACACATGGACAGACAGACAGGCTGGACAGGAGCAAAAGTGGTCTATCACTTTAAAAAAGAGGCCACTAATATCACATGGCTGCCAAATAGTCCTATTTGAATTAGTATGTTATTTCATGTTACTTACATCTCAATCTACCAACCACAATTAGCACCAGCAGATAGTTATGAGGTCAAAATTGGCCATTGGCCCACCAGCCAAATGTGGCCATCAGTATAGCCCTATTAAAAACTTAGTATTTCTAGGTAAAAAAAAAAAATTAATTTGTGCAATAAGAAACTATCAAGTTTAGTTCTATACTGGGGGTAACAAAATTAAATTCAGAATTTTGATGCTCTATATTTTTTTAATTTGTGGGTTTGGTGCACAAATTTGAGGCTACAGGTGATGTTGAGGACTGTGTACTAAGGAGTGGCATCAAAAGGCTTTGTCCAAGAGGGAGAAAAGTGACTTAACTAGAATCACCCATAGCCTCAAATTTATGTACAAGACCCAAAATTGCTTGTCTTGACAACAATTCTGAGCTGGAGAGCTTTCTCCATTTTTTGCTGCATCTGTGACAGACTTTGTCCCATAGTATGTCTTTACAATGAAAACTTGTTCTTCAAGGGTACATCTAATAGCCATTGCCTGAAGCATAAACAAAATTTTAGGCTATATGCTAATGCCTGTACCTTATTTTAAAAGTTTGCTTTCAACATATCCTACATTTAAGAATAAAGAGCATCAAAATTATAAAATTACTTTTGTTACACCCTTAATATGGAAAGATGTTTTTGTATATGAGAGAAATGAAATTTTGACATTGTAAAGTGACTTTTCTTTTTCTGTAAAGTAACCTTGCATTTATTATCCTCTTCCCATCAGCCACACTTGCCCCATCAAAAGTATTTTAGCAACTGTCAAAGTGCAAAGGAGACCAACACATGATCTAAGAATTGCACAGAAATTAATTCAAAGATTTCTTCCCATTGTAGACTTGAAGAGAGGGGATCCAGATGGTTGCCTGCTCCTGATGTTCATCCACCAAGAAGGCTTGACTTTGAGTACAGTGGAGAGGTTATGTCGGCCATTGACATAGCTGAGAAAAATTTGGACATGTGAGTCTGCTATTTCAAATTCTTATAGCTTGTGAACCTCTACCATGATGTCTCAACTTTGTGCAGGCTTGCAGATGATCTTGAGATGACAATCTTCTCATTCAAAGATTTTGGAAAGAATTTTGTGAAGTTCCAGAAAATGAGCCCTGACAGTTTTATACAAATGGGATTGCAGTTGGCCTTCTATCGGTGTGTTAATTTTCTCTTTCTTTATTGTTTAAGTGCAAATATGGAGGTTTAATTGCAATTAATTGTCACCACAAGGATCCATGGTGAAGCAGCTGCTACATATGAGACTGCATCAACAAGAAAGTACATTCATGGGAGGACTGAAACAATTCGTTCTTGCTCCATAGAGAGTGTGGATTTCTGCGCAGCAATGCTGGATAGGAATGCCTCACCACAAGAAAAGCTTCATAAAATGAAAGCAGCTATTGATGGCCACAAGAAGTATGTTGTTGATGTAAGTTTCAACCCTGGTTTGCATCTTTATAAATGATAGATTGTCTAGCTCTACGGTCTCCAAAGGCTCAAATAAAAAAATCTGTCTAACCCTTGGGCCAGGGGTTGCCTGTCTGGACTGTGGGGGTACATCTGCTTGTGCAGCCTCCAGACATGGCCACCTTTGATCCAACAGATCATGGAAGTTGTGGGCATTTCTGACGTGTCCGTATGTGGGTGCTGTTAATTATAATCTGACTCCAGTTATGATGGTAGTACCAGTGAGATCCATAATGAATACGAGATGGTTCAACCACAGGAACAAGAGTATATTAACAAGGTAAAGACAACTGACCAGAGAGATAGAAGGGTTCACCTGGGTGACAGAGTAAAGGACATCCACATGTATTGGGTCATCCCATAAGTAATGCACAAAAAGGTTCTTCGAACGTTATTTGGTTATTTTTAACCATTACCATACATCCATACGTAAACTTTATTTATGACTAGTTCTGTGATTGAACAGAAGTAAAAGTATAGTTTAAAACTATTCACATGTTCGATTATTCTGTCTTTTCAAAGAGTTTAAAATGGAAGTGACAAAAGAACATATTCGGCATATTATGCTGTACGAGTATAGAAAAGGCAACAACGTGACGATAGCGGTAGAAAACATATGCCAAGTGTATGGGGAAAGAACAATTAGTGTAAGTCAGTGTCAACGGTGGTTCCAAAAATTTTGATCTGGGAACTACAGCCTACAGGATGAGCCTCGTGCAGGAAGACCAGTGGAGTTCGATGAAGACTTATTGCGGATCACAGTTGAGCAGAATCCCATTGTAACCATTGAAGAACTGGCTGAGAAACTTCATTCAACCCATTCCACCATTCACTGGCACTTGAAAAACATTAGAAAGGTTCCCAGATTTGGACAATGGGTACCACATGAATTGTTGGAAACCAATCTCCAGCAAAGGATAGGTGTGTGTTCAAGTCTTCTTTCCCGGCTGAAGAATGAGCCGTTCTTGAATTGGATTGTTACGGAGGATGAAAAGTGGGTTTTGTACCACAATGTTAAACGTTGCAGACAATGGGTCAGCCCCAGAGAAACGCCAACACCGCAGCCAAAACAAGGACTTCACCCACGGAAGGTTTTGTTGAGTGTTTGGTGGGATATGGATGGAATTATCCACTTCGAACTGTTGAATCCCAACCAAACCATTACTAAGGAACTTTATTGTATGCAAATTGACCATTTGAAGACAGCACTGGAGGAAAAACAACCAGCTTTGGTCAACAGGAGAAGAGTTCTGTTTCATCAAGACAATGCGCGTCCGCATGTGGTGAGGGTTACGTTGCAGAAACTGGAAAATTTTGACTGGGAAATAATGAACCTTCCACCGTATTCACCAGACATCGCTCCATCAGACTACCACCTGTTCCGGAGTCTACAAAACCACTTGAACGGAATGCAGATGGCTACCATAGATGAAGTCAGAACTGTATTGGAGGAGTTTTTCAAGTCCAAGCCAAGGGAATTTTACAAGAAGGGTATAAAAAGTTTACCAGAATGATGGAAAAAGGTTGTAGAGAATGAGGGAAAATATGTTATTGATTAAAGGTTGTCGAAAAGTTGTTTTATTTTTAATTTAAAAATATATAAAAGAAACCGCATTACTTATGGGATGACCCAATATATACATAGAATCACTGAATAGCACTGACTGAGTCCAGAGTCTCGAGTCGTCGAAGATCTTCCTCCCAAGGTAGGGGCAGTCTCTCGGAGGTGGGAGGTGGTGGGGAGGAGGTGACTCCTCCCCCTCATATCTGCTGGCCTCCCCCTGAGGTCCACAGAGTCCATGGAATTTGTATGATGAACTGAACCATGTTATGGTACTTATCTGCTGAAGGCATGTAAGTTGGCATGCAATTTAATGATATTCTAGGCTTCAAATGGGTATGGAGTTGATCGCCATCTGCTGGGCCTAAAGTTGCTGGCTATTGAGAATGGAATGGATATTCCTCGCCTCTATATGGATTCTGGATTTGTTCGAAGTTCTCATATGCGTCTCTCAACAAGTCAGGTGTGTAATCAAAATTCTTGACTAAATATGATTTTTTTGTGATGGTTTCCATAATAGCTTACTCATTCTTCACAGGTTCCTGCAAAGCATGCCACTGTCATGTTTTTTGGCCCCTTGGTGCCTGATGGTTATGGATGCTGCTACAATCCAAGGTCAGACTCAATTGAGTTTGGCTTCTCTGCCTTCATGTCTAGCCCTGAGACCCATTCTAAGAAATTAAAGGCAGCTGTTGAACAGAGTCTTATAGATATGCAGGCTGTCTTGGCTCAGACTCAGCAGGCCAAGCTTTGAGCCAATTTCATATTCTCATGTATTACATATCCCTTATAAGGAATGCACTCAATGACTTCTTATTGCATCATCCTTTTTGTTTTGTTGCCTTCAACTTTTATTTCTCTGGTTTCTCCTCTCCCTGTTCAGATAGGAGTTCTCACTAGAGGGCTTTCACTTTGTATAGGAATAAGCTCCATCTCATACTATTCATGTGCAAGTTTGCACCTGAACTGTTATTTCTTCATGGAGAATTCTGCCTGGTCTTGAACTTCCCACTGATGACTGAGACTGTCATAGTGCTGTTTCCAGTCTGAGCATAGCCTTGTTTGCTTTTACTGTATTACTCTGCTGTGCCTTTGCTACTTATTTTTTCTGATCCTGATTTTTTCATTTCCTTGCCCTCCTTGCCTTTGCTTTTGCCTCTGCAGATTTAATGTTATCTGTTAACTCCTGTCACTTTATTATTCCTGCTTAATTTCCCATCATACAAAGATGCCGTACTGAAAATTTCACTGAAGGAATTGGGAGGATAAAGGTCTTTCTAGGGATATGAGAAAATGAGCACAAGACAGTTGAAAGTTTTAGAACTTCATTTGGTTGAAGGTGCTGTACTTGAGTCAAAGAATGGAAAATCATGCCCTTGTTCTCATCATCATTTCATACTGTTGTGTAAAGTCTTTTTGAACATATCATTTGAACTTGCCATTTCCGAGTTGAAGAACCTGCTTAATGGAGTGCCTTTCACCCCTACCACCATTATTGCAAATAAGAAGAGCTGTTTTAGAGGAAGCTGTTGGAAATATAAAACTGTCATCCTGATAATGGTGCCTAATGTTGTGTTATGAATAAATAATTTATATTTTAGGAAGCAGTTTATCTCTTTTTTGTTTTGTTTATGGGAAAATTTTGTTTATGGGAAAATGGTTGCATGTGCCTGATGAATGTTATGCTATATGTTATATAAGGAATTATCAGTCGGATAGGCTTCATTGTAGTGAAATCCATTGCCCTTTGCCTGTTTCCTAAGTCACTGCATTTGCATTTCCAATCTTTGCACTGGACCCATGAAAGGGTCAGCTGTTAGCACCCTTCTGCATTGTCTGGTTGATACTTGCTGGAGGTGCTCACTAGCTGGTGCAGAGTTTAGTACCGCGTAGATCAAGATCAAGATCAATTGCCTGTAGAAGTTGTTAAAACATGCTTTCCTCCAACATACCCCTTCCTTTGCATGAACTTCTGATAGAATATGACCTAGTTATTGTCGAAGAACTCGATCTAGATTCATTTACCCGAGCAATAATCGAACTGGCTTGGTTCTGTCTCTAATGACGTACGTACATACGAAGGGTGAGTGAAAAAGACGCAAAAGGTTCCAGCATTAAAAATCTATATCCAGTGCTGCCCATTGGGTGCAGTCTCTGAACTAGTGAAAACCAGTTTTGGCTGGTCTGTCGTCTCGGTTGTTGGCGTGGCGGTCCGGACAGTAAGTGGCCTGTTAACGCGACGGATTGCGCTGTGTCGCTGATTTTTGTGTGCGCCTAGAAAAAACCGCTGCCGAGACACGAATCGTCCCCATGTGCTGGGTGCAATAGCGTGCATGTCTAAGCGGGTTTGTCCTGTCGCACTCAAGATCAGTAGCGAAGATTTCTAACGTCCATCGACACATTGAAATTCGCCGTGTAAACAGGACACTCAATACACGGGTCGCCACGCGAACACCCGCGACAACACACTAGCTAAAACTGGTTTTCAGAAGTAGTCGAGAAGTGGTCCGATGTCTAGACACCGGTTAGCTGGCGCGACTTCGGGGCAAAAGTGTATTTTTCGCGTATTTTTCAATCAGCTCTCGTACATGGGCCTTCCCCCCCCCCCCCCCCCCCCCCCCCCCACCCCCCCCCCCNCCCCCCCCCCCCCCCCCAACTTTTATACAGCTGCGGCTGAAATAGGAGGCAAAGGAGTGTGTTCCAATATTTCCGATATAAGGCCACAGGCTCGAGCTCAGTAAGTGGAATGGCGAGCCTCGAGTGGCAAATCTTCGCGACATAGTCGTTCCATCTTGTATACCGAGTGATCTGGACTCGGGAGACTACTTTTTGGGAGTCTCTCGGGACTTGCAGCAGACGTGTCTAAACCAAAGTTGAGATTTTTTTACCCAGAGCTGTAGCGTTTCAACTTGGAGTTTCATATGAATGGCGGCACTCAGCATCCTGTCATAACATGTGAGCCCAGCAACCCGGCTCAAGAACCTCGATTCGGTATCTTATTTTCGCGATGTAGTTCTTCTGGCCTTTATCCAACGTTCGTGACCGCAGGTGAGGGTGAGGGGATGAGCAATAAAAAAAAACGAAGAGCTTAGAATCTATGGAAATTTCCGGGTTTTATTTTATTTAGAAAGCAGTCTGTCAGAGGTCTCAAAACTAGAGAAGCCCTGGGGATGAGATCGTCGATCTCGTTTCTTTACTCGAGAATCATATCACGAGGTACTTGAACTACTCTACCCGCTAGGTGGGGCCCTCCTGACTTGAGGGCGCACTGCACGAGAATGAGAATCATGATCCATGTCCGGAAAGCCGAGTTTTATTCCGGTCGCAGTGCATTCGGAGTCTGACCGAGCCATCACGCTCCAAAGCTCCTGCTTTGATTGAGTCAAAAGGACGGCATCATCCACGAAAAGAAGTATCTTTACCTCGACACCACCGATATTGACCCCCATAGACCCAGATTGCGCCTTCACGTACCGGGTGTTGCACATAAGATAGCCCCCTCCCAACGTAAACTATAGGAGCTATAAATTTGTTACATGTATCAGGTTGTAAAGGTGAAATTTAGACATTTTGATTTTTTCTAGAAAAATCTGGAAAATGTTAGAACTTTCTATGTAGGTGTATAAGTAGAGTGACCAGTGGGCATTGTGGGCGTGAGTGCTTATCGTGAACCNAGTCTTGCGTCAATGTATCTGTTGTAGGTTCACGATAAGCACTCACGCCCACAATGCCCACTGGTCACTCTACTTATACACCTACATAGAAAGTTCTAACATTTTCCAGATTTTTCTAGAAAAAATCAAAATGTCTAAATTTCACCTTTACAACCTGATATATTTGGAATCCTTATTCAATTTTGATTCTATTTCAACCCATTTTGTTGTTTCTGATTGCATATGTTGGGGAAGAACTTAAATTCATTGATCGCATCCGTTCTATTACGTTTCGAGCAGCTCATGATGCCGGAGCTGAATTCGTTACCCGTTCGTGGATTTCGAAAAAGATTAAAGGCCCTGTTACACTTGGCGAGTACTCGCTGGCGAGGGCTTGCCATTTACTCGCTTCAAACTGCCAGCCATCTATTCCACGAATGGGGAATTTGCTTTCTTGAGCACCTGTGTACAGATGTCGATAAAATATGAGATATGCAAAGATGATGGCTGCCCGCCGAAATTAAAGTTCTCATCAGTCATGGTGGATCTAGTCGACTATGTGATGGCACGCCAACTGTCAAAATGACACTTAGGAAGCCAAGGAAAGCCAAAACAGATATCTTCGATTCTGTTCAAATGATTTTTCCGAAAATCCACGAACCATTCACTTCATATTTAATTTATCCCTCAGTCATGAAGTGGCCATAACCAATCTCCTACGAGTTTCACACCTACCAAGGTAACGAAGGGATGAAATGAGCAATTCCTCTGGTTGGGTCTATCAGTACTGTTTTCTTCTTTGTTACCCTTGGAGCCACCTTATCTAAGAGTCTGGAAGGTTGCTTCGTTCATTCGAAGAAAGCCAGCGACATGATTGGGAATTGACTCTTAGGTGGGGCAATAAAAAATTGTGCGCCACCAGAGTAGATCTTCTCAAGAGCCAGAGCATCATCCAAACTCGTCCGTTGTGCCTCCCACACTTCCTGATAATGTACCATTCCCCATTGAGAGCAGCAGCGACACTGGCGTTGAACGGCAACTGATATAGACGCATCCCGAACTCATACCGGACGCTTCGCGTTGACCTTTTCAACTCCTGTCATGGGAGGAGTGGGATCTTGCCCCGAAGTTGCCTTTTGATTGGTTCTTGCTAGCGAGTACTCGCCTGAAGTTTGAAATCTTTCAAACTCGTAGCGAGTGCTAGTGAGTGGTAGCGTGTGGGGTGTTACACTAAGCGAGTGGCCCTAGCGAGCACTCGCCTAGTGTAACAGGGCCTTAAGGGTGGATTTTTGAACAGAGCACTATCCGATAATGCAGCTTTATTCCAGGGAAAATAGCATGCATTTTAGTTGGAATAAAGCTGCATTATCGGATAGTTCTCTGTTCAAAAATCCACCCTAAACGTTTAGCTTCTGCACGATAAAGCCTTATTTTTCAAAGCTTTGACCACAAAGCAAATGCTGAAGGACTCAGGAATTGATTTCTTTGGAAATGCGGAATGGCCTGGAAACTCTCCTGATCTGAATGTGGCTGAGAACATATGGGTTATCCCGAAAGATCGAGTTGAGGCTCTCATGCATATGGAGGTCAAGCAGCGTGGATTCTCCCGAGAGGCTTTGTAAAGCAACATCACCAGTGTTGAAGGACATGGAAGATGACCTGGAACTCTTTAACCCTTTAACTCCCGAGTTTCCTAAGGAGCCCACGGAGCTATCACGAGTATACTCGGGCGTGGGATTTAAAGGGTTAAGCGTCTCTTTTCATCTTACCTCGCTCATCTTAAAGTTGTCAGAGACGTAGCCAGAGTGCGCACAAATTACTAGAAGTATATGTTTAGATTCTAAAATGAATGCTCTTTCTCAAGATATACGACTTTTTTTCCTAGCTCTTATAGTTTAGGCTGTGGGGGGGGGGGGTATCTATGTGCAACACCCAGTACGCACGGAGAACAGGAGAGAGAACGTAACGTTGGCGGAGCCCAACGCATACAGAGAAAAAGCCCGAAACCTCCCGCTCATTCCAACTCTCGCTATCACCGTAGGACTGGTTGGTCCGCAGTAGCTGACCGTTAATTCCATTCTTCTGCAGTACCTCCCACAGCATCCCGTGATGTACGCGCTCTTACGCCTTTTTGAGCTCCACAAAGGACATGTAAATACCTCTTTCATACTCCCATTGCTTCTCGAGAATCCGAAGTGGAGAGCTGGTCCTTCATGCTGCTCCCTTCACAAGAGTCGCACTGTCCCACTTAGATGGTTTCAGCAACGACCGCCCCCGACGCTCTTTTCCAGCTCGTTTTGCATGTCAGAGTCCGCTGTCTCAAAGTGTTCCTTCCGCTTCTGGAGTATTCTGCAACCTGAGCCTGCCCGTGTAGTACGTTTCCTGCTTGAAGCAAATTGAACATCTAAAGATAATATCTGATTGTCTTCTTTAGGCATGACATAAGCTTCCTCCTGATAGTTGATGAAAAGGTGAAAAGTTGGTATGTGTACGTATTGCAGAAGCTCCCATTCATGTATATCATGCTCTGGATGTAGTATGAATTATAATTTTTATCATTCAGCCTGGGCCGAAGCTCATTACCAGCTGTCATTTCTCTACGATGGTGAAGATGGTGGCATTGACTGAATCCAGGCAGACAGAAAGCAGAACTAGGAAAGGGAATGTTTATTACAAGGAGAACCAACACAACAGTCGTCATTACAGATCTTTGGTGCTCGGGGCCTTGTTGATATTCAAGGGTGTAATGCTGCAGCACACTATCAGAAAGCAGCTTCAAAACTCCTGAAATCCTTTCACTAGAGACAGTGTCGCTCCATCATTTTAGCCCTCAGTGTTAAGAGGAAGGGTGTAGACTATCTTCCTACAATGAGTGCCTTTTGTTTGATCAATGTTGAAGTCATCAGGGCCTTAGTCAGAAAACAATTTTTTTTTTTAACAGGGAGCTAACCTTCAGATAAAAAAACGTTTGCCCCTTTGAGTTTTAAAAATGCATTCAACTCTTCGAGTGCATATGAGTTCAGGTTCTGGACAGTTCATCATGATTTGATTTGTTGTCAGACAATTGGATTTTGATGTCCACCCTCAAGTGTCATAAATCCTGATTATGCTGATCAACTCTAGCTCCGCATAAATTTTATTGAAAGGAAACTTTAAAATTCAGAATGGTATATTTGGTACGTATGCAAGAACCTATCACTAGATAGCCTATTCCTTGGTAACTATCATGATAGATATGAGGCGATAGGTCTATAATTTGCTAGGTTCCGTATCCAAGAACAATTAATAGGTATCCATCATGAGACCTATTTTGATAGGTATCTTCATACCTATTACGATAGGTATAAAATATGTATCACCATAGGTATTCGTGAAGCTTCCTGATGACAGCCTCCTATCCATCGTTACTCGCCCAGGAACAATGCCATGTGTATCTGCTCACATGACTGACCAGAGTGTTGTGTGATGATTTATTGGTATTAATCTTATCCCGTTTATCAGAATAGTGCTTGAATTCCGATTGCCGTGGCTTGACACAAAGAACTCTACGGGATTTAATGTATCCTAGAGTAACTGGGCTCGTCACAAGTTGCGACGGTTCTCATAATCGGGTTAGCAAAATACACTGCAATCCACCCTGGTAGCTCGTTATAAGCAGAATAAACAAGCTCTGGATCATAAAGATTGAAGTGATTTTTATAATTATCATGATAGGTATAAAATGTTTCTGCTTATGGCCATCCTATCAAACTTATCATATGATGCCCCCCAAAAGTAGCTACTTTATCAGTTTTATACGTTCTTGCATACCAACCTTTGTGTATTCATAAGTTACTGAGCCATCAGTCTTTCTTGCTATTATTTTATCTAAACTAATTACATAAACAGAAAATTGGACTTGCTGTCAGAAGTCAATATGCATAACCCTTGGTCTCCTCTTGTTCATACAATAGAGATGAATAAATTTGTCATCAACCAGCTTCTTTTTCCCTCTGGCATATGGGGCAGGGACGTAGCCAGGAATTACTTTCAGGGGTGTCTTGTGAGGATCATGAGATGACGAAGTGGCCGAGGAAGGTGAGTGGTTTGGAGGAATGAGGAAAATTTCGAAAACCCTTTTGAGACTTCAACCCCACACACCTCATAGTTCAAAATAGCCCATTCTCTTCCCAAAATTTCAAGTGTTTTTTTTGCATGAAAAGAGATGGTCAAGGACTGACCTTGAATTAGTCATAATTTAGTGAGTGAAAGCTACTCCTGAATCATGGTTTGCCACTGGAACTAAAAAAAACTGGTAGAGCAATGGAAGCAAAATGTGTGCGTGGGGGGGGGGGGGGGGGGGGGGGGGGGGGGGGGGGGGGGGGCGGGGGGGGNAAATGCATGCTATTTTCCCTGGAATAAAGCTGCATTATCGGATAGTGCTCTGTTCAAAAATCCACCCTTAAGGCCCTGTTACACTAGGCGAGTGCTCGCTAGGGCCACTCGCTTAGTGTAACCCCCCCCCCTTCCATACTCCTTGTTTCATATCTTGCTTCATTTCGGGGGGTGTCCAGATACCCAGGACACCCCTTGGCTATGTCCCTGGTATGGGGCTCCCATCCAAATACGACACGATTGCCACTCGTCGCGTGGCAGCCGTGCGGTTGAGGAGTATACTCGTCCTGGTGTTTTGACGAGACACTGTGGCTCTCTCGTTCAGTACTACAGGATGACAACTCGAGAAAATACCCAGCAACGCGGTAGCGATTCCACTACAAGAACTCCGCAGTGAAAGGGTTAATCAACTGGATATCATTACAGTCACTTCCAATCCCATTTGCCTATCATTCAATTAATTCCGGGGTGGACTGCATGCGCTTCGAGGTCATTATGTAGACATTTAAGCGATAAATACATGGTTCTGCCTGAGGTGATAAGTCGTTTTAGAGCCGTTCCAGAATCTGGGTGATGTAAAGCTAGATCTTATGGAGACTGCAGTGGACAAGCCAGAATTGATATGCAGTCAAAGTGCAAGCTCTATTCACCTCCCCTTTCAGCTTATTTTCATTGCCATTCATCATCTGATTAGGCCTCAAAGCAGGAGGGTTGACGGGTCTCAGTCAAGGGTTCGTCATCGGGTGAGAACGTGTCGTGCCAGTTGCACTCGTGTTTTAAAACGTTGCTATCGTCTGTGTAAGTGAAGCTCTTCTCAGTTTAGCTGTATTTGACCGCTCTCATTGTAAAGGGCGAGTAAATAAGCTGCTAATGAAGGCTTATTACATGTTACCATAATTCAAAAAAAGATTCTGTTCCTTTCCCACCACATTACCATCATGTGCGGTTTTTGAGAGTGGCGGGGTCAAAAATAGCTATGTACTAGAAGATGAGGTGCGTTCGTTGGCGGGGCAAGGTGGGGGGGGTCGTTATTCATCTAGGTACTCTTGAAGATCAGGTGAGCGTGAGGGAATTAGTTTCCATGATGGTCGCCCTCTGCACCGATATACAGTATATGTAACGGCTGATATGTTTTGTTTGTATGGAAGAGGGAGAAAAGTGATACAATTGGTAGAGCACTAAGTGCGATAATACCGGCGCAGAGAGATTAGGTTAACCGTGGGTCGGGATGGAGGAGGCATTGCGAGGACTTCCTTGGCGCAGGAATAGTTTTGGTTGCGAAGAATCGTCTCAGCGTGAGGCTGACCTGTCGGATATCCACTCATTGGTGTAAGGTGCTCCCCAAGGGCTCCAAAGCCCCGAAACTTGACGCTAGTAATGAAGAGGACGTAGGCTAGGCAGCTGAAAGAATTAGGTTTGAGAATATTTTTTAGTGTTGCGTGGTCATGTTAGATGGGGTATCAGAGGGTGAGACCCAAAATGACGTGATGTCCGCGGGACAAGCCCAAGGTCGACGGGAGGGAAAACGCCAACCACACTTGGTGGGATACTCGAATGCGAAGTGGTTTCTTGGGGTAGCGAAAGGGAGGCATATGGCAGTTCGATAGTTGTCTCCCGTATAGTGCGAGGATCTGAGGGTTAGTGACAGGACTGAGTGTAGTGGTGTTCCGAGTCGACTGAGGTAGTATTAGTCCTGCAAGTTGGTACTAATGACACCCACAAATCTGACTCTGATGCCTAATCTCCTAGCTCCAAGCAGATGTTCCTGGAAGTTTCTTTATGCGACTTTCCGTTATCCAACTTGCAAAGGCATGGAAAAAATAGCCAGGAAAATAATTTTTTAAATTATTCATTAAATATTCAAAAACCTATCAGTTCCCTCTCATTAATCTGTTATAGATGCATGCAGAAACACAACTGACATATGAACAAATTATCAGATGACTTGCATTGCTGAGGAAAAAGCTGAGATTATTCAAGAAAAGTTCATGTTGGAAATTCATTTAATCCAATGGTTCCTAATGGAACCTGTCTTCTTTCCTAGCCACATTTGGGATAATGATCCTTTCTAGAAAGAGACCCCCTTGAGAGAATGCCCTTTTGATCAACCTTTAGTGATCAATGCCGCAGGGAAAGATTTTCAGAATGAATGGTTAACACCCTCTCCCAAAATATCTTTAGTAAGTTGTCAATGTGATTATGGCCATATGTGCTTCATTGGGTTTAGGATACAATGGTTTGGAAGTAGCCTCAGGGCTATGCTTAGATTTAATTTGACTTTCAACATGCTTCAGCAGTAGAATCCACGATATACATATGCCTATCATGCATGAGATGCATATTTGTGTCTTGAACTAATTTTTCATCATTCAGCATCCAAGAGGTTAGGAGGTAAACCAGGATCTTTTCTCCATTTCTGCAGTGGAATGTACACCTAGTTCCTGGTAAGAAAATCTAGCAGAATATCTTTGAGTGCTTGATGCCTTCAGGGTGAGAGTTCCCTTTACCTATCCAAAGGGAAATTGCTCAGTTGTATTGCTATGAATCTTGATATCATCTGCAGAGTTGGATAAGGAGAGTTTTGGAAGCAATTTATGCTTATCCTAAGTCTTGAATAGGTCACAAGATCCAGATACATTTTAGAGTCTGGCATAGTTTGCATATCTTATAAATAATGTTACTGGTAGCAAATAACATTTCTCTACCTGCATGTTAAATCACATCACTACCTGTTGCTGCTTAGCTGTATAGGTGGTATTTCCTTGGGCTCATCTGTCCACCCCTTCTTGCACAAGACATACATAATGTATCTGAGAAGAATCCATCAAGAAGTTTCTCCATTCCATTACAGGAATAGGATAAGAACAAGAGTATCCATGCACAGAGTGGTCCTGAAATATTGGTTATAGTTTGTTGTCTAATTCATTGAAAAGTAAAGGTAACATCAAAGTTTTGAACATTAAAGTTTTAATGGCGATTTTAAAAATTAGTCAAAATTAATCTAAAATTTTAATCTTCCTTTGAATGCCTCTTTTTTCTCTTAAAATTTGACTGTGTAGTGCATAGTCATGTACAACAATAAAAAATGAAGGCTTTGCCTAGGGAGTGAAATTATGGCTTCAAGACAGTAGTCATTTTTGCACTGCTCACCCTTCAGCAAAAATGACCTACTATTTTTGGTAAGACACAAAAGCAAAGCCATTGCTTTCAGAATATTCCGAAAATAAGCTTAATAAAGAAATGGAAAGGAAATTCAGAATGAAGAAACTGCAAGGGAATGCCCAGAAGGAAAAGGGGATATAGGCAAGGATCACATGGCAGGAAAGACAATGAGGATGAGGGTGAGAGATGTGTATGTAAATGTGTGGATGAAGGTGTGTGAGCCCCACATGGAAGTAGTGGGGGCGAGAAAAGAGGAAATGAGTGCTAAGCCCTTTACTCTCTGCTTTTTCCACTCTTCCAGCTTGTGTTGCCCATGAATCCGTAATGAATCTTCAATTCTCTGTATGAAGTGTCACTGTATACCTCATGTCATTTTGATTACAGTGTTGCATCTTTCCAGTATGGGCTGGCTAACAGACAAAGGGCCTCTTGGCACTTCTTTTATGTCTAATTCAATTGACTTTCTGTATTTATCAGCATAATCTTCCATTTGCCACATTCAACAAGGCATAAGCACAGTGTGGATGGAAAATGTGGGGGGTAGGGACACAGGAATTCTGGGATACTGTTATGCATTTAATGGCTCTTTTTCATTAAAATCAGGATAGATTAAATTCTTTAATCGATTGACAGCCATAGTTTTTAGTTAAGTCAACATGGTGGAATTCTCTTAACCACTAGCCCAAAAATTTTAGACTCTTTGGCTTTGTTACATAAAAGGCAGTGGAAGTCAAGAGACAAATGGGGCAAGAGTTTGGTCCAGAAAAAAGATAAAGTACAACATGAAAAAACTGATAACCCACCCTGTATTTGTGGCCAAATGAAAAAGTTTTTGAGAATTGAACATGTAAAATTGGATACACCACTGAGTACATGATTGACCTTCCTGTTACTGAGGGGGATCCTGTTAGTACCCCATGTTTAACTAATTTTTCAAACATGAAATTTGTAAAACATTAATTTGTGCTTTTTTCTATTGAAGTGTGTTAAAATATGAAATTTTGATATTACCAACACAAAAAGTATTTTTTACATCAACATTAGGCTGGGTAAAAAGTGATCACTGAAGACCTCAGTAATGGGAGGCAATGAGACACCATTTGGTATGACAGTTCCAATATTGTTTAATCCCTCCAGACCAAACTTGTCTCTTGACTTCCTTAGCTTTTTGTGCACCACTACTGAACAGCATTGAATTTTTTTGACAAAAGGTAGAAATCTCATGTTTATTATATTGAAATTTAAGAATCATCTGAATTTTCAAGTTATGAAATTATCTATCTTTCTTTTCAATTAATTTTCTTCAAAGAATAGTCAATATACAGGATGTTCATCAAGTGACTACTTATGGCAACTTTTTTCACATTAAATCTGGCCTTTTAAATCTCCCCTTTTACATTTTGTAGCCTGTTTATTGGTAGACCTCGGAATGGTGTCACATCTTTCGTTCCTCTACAATGGTGTGACTGAGATTTCATTTTCCAGACCTTTGTTTCAATGAGGGGTTCAGAAATATGGAGTACAGCAGTCCGAAACGAGTGAGAGAAAAGCATCGTTCACAAGGACAAGCCAACAGATCAGAACATCTTGAAAGAGAATAATATCTCTTGTACTGTGTGCCAGATGAATGATGGAATTCAAGTTCTTGCAAAATTTTTTGGCAATGAATTTGCCTTGGCTCAGAAATGTTCAGAAATCATCAATTGATACATTCAAACATTTTTCAAGTATATTCTTAATTGTTATCATTTTGAATTCCCAAAATACTACATTAATCAATTAATACCATGATGAATACCAGACACTTGTGCAATCAGCTCAAAAAGGACAACATTTTCTTGAATTTTAGTCTCAGTTTATTTCCCATTCAAATGAATAATGAAAATTCTAAAACGATAGAGAAATCTGGGAAATTAGTTTTTAGCTATTACTAAGTGGAAAGATCTGACAATATTTTGAGGTTGGTACATTGTCATCCTACAAACATTTAAAAATTTGCTACTTCAGTATCAATATGAAAAAATTCGCCTGTAAGTAGTCATTTTATGGACACCCTGTATTTGGGTCATTGTATATCTTGAAGCCCCTAAACTGAACTCACAGGTTTCAAGAAAGGTTTTCATCTTCATAAATTGCAAAGCTGAGATAGTTCTACCTAAAAATCAATCTATTCATACCCAATAAGAAAGTAAATGCAAGTCATACCAGAGTGTCCATAGAATTGGAAAAAATAGGTTAATTTGAATAGCTTTTTTTCAGGTCACAATTTCTTCTGTGCTATTTATTTTAGAACTATTTGCACTTATTTTGAAGAGGACTCCCAATTGGATATTTAAGTATACTTTGTTAATTGATTTACAAGATGTTACTGAAAAGTATGATTTGATTGTTAGAAAAGTAATGGACTCAATGCTATCGCTTTCAAATTTCAGGGATATGATATAAAATAATTCCCAGTTATGGCACATTTCATTAACCATTCAGTGATTATCTTCCCAACTTGTCAGTCTTTCCATGCTTCTGCATTTGCCTCTCCTTTTTGGGTGCAGTGGAACTCTGCTTACACAAATACATAAAATGGACCTCTTGCTCTAACTTTACATTTATGCAGTCTTTCTTTTCATTAATGCACAGGGTGGCCCTAAAATCCAGGTTAGAAGAGTAGAAAAGGTTGGGCTACATCCCAGCAGGGGGTGGGGAGAGAGAGCCAATGACATCACTGGTATACACTCTCCTCGGCTGACCGATAAAATCTCCTTTTCCTAGTCTATTTCTCCTCTGTTAAAAATGTCACATTGGTTAGTTTTTTTCTAGTCAGATTGCCTTGCTCTTTCCACCTCCATTCTATAGCCCTTGAACGATTGTATCTCTAGATTGTGGCGCTGTCAGGTTCGTAGCATTCGCAGATGCTAGTCCTATGTGCAGTCGCCGCCCCCAAGAACATCTGATGATTTTTGGAGCTGGCGGAGAGAAACATTCATTTCGTCGTTTCAAAGGATCCTGGGTTGTGAAAGATCTAAGTGATGCAGTGGAAACGCACGGAAAACGAATTTCTGAAGTAGACTGAGGGAGGTATCCCAAAACAACTCTTGGGTCGATTGTCATCTTTTGCCGAGATGACCCAATCGAAATTCCAAGTCAACCATCGAGTATCCCGAATATCTGTAAGAACGCGGCTGTTCACCTGGATTCTCTCCATAAATTCTGAGTTGCTCAGCAAGGGCAAGAAGGTGAGGAAGAAATGAAAGTCATTCGTTGAAGTTTGTGAGAAGGAATATCTTCATGGTGTTCATGAAAACCACATGATTTGCCATGACCATGACAAACAAGCTCCCTTCCTCTGATACAGCAACACAGAACGAGGAAGTTTGACAATGAATGCTTATTTTCATTGTTATTTAAAAAGGGCAAATGACACATGTTAACAATTTCAGTAAATAATAATATATTCTCACTGCAGTCGCATCCCCCTCAAACTTTTCAGTACAGAATCCTCCCCTCCGCTTTTCAATTTGATGCTTTTCCCTTCCTCAATTTAAGGGATTTTTTTTAATGAGCGATTGCTTACGAAATGTGAACATTATGCTTCAAGTAGTATCATTACATTGGAGGAAAACCAATGGCGAGAAAGGAGCAATCAGGGCTGGTGTATACCAGTGACGTCATTTGCCCTAGGGCTAGAACTGCCATTATTCGGGGCTTTGCTTTTGACCCAACCTTATCTACTCTTCTAACCTGGCCTAAAATGGGCACATTTTTCAATGCACATTTTATGTATGATGTTTCCTAGGATTTTATTTGTTACATGTAAAGGAAAGAAGAAACATTCAGCTACAAAATGCTTTTTTTCACACCTAAAATATGCATTGAAAAATGTGCCCTTTTTTGGGCCACCCTGTAAATGGCTTTTCTTTCTAGGAAAGGTGACCCCTCTGATTTTGGAATGTCCTAAGAGACATGAGGTATTACAATGTTGAGTATAATCTAAGGGCATGTGTGTAGCCCCTATGCTTCTAAGTAATGGATGAACAAGGTTCATTGACTGAGCACCCCTGTCTTAGAGATATATAGTGGTTAAAGTTTTGGATATGGATCTGGACCATAAACTTTCATCCACCTGGCCACATACCCTCCACTTTTTATTATGCACATCCAGCCAGTCAACACACCTCCTCCCCCCACTCAACAAATTTTGTAGCAAATCTTCATCATTATAATACCTTATATGCATACTTGCATGATAGTAACCATAAACTTGTGTTAGAATTTTACTTTGAGACCACCATACCTCAATGATATGTTAGTGGACCTTCCCACACATTAGTTGAGCACCTCTGGCTTTGAGATGTCTGTTTCCTGAGCCAAATTCTTCTTTTACCTTTAGCATTTTTATGCTTTTCTTTTCTGCTTTTAAAATATTTGGAATTTTTAGTTGAAAGGTGTCTATGAGAATAGGTTTGAGGTCAGTTTTTTCAGTAGCCCAGAGAACCATGAAGGTGATCATAGATACTGATCCTGGACTGGATGATGCTATGGCAGTATTGGTTGCTCTTGATGCCCACAAGAAGGGACTCATAAAAATCCTTGGTGTAACACTGACACATGGGAACACATCCTTGGATAATGCTGCATGCAATATGATGAGGACTCTTACCACAGTGAAGATGGAGAAGGTATGCCTTTTGAAATAATCATCTTTCAATATTTTCCTGTGCATTACTCAACCTGGTTACTTGAAGGATAAAGAAACTTGTCTCACAATAGAAGTCTATCTAATTTTGGGTCTATCACTTCCACCCAGGGACTAAATATAACTTTTGGAAATTTTTTATGGCCTTGCTATCACTCAGATATCATGGGTGAGGCAGAGGTTTTGTAATCCACTTGAACCAATGCCCTTTGTATGCATGCCCTCCTTAGGATATGACAAATGGTTATTCCCAAGATTTCAGCATCATCACTTGCTACCTGTACCTGTATACATACCTGTATTTGAGAGGCATACCTTTGGGATATAAACACCTTGAAACTTTTTCAAACAGCTTGTTATGGATTTCTTTTTCATGGAAGAAGAAGCAGTTAAATGACAGATGATTTCCTGGGTTTGGAAAAAGATTTGTCTTTTGCAAGTTTGAAGAGTCAAAGGGAGGAGAGCAACATATGGGTGATCCATAGTGAGCTGAGTCTGTGAAGGAGGAGAAGTGAGGGAGAAGTATCTCACTTTGTCCTATTCCTTGATTTGGATTGCTAAAATATAAGAAACATGGATTTGTGGAGAGAATTGTCCTTGTCATGTATTAGAAATTGAAAATTAGGATGAAGAAGACTAGAAAGCTTGTGGCTGGGAGAAGAAAAAAAGAGATGACAGTAGGGATAGAAACTAGTAGCAAGTTGAGATGGAGTTAGACAGGATGAATGCAAAATCTTTCAGGGTTGTTGATTTTAAATGTCATGAGGTAGCATGCCTGGAGTGAAACAAAAAGGCAGCCCAAATTTTGATGGTGGCTGGTAAAGGTGTTGGTCATGCAGTTTTCAAGTGTCAGAAATCTGAAAGCAATGTTCAATCTCAAATGAATGCTGCAAACCATTTTACAACACCAGCAGGGACTCAAAAGTTAAAAACATGTGCAGGTTAAAAAAATTCAAACACTGAAACTTTTTGTAAAGTCTGCCAAATTTTCATGGTCTGCAACACAATGAAAACTTCATGCAAAGTCAGAATGAGATAACATTAGCTCATTAACAATAGCTCATTGCCACCAAGGGTCAGCACACAATTAATTCTCATATAAAAAATCATCCTTGCAGGCCTATAGAAAATATAAGGGTCCTCTTCCGCTTTCTCATGGGTATAAGCAGCTATAGCTACCCTTCTTTTTTATGCCCCAGAGTACTCTTGTTACTGCTGAAACTGACTACTAGTGTTTTTCACTTCAGACAATTTTTCATTTGACTTAGACCCTTGTGCATGGGATGTTACTCATGCTTGGGTGTCTGAGTCAAGTGGAAAACACTGTAAAAAATGAATAGCATGCATTCATTTATTGAGGCTGAAACTCATCAGACAGCTAAAACTAGCAGGCACCCTTGCAACTTAAATTGAAACTCCAAGGCATAACCACAGCAAAAACTAAACTGTTAAAACCATGGATGTTCAAAAGCATGTTCTTTTTCAAAGTTTTAGAAATGAAACAGAACTGACACATGACTGCTGCTTGACAGCCAGTTTCATAGGACCTCCACCCCAATCCTGATTCAGATAATGGCATGACCCCATGAATCCAATCATTCTGTTTTCCTTGTGCTACTGAAACACTCAAAACTGATTGGTTTTGGGTTTCATTTAGCTGAAATTCCACATGACAGTTGAAAGAAAAGCTTTTTTGAGAACTGGAACCATCTTTGTGTCTGAGGTGAAGGACTTTTGAACTTCAACCCAGACCCATCTAAAATTTTTAAATTCCCCATCTGCAAATGCGCATTTGGACAGGTGTACTGCAAGACAATTGAATCTTGAAGAAAAAGAGACCCATGCTTTTTTCCTGCAACATACTAATGAGGTAAATTACCTTTACACCTCTGTTTCTGCATATTTATTCGCTCAATTGTAATCAAAATCCACAATAAAAAAGCTAATATATATGTTGCTTTAGTGTTTTTGGTTGAATCAGTCTTTTTTTCATTTGGCTTGGATACCTAGGCACAGGTGTTTGAGTCATGTGATAAACATTAGGAGTGCTTATAGTATAAGTTTTGTATCAACCTAAGACCTGGGTGTCATGTACACAAGCCAAAATCCAAAAGATTTCATTCTTTAAATGTCTGAGGAGGATATTCTCTTGCTCATTATGGACTTTGGGATCTGTCATATTTTAGGAAATCCCTGTTTTTAAAGGAGCAGTATGCCCCTTTTTGGAACCTTATCCCTCAAGAGACTCACCTTTCCATGGCCATGATGGATTTGGAGATGCAAAATTTGAATCAGATCCAGACCTATCACTCATTTCTAAAGAGCATGCTGTCAGTGCTATCACACGTTTCTCAAGAGAAAATCCTGGTATGTTTGCTGTTCTCCCATAGACATTGTTATAATTCTAGGAACATCAAAACTGCTTATCTATTGCAACTAGGAGAGGTGGTGTTGATTGCACTGGGACCTCTGACGAATGTTGCTCTCGCCATGAGAATGGATCCTTCTCTGGGAGGAAACTTGAAAGAAATATTCATAATGGGTGGCAATAGTGAAGGTGAGTGCTTGTGTATGAGTGAGAACACTAAATTTTCCTATTCAGCATATTCTGTATCCCAATCTTACAGGACTGGGAAACGTCACACCGTGTGCTGAATTCAATTTTCATTGTGATCCTGAAGCTGCCTACACAGTCCTGCAAGAGTGCAAGTGTCCGACATATCTCATCACATGGGAGCTATGTCTTAAGAGGGCTGAATTGACACTGGTAATGAAAGGGTTTTTCCTTTGTTCATACTTTTTCAGCTGGGAAGTGTTGAAAGTGGGATTTGTCTGCAGGATTGGAGAAAAAACGTCCTAGGAAAGGTCAGCACACCCGAGGCAAGGCTGATGAATTCCATTGAGGCTAAATCATTGTCACTTTATAAATATCAAACATACATTGTGTGTGATCAGATAGCTGTAGCAGTTGCCATTTATAGAAACCTCATCATTGCATCAAGCGACCACTATGCATCTGTGGAGTTACATGGGATGTTTACCAGGGGTCAAATGGTAGTCGACTACATATCAGCCATGAACAGAAAACCAAATGTGACAATGGTTGAAAAGATTGATGTGGAAGCATTTAAAAAAATCCTCATGGTTGCTTTTGGGCACAAAGTTGAAATGTAAAACATGAAGATACTATATTGTCTCCAAAATGATACATACTCTGGGGAAGCCCAACATGGTAGTAGACTTGATGCTCAACAAGGATGGTCTCGCTTAATTCAAGAATAACCACATATAGGTTTAACCAAGCCAATAGTGGGCCTGGTCATCAAACCATGAAAATGGCAATTTTTATTTCAAAGCAATATTATGTTCAGGTTTCCAATCAATAAAGACTATAATGTCAAGAAATCAGCATCATTCCTGAACATGCAATAAACTGAGTGCTCAAAATTGAAAACAGATTCATATATCCTTTCATCATCCTTAATAGGTTCATTCTCTGTTGAGTGACTGCAAAAGTTAAAAAGCACCTGCTGCCAAAACTTGAAAGCATCTACAGTATGGGGAATTTTCAGGGAAACTGGTTCCTTGAAAGGGAAATGTGAAATATGACCTGGCAAATCAGAGCTTCAAATCACTTCCACTGAGACACATTGAGCTCCAAATCATTAACAATGGAACATACATGACAATCAGTACATAATAATGCTTCTATATGAACCATGGAATGAATTTTGGAATGTCTTCTGAATACTAGTACTTTGCACTGCAGACAGGAAATAAATAGACCTACCACTTCACCTTCAGCTCTTGCAATCAACAAGGATCACAACCATTGGAATGTCTGTCAATAGGAGTATCATCTGCTACATGCATGCATGACTCATTTCCCACACAAGCACATTCTTGCCTCTCAGCATCTGCTCGCATTGCTCTGGTGGACTCCAGCAGTTCCTTCACCCTTGTATGAACTGAGTCATGTTGTTTTTCCAACTCGTCCAGAGCAGAATGTAACTGATTCAACTGTGAATCCAATGCTGTCAGTTCCTCCAATTCTGGAAGAAAAATTATCAGGTTGCGGCATAATAGAGTGTAAGTACTTCTATAACACTGCCTACAATGTTTAATGTCTAGTAAATAATGATCTCACGGTTTTAAAAATGCCACTGATTCTAGTCGAATGAATCTGGAAGCACCAGGAGGATGAAAGAGTTTGATCTGATAGCTGAAGATACAACACCACTTGTCAATTTGTTATTTGTTACAAGCACCAACAGATTAAATTGTGAAAAATGACCAAATTAAAGTAATTTCAACTCCTTCCCATTTCAGATGAGTGAAAATACAGTTGGATTACCAGAATTTCAATCATTAGTACAGTAATTTGGGTAAAATGTTACAAAAGGGGAGTTCAAAAGAACAAAAACAAACAGGCTTGAAAATTTAAAGGAACAGCATGAACCATCATTGAAAAGAAAAAGACCAGGAAGCTTTCATTTGACATTATTTTGAAGTTTGCATCTTGTCTCAAATGGGAAATATAAAACATCAAAGTGAGTGAAAATAAGATAAATATATCTTTTAAAATTTGATTTGCTTCAATTCTTTTAAATGAAATAAAAAGTTGAAAAATAACTCTTTCCATTGCTGTTGCTTATTGCAATGTTTGCAAAAGCTCATTGTGATACCATGCTTTCTGATGTTCAAATTTTTGGCTTTTTTTTCACAATTTTGACAATTTACAATTTATGCTGATAAAAGAAAAATGCAAAGCGCAAATCTCATTTAGTTCCATCTCAGCTTTACCTTGGATTTAAAATCACATTCCTTGGTCAAATAAGGCCAAAGTTTGCTGTTTTGACTCATAGGATCACTTTTTCCTTGGAAGGCAAACATCTGGGGTGGCATACCTTAAGAATTACTAGAGCTAGAGCAATGAAATTTAGAAATTGTTTATCATAGAGGCCACTATGCTTGAATACTTTCACGCAAATCTCTGCCAAAGACAATGTAGCCTAAGTCCCTGGAATGCCCCTATTCTGTTGTTAGCATTAGCAGTGATGAAGTATGCAAGAACATTTGAGAACCTTGTCCCACAAGCTTTTCATGAAGGAGTGAGAACACAGATCCCTACTTCTTGCAGTAGTTTAAAAAATCATTGATGAATGAGGTTCCTACAATTAGTGACTTCATGGGGCTTTGATCAGATTTTCATTATGTTTGGGTAATATTGTATCTTGAGATAACAATTTGTGTACATGGACTATAGACCTCAGAAATAAAGTCCCAACTTCTCTTATTCCATTTTCCTGACTGAGGAATGATAAATAATTCCTCAGACCATTGATTTTAGTTATAGGAAACTAGGTGATGCTTCAACATGTTCTCCATTATGAGTCAAATGAAACTCGAATTCAACAGGTATGTTCCTTGATGTTCAAGTTGCAGAAAAAATGGATCTCCTTACTTTGAGTGATATACAAGGTGGGTCAAAAAAGAAACAAAGCATTCATTTTTGGCAACTGGTCAATCTGATTGTGGGTTGCAATTTTTTATTAAATTTGGTAGATTTGGTAGAATTGGGAAGTGGGTGACTCGATCAGGGTTTGTGTGATAAGTGTCAAATATAATTTCCAAAAACTGTGAGATTGGCATTTAATTTACATTTTATCACCAAAAAAGTAAGTGTTCATTTTTTCTTTCAGCTTAAAATCTTTCACAGCTGACAAAAACAAACAGAAAAAAAATGCAGAAATGCCAAATACGAAAGCCCACTATTTGGTTTAGGGATGTTCATTTCAACTGAAAAGGTGCTCAATGTGCCCTCCATTCTGTTAAACACTAGCCTCTAGTCTATGACACCACAGATCAATGGTTTGGTCAATAAACCTTTGAGGACGTGCCTCCCAATCTTCCTTTGCAGTATCTTGTAGGGATGGAAGTTCATGAATTCGGACCTTCCTTTCATCCCAACCTCAAGTTCATATCAATATTTTCAATAGCACATTTTGTGGGTGGTCATCAGAAAATAATTACAGCTCTCATAACTTTAGAGCCAGAAAGCTGAAATTTGGCATACAAACTCCAATTGTGTCAATCTATAAGTCTACCAATTTTAATTAAAATTGGCAGCCTACAAAGAGATTGACAACTCACCAAAAACTATACTTTTTTTTTGGCCCACCCTGTCTATATTTAACATTTTCCACAAAAGGACAATCAAAATGGCACAACTCCAAGAAATCATGAACCAAGATGTCAAGATGACCAAGGGTCAGAAAAACTGGAAGATGTGACAACATTCTGAGTCTGCAGAGTCACGCATAAAATACATTGCTACTTCAGAATCAAATGTAATAAATTTATGTGTATAATAGTAACTTAATGGACAACAAGTACATTGGGTAAGTTTAAAAATAAACTGACCATAAGTACCTCTCAGCTTGTATAATTATGGTTGCAACATGCTCTGGTTCCATATTAAATCATTGATTTGGAGCTTCCCTTTAGGCCTGAATTTCTCTCTATTCATCTGAGATGTGCCTAAATAAGTTAAAGCTACTAGAGATGACTTAAGAGTGATGGGAAATTGAACAGGCAGGAAAAATAGCTTGAATAATACCTATAAATTTAGATCAACACCATATACTACTACTCAACACCTTTTTGCAGCAACAGACAATTAAAATTCAATGGACCTATGTGACAATGAGCAAGTCTGAAAGTGTGGCACATATCTGTAGCATGAGTGCAGCAACCCTCATTATGTAAATAAATATATGCTGAGATGCATCTTGGATTGGAATGGTATTTGGGGAAATCTATAAATTGAGTCAGAAAACTGCTACATCTTAATTTTTTATTTTATAAGTGTGAGGCAATAATGTGATTCAACTGACCATTCCAAAACTTGTCAACCATGCAGTAAAGGGTGCAACTAGCAAAGCCTATAGTAAATCAATTTTTAATGAGCCTTCTCACCTTCAGGATTATCAGATTGATCTCCAGCAGCCTCCTCGTTTGGGGCTGCTCTATGAAACCCATCATGATTATTAAAATCATCTTCATCCTCTTCTTCAGACTTCTTATCATGTAAAGGATCGTTGACCAAATTCATTTTCTGAAATTCAAGAGTCAGCATGTATTATTCCAGCTTGGAAGAGCATATACAGGGTGTGTCACAAAAATTGTAACTCATTTTGAAAGCTGATTTTAAAAATTCGTTATAACCAATATCGGTATAGGAGACATACTGATTAATAGGAAAACTCTCCCAAGTTTTATCTAATTACAAAATATGCTCAAAATGATCTCCTGAATGTCAGCACACTTGGGAACATGTAGGGCAGTTTCTGATCTGGTTCTGATCTGATCTGAGTTTTAGTTTCAATCTGCACTTTGATTCCTCTACTGTGGAAGTATGAAAACAGTCTGGGAAGAAGAGGGAATCATGAAAGAAAAACTAATGTCATTGAAACAAAATCACTTAAGTTTGGTCTGGGCTCTAGCCTACTTCTTCAGCTTGCATGGAGGACATAGAACATCCGTACAACAAAGTACACCTGAAAGTGGGAAATGTCTGCCCTAATTGCAAACAAACCATTCCCTAACTAGTGCAGACTCAAAATCCTGTTCCAGTTCGTGCACCCTTACTCAAAATAAATTGTTGGCCCTTCAGCTGGGAAATTCTCAAATCATAACATTTAGGGGTAAAACTACATTGAGGAAAACACGTCAGTGTGGAGAAACAGTTAATGCGTGAAGAAGGTGATGATCTTAGCTATAACATAAAAAATCCCTGCCTTCCCATGGAAGACAACAAATATGCATTTTTCATTCTATTTCTTTGACAACCATCCCATGTCGAGCTTGTGGGAGGAGTAGAAAAAGGCTTGACTAGCAAATTAGTCAGAAGGATGAGGTGTAACATAAAAAAAACATGTCAGCTAATGACTCAAGACTCATCGTTCACTATCTGGCACCTGTTAGTGAATATGTGCTGCTCCCCTGCATAAGAATTGGGATGGTTACCAAGTGGCAGCTTCCAGTGTTCCACGCACTCCTGATCAAGGAGAGTTTAAGCCATGATCATGTCTCATCACATGCATGGCTAAGGGGGCTCATCAAGCCCACTAATACAAATAATGCTTTTCCTAGAAACTTACCTTTTACTAGACATCATCCAAGTTAAAATTATACTCTAGGGAAATTTTTTTGTTTTCGCATGAATTTTTTAAATTATAAAAAATTTAAACAACAAATTTTTTGTTCTTGTAGTGCAATGTTAAGTTCATTATTTGTACAGGTACATAAAATACAAGTAAAATATCATGTAAATAAATAACTTAGTTATAATTTTTTGAGCAATTGACCTGTGGGTCCAAGAAATCCCACCCTTGGATGTTTTAGGGTCAAGAAGGGGGTCCAGATCTCAATGTTCAGTAGCACGTAAGGGTATGGGGTGGAAGGGCGAGAGCACTTGGCCCTCTCCATATCCCAGCACCCCCCCCCCAATTAGATCCATCTTATTTCAGAGGCATTAGGACCTTGCCACCATCCAAATATTTTTTAGAAGTCAGCACCTATGCTTCTCTTAACAAGTGGACTTATAAAGAAAAATTGCAAAGAAAACTTTCATCGTATGGACAAGCCTTTAGACGATGTGCAAATCACTGACATTTACAGTGGAAAGCTTGTGCTTGGGGAGTTCCTCATCCATGAATGTCGAAATCAGTGGCGTGCCCAGGAAATCCGAATGGGGGGGGCTCGCCGTATGAAACACTGATTATCCACTCTAATGGGTGGGGGGGTTAACATACGAAAAAACTGATAATCCACCCTGTATTTGTGGCCAAATTAAAAAATTTGTGAGAATCGAACCTGTAGAATTGACCCCAAGGGGGAGGTTATGACCCCCAAACCCCAAAAGCCCCTTGGGCACGCCACTGCTAACGATACAAATCCTAGACCAAAGACATGGAAACACGTGAAGAATCTACTATTTCTAATGATACCTCGAATGAAGACCTGTGAGCAGTAGCCTACGGTTCACCATACAAAAGGAAATTTTCAACGAGATGTTCACCCAGAGCTCACGGTAGGTTTTTACCGAGGTCGCGCAATTCAATCGTGCATCACGTGGTGATTGCCAAGTAGCCAAGAGCCTTCACGTGTAGAGGTGTAGCCTACTTATACCCACTCTTTATACTAACTTCAACCCTGAACCTTAATCTAAGTTCATTTAATTTTCTCTCTGCAGTTGATGAAAATAATATCCACATTTTCGTCAGATTTTGTGACAAGGATTCTCCATTCAGCATGATGCTATGCATAAGTCAGAACCATGCTCATGAGTCCTGACCAGTAGTGTGTATTTCTTCGCTCCGCTCCCACCTCTCCTGGAGCCACGACACTTAAGAATTATTTTCCAACCGCTCTTATAGGTGTCGTGCGTGAGTCTCGCCGGTTCCCATCCGGTGCGGTCTGCCTCCCATCATAGCTTAAAAGTGTACCTAATGATTCTGCCTGGTAGACGCATAACCGTTGCTGGATCCACATACCTTATACTGGGGCGCGGCATAGTTGGAGCCCCTTGAAAATATAATAGCCAGGAAGAATGTTTGCTTGCGATACCTAGCCCCTTCACAGTTTCGCCTTTGGCAAAATTGTGAAATTAGAGATGGGGCCATTATTAGGCCGCACCTCACATCTACCAAAGTGTGCAGGCCTTGACCATTTCGGTCTCATTCACAAGGTAGACCTATTCTCATTTCCTAAGTGGTTTGATGTGGAAAGATAAGATGATGCATTAATCCACTTTTTGATTTATTGATAAATTACCCCTTGTGACAATTTTATTTTGTCTCCCTAGTACGAGATTGCTTGCCCGTGTGAAGTGGATTTGAGACCGCCTCACCAGTGAACATAGCTAGATCTCTACCCCAGGGTTGGGTTCTTCCAATATGGAGGTCTTGCAACTCTGCAAAGGTCAGCATGCATAAACCATCTTTTTGAAAAAATTTTATCCTTAATTTTACTCCAAAAAATTAGAGTATAATTAAGTTGAAGTATACATGCAGTTTCAACCAGTGCTGTAACAAGGGATGTGTGAGTGGCACAGGGCGCCGAACTGGGGGGCATCGATTGGCTGCCAAATCACTACAAATATGAATAAAACTAAAAAATTATAAATTATCCTAAATGTAACTAAATTAAACAGAAATTAATACGTAATGTATTGTTTGTGCTGGGGAAGCTGGAGAGGTACAGAGATTGGTGGGTGCTGGGTTGATATCTTGCATGGGGGAGGGGGGTGCTAGATTGGTAACTCACACAAGGCACCAAATATCCTCAGTATGGCTCAGGTTTCAACTCTCATCTATTTTCTTTTTTAAACAGTAGATTTTTTTATTTAGGATTTGGTACTATTGCATTGGGTGCAGAATTATTTCATACACCATGTTATCTATATCATCACATGCCCTAAATAGAATGGATGTAGCTATCTCACTGGAGAGGCATCGTGTATGATTTGCTTTCTCTTTGATCTAATATTTCACTATAGTAAATCACTAATATATGAAACTTTGTGCTTTGCCCAGCATTCTCCTTAAAATGCTAGCTTTTTATTTCTGGTATTTTTCACTACTATAATTAAGTGCTCAACTAGTATGCCTTTCAATGGGATGCAGGGTCATTGCATTCATCTTCACTAACTCCTTCAGTTGTGAATTCTCAGCTTGCATTCTCTTCCCCAGTTGGGAGTTGTAAGTTGAAAAGCTTACACATGGGGAGATTTTTATGGATCAACTTTGCATTGTAAATTGTGTGGGTGTACTACTGAGAGTCAGTGTCAATGAACAGTTATGATCTTACAAAATCAACCCATTCTAATGCTGATTGTGGCAAGTAGATGAGAGGAATAAATAAATAAATAAATATTAACCACTAATCAACTGTGCTTCAACTTTTCTATCCAAATTTGTAAGTGATTTATGACCCCCATCATTTTCTGTCAGCAAAAGATAGGTTCATGTAATCAAGCAATAATTATGTTAGATAAGCATTCAACATTGGAAAGACCTCAGTATTGAAATGATGCTTAGTTTTTTGTCAGTACCTTTGTCTAAACTATACAATGCCATATTACATTTTATAAGTGGATTATTCCACCATAAGTGTGCTAAGTGTCTTCCAATCTCTGAATTTAGCAAAAAATTTTCATGTAATTAGATATTCTTCAGACTAGTGAGTTGCATTTGGGGGGGGGGTAAATTTTACCCATGAAGCTAAAAATTTCATTGATGGTGTATATTGATATTACTGGCTATGGCCTATGTGTCGAGGTGAATGACCTTGCCTTATGAAAGCCCTGCTTAAAGAAGTGACTTATTTTATCCTGTTGAGGAGTGAGTTTTGGAGCACGTGCCTTGCCTTCAGGAGTGAGTTTTTTCAGTGACTCGGAGGCTTTTCTATAATATTTAATTTCTATTTCTATTTCTTTAATTTCTATTTGATGTTTCAGAGGCAATGTCCAGGATAAGTGATCAAATAAATGAATTTGATAGAGACAGCACTGATTTATGCCAATTTTAATCTTAATTCTGTGATAATTGCTGAGGTAGATGCACAAAATCTTATCATTCACCTTTTTCAACTACCATTTCCCAAAAAGTGTTCCCAAAAAAAATGGAAACACATTGCCCAAGTTTTGTGTTTTCAAATTCAAGTAAAAGTGATGGCTAAGGATCATTTTCTGCCTTACCTGCCAGGTATATGGGTCATCTTGAAATCCTTATCAAATTTTTTAGATCCCTTATTGTCCATCACATAGCCTCTTTCATTGAGAAATTACTTTTAACCCCTCCCTTGGATTGCTGCTATTGTCATATGCTTGCTTTCTTCTTGACGCCATGACTAACAGCTCACTGATCAGCTATTACCTGTGTAAATAATAAATGAATTTGTCACCTAAATCGAGGCCTAGTGTTACTCATTAAAGTTTCTTGACTTGCAGATAGCAGAAGCTGCCATGATCGTTTTAAACCGAACCATAAATATACAGGCATACTACAGTGCACAAAAACCTCAACCCATAAATATATGGGCATATCTTCAAAATCCATAGAATAAATATGAAAGAGAATTCTCTTGTGACGTGATTTCTGATGGGACATGTTTGTTTTTGTCTCACTACAGGAGAACATTCCAAACTTCATCATAGCTTGAGCAAGGAAATATGAGATCTAAAATGAATTTGAAGCTACTGCATCCATGATGAGATTTTTCTTCTTTCCTATTTGGTGAGCTTATGGTTTTTTATTTCTTTTCTTCCATAAAACAGTTGATTAAAATATGATGATACTGATTGGGAATGATCACACAGATGAATGTTACCCACTTTGAACTCTCTCTCTGAAGTCTTCAGTAAGTAATATGTAAGGCATGCATAAATTAATTTTCTTGATAATGATTGTGTTGTATTTCTTCCACAGTGTCAGACTAGAGATGTGCTGCACTAGAAACAACCTTCTTGATACTGGAGAACCCTGGTAAATCTTCAAATGTATCTGCAGTTAAAAGCGTTATCCTTGTGCTACTGGAAAAAAAATCATCTGAAATGTGGAGGATTGCTATCCTTGGTATTCATTTTTAACACCAAGGATGGCACTGGAGTGTGTCATTGATTTTAATTTGAATAAAGAAAACATTTATTTTCTTATTCAGACTTGAGAAGGGTCTTACTTGACTGTCTTTCATTATTGCTATCAGATTGTTGGGGAATAGACAGAGATGTGTTGCCTTTAACTGGACCTAAGAGCAGGGGTGCCCAAAGTGGATGTTATCTCAGGCATTCGGTGTGCTGCATGTGGCCTGCAGGCTGCACCTTTGGCACAATCAGCACAAGGTTTTGCTTCTACCATATGATGTTGCATACATTAAACAAACTTTCTTCATTGTGAATATTCCTGAAAAAAGTCTTTATTTCTTCTGCTGTGTAAAAGTTCACTTCTCTTGGAGACTCATGCATTTCTTACTTGCTATTCTTACCTTTCCATCTCCCAATCTGGTCCATTTTCAGGTTAAACCTGCTCTCATGAGTAGCTGCCATCAATGACCTAGAGTTTGTTGCAAATGTCTTTTCCTGCACAACTTATGTTATGTATATATCTGATTTGAAATTTGCCTGCACCTATTTCCAGTCAGCATTGTAGACAGCCTGTACATGACAGGAATAGCATATTCCACAATACTTTTGTGACAAAATGTATCACTGATTTAATCTTACAATTTGGCTATTGTAAATTTAATATTTATTTTGCAACCTGGAACATCCTGTGTACAAGTGTTGCAAAATAATATTTTGTTTTATAAAAAAATTCATGAAATTGAAACATGCGAAATTTTGTCACTGCATTGTAGATGCTCAAATGGCCTAGGTTATCCAACCAGGCCAGGTTGAGGTTTATCAAAATGTAGGTTCATTTAAAAACTTTATTTTTCCAAAGAGAATAAATGGGTCTACTTTCTTGTCAGATTAAACTGACTTGCAAAAGTATTTATCCAAATGATCTCCACTGAAATGTTTCAGGGAAAGGAGGAAAGTGGTTAAGGATTGGTGGACATTCTGGGTGATGTGACAGCTACTAGGATACAGACAAATATGAACACTTCAGGGCAGATAGCACTGTATGATCCCAAATAACATAATTTCCACTATTGATACCAAAAGCATCACTTGAACAGCAATTGGCCTTCATGTTGCTTGACTGCTTCCTTCATCTGCTGAAACCATGGTCCAATTTTTGTGTGCCTCTGAACATCCTCAAAGGCTTGACATCCTTCTATTGAGCTCAGTGTTCCATACACTGCCAAATCTGCCAGATTAGGCTTGTCACCTCCCATGAAAGGAGTGCCCTTCCTTTTCAGTGCCCTCATCCAGTGATTGCAGTCATCATATAGAGATATGCGCACATCATCTTTTAATTGGTGCCTAAAATGGAAGATATGTTTGAATTTTGAACTGTGGCATTCTCAGGGTGCTCAAATAACACACATTCCTCTGCACTTCATGACTTAAAAACCCATTTTAAAATGTATATTTTTGAGACTCAAATGATCAAGAAAAAAAGTGCATGAAGTGAATTTTTAGCTTTACCCAGGGCAATACATGCTCCTTGGACTCACCTCTTCTTCAGTCTCCTTCCAATGAAATACATTGCTGTGGCACCTACATAAATGACAACATTTCTCTCAAACCAACTGAAGTGCTTCTCCCACTCTCCAACCTATAATCAAAAAGTAATTGCCTCCTGAGAAAAAAATTTTGTTTTACACAATACCTCTTGATTCTTACACTCACCTGAGAAAACCAAGTAAAAGCTTGTAAGGCTTCAGACACTGTTCTGTAGATGTTGGGTGACAATGAATGGACAAGGACATCATCAGACCACTTCCTCCATTTCTTCTCTTCCCTTGTCATAAGATATTTTTAAAAATCATGTTGGTCCTGGACCATGAACAACATTCAAGTATATGTCTATACTATACTGAAATTTGCTCACATTAAATAATCTTTGGTTCTGTCAACAGGAGCATCCTGAAACATGAGGTTGTACTTGTTCAGAATCTCAGTGACTTCTTTCCCATCTTCTTTCATATATGAAACATATGGGAAGCACTTAGTCAGTTCATGAAGATCCTTCTTCTTATCATGAAGGAGGCTCATTATTGATGAAATGATCATGGAACTATCATTCAGTTGCTGTAATAAGAAGAAAAGTGTATTGAAACCATGTTACCAAGAACTGGAACCTTATTACAGTACACACTAAACTCACATAAAAGCCATTATCTGAAGAAGCTAATAGGACAGGGACCTTCTTCCACTTGGACCATGTCATCTGCTGCCTGAACACAGGATTCACTTCAATCACATTGTATGGCAGTCCATAATAGTCTAGAAATGCACGAACTTTGCAACAGAATGGACATGATTGATACTGATACAGGGTCAGCTGAATTCCTAAAGGATCAGCATCACAACTGACCTAGAACAGGAAAACAAGCTTGCAACATGAAGCAATATCATATAAGGACCATGAAAATCATGACATTCTGCTGATACACTAACCACTCGGGAAATCTGGTGTTCTGGGACAGCCCCCTTGTCCAGGAAGAATTCACATCCTGTAGGCGTATTCATGATGGGCTTTCTAATCTTGAGGTATTCCTGATATGTCACATATGCTCCCATGCCTCCCCCTATGAGTGCAGCACCCAGGATCACCTTGGTTACTTTGCCTATTTTTAAATGTCCCGAGGTCCTTCGAGAAAAAAGGAACTGTCTCCTTGTGATGCATGGGAGTTGAGGCTCTCTTAGCAACTTCCATCTTTGCAAACGAGAACTTCCTGGCTCTATGCCACAAGGGTTCAACACATGTACCCTTCGGCATGTCGTCGACATTCCCCGGATAACACATCTCCCAGCTCCATTTAGCATCTCGCAGCCTTGCCTTGGAAAACAATCCTTACTCAATCAGTTCCTGAAAACTGGACTAGTTACACCTAGGCCAAGACTGAGCTTACGCTTTATAACCTGAGAATTTGTCCTGCAAGTGACACTTCTAAAGAGATCAAGACTGGAGGAGTACTTCAGTAAAAATCACAGCACTCACTACCGAAACTAGGCGGCATGCGGCTCATGCTTTCATGATGAGTAAGGGGGCCGCCATACTTCGGCTCTTAGCTCAGTGCTTAGGATGCGCGGTGATAATCACGATAGCTGCACGACAATCATCGGATCGACCAAGTCCGAGTTTTCTTTCTGCCCTTGATCCTACAACATAGGCAAAGAAATCATCCCGTTAGTTGATCTTCAGTGGAAGAGAAATATGTTTGTACATTTGAGAGAGAAGGGGATTTGGGTGGCAATTTGCTCATTTAAGCGCACCGAATCGTAAATAAAGTTTGCATCCAACCATTTAAATACCACTTCTATGGAATATACATCAGCGTCATTTCATACAATTTTTGAGTATGCTACACATTAGAAATACTGATTATGAACAGTGCCGTGACAAGGAGAGTGCGAGCGGTGCCCCTGCACAGGACGCTGAACAAAGAGGGGCGCCGATTGGCTGCCGAATTATTACAAAATATGAATGAAAGTTTTAAAAAAATTGCTAATTATCCTGAAATTGATTAAACAACAAAGAGAAATTAATACGTAATGTATTGTTGGTGCCGGGGAAGCTGGAGAGGTGTAGAGAGGGGGGGGGGGCTGGGTTGATATCTCGCCCGGGGGGAGAGGGGGGAGGGGGGCGCTGGATTTATATCTCGCACAGGGCGCCAAATATCATCAGTACAGCACTGACTATGAGTATGATCCGTATTTCCGATCTCAGAATTCTCCAAATGCGTGACGAAATGATTGCCTCTTTCGCATTTGCGACGCTTATCAACGGGAAGTTTTTTTTGGACTCGTCATCACTCGTCATGTATGAAACAATAATGGATGCCACCCTCAGTTTTACTTCAAAAAGTGGAAATGCCTTCCGTTTCAGCGTCATTTCGGACGCTAGGGATTAACCCTTCTCCCTTCAGGGGGGGGGGATTTCTTTGCACAGGGCGTCGAAATATCTAGGGCAGGCCCTGCCCGTTGCTCCCAACAAACTGGTTCTACTTTTGGGAAAGTTTAACCAGTTGCTAAATGCATACTCATATTTCAGACAGCTCACCACCGTATAATCAATTCACAGGATTCACCACCCTTCTCCCTAGCTCTAAGTGGTATGCTCATTAAGCCAAACTTTCCCTTCAAAGATCTGAGCTTTGTCCTTGGCCTCTCACTGCCTCTGCAACAGCATCACAACGTTTCCTGCAAAACACGGCCCTTTGTAGTCCACCTCATGAACTTGAACTCCACGTACGCAAGACTCTGATGAATGCTCTAGTCCTTTACATTTGTGCGGAAGGGCATGTGCATTCCTTAACGCATCTCCACTATGAGTGCCCGTAAGTGCCTTCTGAATTAACTTCAGTTTATTATTTGAAAAAAATATTATAATCTGCATTACCATAAGATGAGGAGGTTACACCCGACCTTCGAGCCATTCCATAGAGCTGAGTGGTTGACTCAGTGGAATCTTGCAACATAACAGTCCCTCTTAATGATTGATGATTTATATATCACTATAAATCACGTCTTGCCACACTGTCGTCACACACAATTCCAGTACCAAATCCACCTACAAATCCTTGAACCAACATTCAGAGAATGTTGGTTCTCTGGACTCTGTAACTTCTCTAGAGCTTCCTTGGTATGCAGGGATTTTCAGATGGAATGTCCCCCCCCTACTTATTTTTATATATACTCACCCTGCTTAATCACTTTTTCGTGTTACAGGCCACAAGCAAGCATTCCTGGAGAATTCCCAAAGCTTCAAAGCAACTCCACTTGGCATATAGTTCCTTATCTGCCATACTACAGTTTTGGAAAGCGTTCTTTTGTCCTTTATGCTGCTCTTCGTTCGCGTTTTTTTCTACTATGAAATGCTTTTGTTTTTGCTGTCTTTTATTTCCAGCACATCACCTCGACTGATCTGCGATCTGTCCAATCTAGGTTCCCCAATCTTGGTTTCCCTACTCTCATAAGTGCAGGGTACAGGGTGCCCTGTACTTTAGGATGGTAGTGCTGTACTTATGTACTTATGAATCACCCTTTACTCAATCGTACAGGGTGATTCATTAGTCTTGATAAATGCCTGAAACGCCGAAGTTCGAGGAAGTCTCAGCAACTACAGGTGCTCATCCGAAAGTTCCATTCCTAATTCTGCTTGATTAAATGTTAATTTTCATATTTCATTCGAAAAAATATGACGTCTTTCTACGACGAGACACGCCATCTTGTTTTTGGAAAATAATTAGTTAATACCCTGAGAATTAAAATGTTGTCATCCTGCGATGTTTATTACAGACCGATTCCAGCCCAACGTCTGTAGATAGCAAAACAGAATCATCAGCGTATGGCCGCCTTTTCTTGACTAAGACCCTTCCAGCCTTCAGGAACATTTATTTTCGCCATTTCCACCCTAAGGTCATTTCACACTTAGCGTGTGACGCGTGCGATATGCGTGTCTGCATGCGTCCGAATGCAAGAGAACATGCGTGTACATCCTTGCCCTCACGCATTTGATTCATTCCACGGATAAAGGAACAACATTTTCAGATTGTGAAATCCTAAATTTGATGCCAGTCAAGGATGGGCTATTCAATACATCACCCTAAAATATACATTATGATTAATAAAAGAAACCCTATTAAAAAAACAGTGATTGCAATTCCTTTCTACTTGTAAAGGCGTGTGAACATGCATGTACACGCGTGTTCCCTTGCATTCAAACGCATGCTTGTCGAAATCGCACGCGTCACATGCAAAGTGTGAAATGGTCTTAATTCCCCTCGTTTGGGAATGCCTGCTCCCCGGTCTTTACCAATTGCCACTGCTCACAGCCACTTTTAATCTATGCTGTAAGACATAAGGTTCGGTCATTTTCACTTTCAAGAATGCTATCTGCAAAGAAGAGAAAAGAGAATAAAAATTCATTGAATTTCCCTTGTTAGAAACAGAATTGTGGGTCCCACAATTATAACTCACGATAAGATGAGGCTTCCAGATGAGCCAAAAACATAATGATTCATCCGAAAATGTAATCACCCTGCATGGTCAGTGGCGTAGCGAGAGGGGGGGGGGGGGGGGGGCGACCCCAAAGTTTGGTTCAAGCCTTCGGTCTAAATGCATCCCCCCCCACCGTTCCGCTTAGCCATCCCCTATCGACGAAACCCTGGCTACGCCACTGTGCATGATCGTAGAATGAGACTCATCTCAAGCTCTCTTTAGGTCTAATTTAGAGACAAGCAGCTCTCACAGTACCGCTCCTTTTGCTTGAAAAGTGATTTGCAAATGAAGTTTTTTGAAATTATGAATGTTTTGTGAGCATGCAAGGTGAGGATATATCTCCCTCGAAAGAAGTGACATTAGGCCTTTGGAGCCAAAGTTAAAAGTAGTACGAATTAATTTGGAAATTACTATAGATATTGTAACATTTATTTACTTTCAGTCTCAATATAAAAGAATTGAATTGGAATGTGGTGGTGGCCTCGTGGCTTGAGCACGTCTGCTGCGCATGCGTGCTGTTTCAGCAACCAAGTCGGTCTCTTCCGCCATGTTCCCCGCTCTCGGTGGGTGAGGTGAGGACGTGGGACTGATCTTTCGTTGCTAAAAATGGTGAGTTATCAGGCTTGATATTTCTGGAGTACGTAAAATTTGATTCCCTATGAGGTGGGATGTGGTTATAGTACAGCTAGGGCCCATGAGAAAACGGTTAACCTTGAAAGGTCCAGGTCCAAATCCAGTCGAAGAAAGCCTGATTGCAGCATTGGAAGGCTTAGTTCAAGACTGAGGCCTACGTGAGCCATGCTGTTACTGGATATAGCCTAGTTAATCCCTGCTAGCGAACATTGACTACCCAATCCATACGTTTAGGAGTAGTTGTGGCCCGTTACCTAGTTGAGACATGAATATTTAGTTGTTCCTTGATATCCATACCTCTCCAGGCAATCGGCAAAAGAAGACCTTGACTATTGCCTGTGTTTGAGTGCAGTAAATGGCGCTCCATTGAGTAAAACATCATTTTTCCATGCTACATTAAGTGTCTACTGCTTCCTTGGTGGATAGGAAGATTGGTTCTCGTATTATTTCTCAAAGGTAGCCCAGGCCCTTAACCCTCTTAGTGCCTCGCTTTCCAACGAGGGATGTTCGAGAAGTGCCACGCATGTGTCTGCAGAAAACGTAGCATTTTAATAAATATACCCTAAACTCTTAGCTCTTTAAAGAAGCAGAAGTGAGAAAATTTCGCAGTCATAGGCAATCTTTATGCAACCAGGACTTGGCCAATATTTCAGCCAGTGGCACAGAGAGTTGATGGCAATCCCAAGCAGCTCCCCTTGCCTGCCTGTTGGGCCCTGTTCCATAGGCCAGCCCATTTACAACAAGCCATTTTTATTCTTACAGGACAAATCAAATAAGAGGCTGCCCGACTAATGCTGGAAGGACCAAAGGGTCCTTTTCTCCTCTTTTAGGAATGTGGTAAAAGTGAATTTATTATTTATTTATTTTTTTTTTATCAAGGCTTTGCTAAAAATCCCCAAGAACAACCAAGTTAATGTAGCTCCCAAGCTATGTTAACTTGGCTGATGGATTGGGTCAATATGAGCCCCATGGGCTTTATAGGTATATTGAGTTTCTGGGCCTTCTAATGTTGTAAAGAAGCTGAGAATGGGGCCAGGATATGAACCCTCAATGTTCTACATTGTTTTCCAAGTTGCCCTGGTTACTCATCTTTATTCATCAGAGACACTGATAAGAAACCAGTTCATAGCCATTTTTATTTCTTCCAGTTTTCATAATTGCTTTATATATTTTTTAATTTATCTGCTGTAGTGATTTTAAACCTTTTCAGCAAGCTATACTAGAGTACTAGTCCTTGACCTCAATTGAATCATGGTATTCTGGACAATTGCTTCTTATTGATATTTGCTGTTTTTTTATGACTTCACTTATACCAGTGACAAAACCCATAAGTACTAGTGCTGATAAGCCTACCAGCAGTTAAAAATCACTAGTTCTCTCATAGTGCCACAGGCCAATATTTTAGCACCACCCTGGTTATGCAAAAATTACCATGGACTGATATTATCAACAGCAAAGTTTTATCAATTCAGGGCTGACAAGTGGATAGTGTTGGGCATATTTTGTAATATGTTAAGTTTTCAGCAAAAACAAGCATCCACCTAACATTCCTTGCTGGAAAGCATGGCATTGAGAGGGTTAACTTGGCTTGGGACACTCAGCTCCCCTGTCAGTTCACTTAGCTGATCATCTGATATCAAAAGAATATTTCACTTTGTTTCAAGTTACAGTTATTCCAGATTCCAGCCTTGGTACATGTGAAAAGTATTTCAAGTGGAAGCCTAAGAAATGAGTGGACCAAAATAAGTAGAAAAGTATCCTGGCTATGGCAACCAATGCTCTTAGCATTCTGGTCCACTGTTGGATTCCCTTGTATCACAACCTTCCAAGCTTGAGTTGCCGCTCCTAGTCATTGCTATCACTCAAATCTTTTCTGAAGCTTCATCAGCAAAAGTTTCTTTTTCCAATTGCATCTGGGTTATTCTTTCTAGAATGAATGACAGTATTTTGTGATGCTAAACTTCAATGTCCATGGACATGGTTGATGGACAAACCTCATTTAGGGAAGGTGAAGGGGCCTTTAAGCTAATTAAGTATTTTTCTCTCTTAGGAATCCATATTTTCTTAAAGGACTGTCAATTAAAGAAAGTTTCATCACTTGGGCCTTACCATTGGTCAGGGCCATTTCCAAAAAATAACTCAGTTGCAGTCAAGCTTGGACCTTTACTCCGTCTGAAGTTTGCTGTGAACTGACCTAAAGAGCAGTCCTTCACTTTGTAGTGATGCTGAAAGAGAGCATGCTTACAGATCCCTCCCTCTTTTTCCTGTACTCTATCCACACATGCAATTCCCTGAAGCTGTTATCAAGGGTGCTCAAGAGAAGAGCTGTCCCCTTTATTTCATCCTGGAGTGCAGTCCTGTGGAAATGTTATGGAAATGTCCCACAAAATATGGGATGTGTAGCAGCTCCATTCAAGATCCCTTGCAATCACAATTTTCAATATTAAAGAGATATAATTGTGAGTCTTGTCCATGGAGTGGCTTCCCATCCTGAACAAGGGAACTACTCTCAACTTGGTGCTGAAGGTCATGGAATAGTATGGAATAGTTGTAAAGATAGGATTCAATCAAAAATTCAGTCCAAAAACAATAGCTAAGAATGCTGCTGCTCCCAACTCTGGTGTTGCATCCTGAGTTAACTGGGCTCACTATGGATATAATCCCTTTCATATGAACACAAATTATCCTTAATTCATTATATAATTTCTTGCTAGGTTTGAATGGCATTTGTATTTCTTTCTTAACTGATATAAAAGGTTAGTCTTTAATATTTCCTTTAACTGGTGTTATGCCTCACAATGCTTTGACTAATGTGAGGAATAGCAAGCAATTCACATCATAGAAAAGAGAGTCGGAGTTGGTCCACTAGAAGTATTTCTATAGCTGGAGATAGTTATCATGGTAATTGATCCATTGTTCATTTGGTTCCATTTCCATGCTATTTTTCCTCATAGTAGCTATCCTCTATCGTACTTAGTCCGATGCAATCTTGATGTTTGGGTCATCATTGCATTTCACAGGGATTTGTCAAGGTTGTCAAGAACAAGGCTTATTTCAAGCGGTACCAAGTGAAACTCAGGAGGAGGAGAGAGGGGAAGACTGACTACTATGCTCGGAAACGTCTAATTGTCCAGGACAAGAATAAGTACAATAGTCCTAAGTACAGGCTCATTGTACGATTCACCAACACCAATGTCATATGCCAGGTGAGCTGGTGAAATATTGCCTATTGAAGCCAGTGATGACTTTGAAAGATGAAGTGTGATTTGAAAGATAGAAATACTTATTTGGAATTTTTTTATCTTCAGATTGCATGTGCTCAAGTTCAGGGTGACAAGATTGTGTGTGCTGCATACAGCAGTGAGCTTCCTCACTATGGAGTGAAAGTTGGGCTCACCAACTACGCTGCAGCTTATTGCACTGGGCTTCTTGTTGCTCGAAGGGTAAGCACTTACAAAACCATACTGAGTGGCCCAATTGTACCAATGCTAGTAGATGCAAACTAACAATAACTCACCTTTGCCTTGCTTTGACAAGTCTTGTAATCATTTATATATATTAATTATATTAGCAGAGACTGTTTGTAACTGCTCTGTATGTTGATAGTGCCAATGTTGGTGTTAGTCACCATTGGTAACATGAAGTTGTAATGTTTGCTTTGTTGTGTTTTCCTGTAGCTCTCCCTATCTCCTGAGGGAATCCTTATTGTCAGTGCTGAATTCTAAGTTGCTAGTTAATGGGACTGGGGGAAACCACAAATATAAATGGTTCCAAACGAAATGTAAATAAATATATGGGGGAGAATAAGTCAAGAATGATGGAACCAGGCACAATCCCCCTTTCCCTGAGGGAATGGGGATCTGCTTCCCCTTGGCTGTAGGCTTGCAAAGGCAAGCATCAATGCCCTATCTAGTACATAACATTCACTGAAAAGAAGTTTGTTAATTTTTTTGTGACTTATAATTTCAAAACTTCCCTTCATGTGCCAACACTTTCACTTTCTGCTGGTATATCATTTTGAGAAAGTCTAGAAAAGGAACAAGTAGGCAATGGGCAGACAACAGAGATTTGCCTCAAAAACTGCAAACCCAGAAGTATACCTAATTTTGTGCTATTTTTTGGCTTCAAGTTTTTTCTAAAGCCTCTCCAGACACTACTTCATAATATTCACTCAGATCAATTCACTATTCAGTTGCTCTTGGGTTTGCATTGGATGCATTGCTCTTGGGTTTTGATAAACATATTAACAAAGTAAACATTTTCCCAAGTTCTCAAAGTAAGAAAAGAAACTGCTGCTTTCAAATTATACTTTGAGGGTAACATGATTTGCTATTACGTAAGAGCTATTCCCTGTGTCTTGGTCTCATGTCATTTTGTAGTAATTTCAAAAGAAATGAACACGTATGAAGATTTTGCTATGAGTCTTTTGATAAATTTATTATCAGCAATTATACAACATTCACCTATACAAAAAAATATGAGAGAGAATTAGTGCTGGTGTGCATACAGTCTGTACTTACTAAGGCTGCCAATTAATCAAATTTCAATATTTTCTGACGATTTTATTCCCATTGAGGTTTGACTTAAATACCCCCACCCTGATGGTGAGAGACTCTCACCATCAGGGCCAGATTAAGTTGTGAGACCCAGGGCAAGTGGATTCTTGGGACCTCCCCCTAGACATTTTATCTGGTTGTGTGAGGAGCACACAAACACTGGTGGTGCAAATTTTCATATGTAACTGCTGTGTTATGCAAATTCTTGAAGTAATTGATTTCCTTCTAGGGGGGGCCCCCCTTGAAAGATTGGGGTCCAGGGCAGCAGCTCCAATTGCCCTTAATCCAACCCTGTTCACTGTATACCATGGAAAATTTTTCATCTCTTCAATTTAATATTACTGGAAATGAACCACATTTCTGAACTGGACCATCATAGCTGTAAGGGGAGGCCTGACATAGGACCCACCAGAGAAACAGCCTATGTTAGGACTCCCCTGACAGTAGATCAGAAAATGTCTATTTAGTTCTTTTTTTTTTTGCAATAAAATGTTAACTTGTTAAGGAAAAAAGAAAATGTCATCTTAGGCTCTTATCTGTATGTGTGTTGTGCCCAAATCATTCAGTGCATTAATGCATTGTAGACTGTCACATCACCTGATCTCACCCAATCAATCTTCTCTTTTACTTTTTGGCTGCTCATGGGCATTGATAACAGTGGACAAAAATGTATTTCTCCTAAGTAGGGGGGAGATACAATATTAGCATTTGACTGATATAATTAGTAGGGATGTAACGATATATCTGTATCGGTTATCGGGCTGATAATTACTAATCAGATAAATATCGGCATTCCGATATTTTGCTTAGTCAATATTCGATATCTAAGTGCATGATGAACGTCTGCTTCACTCATTATAAATGCAACTTAACTGCTGACACCATCATCCAGTGAGTTTCTATCAGTATTTTGCTTATGTAGTCATAGGCCTACCTCATTAATATTAGGTGCCATGAACGCTTCCCTGAATCCAGTTGTCATATATCAATACTCTACACCATTTTCACTGAAGGGAGTCTAATGATATTTGACACCTCTTTGGAGGGAGAGAGACTGTAAGTTTAAATGGAATTGGGAGTCAGTACTAGGCCCATGTACGATGATGTGAGGAAGGAGCCAATCGAAGTTCTTTCTATTGAAAGATTAATGTTCCAATATCAATTATTGTTTATTTACCTTGATTATTTGCAATTTTTAATTGTTGAACTACTGGATTTCTTCCTGGATTTCAGAAAAATTCCTGAGTGCTGACTGGAATTCTCAAAAATCCCAGTAAATGAACTCTTAAAAATTCTTCAGCTTTGAGTATTAAGTGAAACTACTCCCTCCATGGAATTGTTTGTAGGAAGCAATAAACCAGAAGGAAAATAAAACTTGTTTCCTTGACCTCTTTTTCTTTTCTTGGATTCTTGTTTGAAAGCTTCGTTCAGTATTTTTTCCAATAATATTGGATATCGATATCAGTTATCAAATATCGGAATACAAAATATCATATTATCGGAAAATTCTAATATCGTTACATCCCTACTAATTAGTTTAGATGAGTCTAGTTCAGTAATCTTGTAAAGTTGGAATTCCTTATTGCAGCTCTTGAAGAAAACTGGGCTGGAAAAGACCTATGTAGGGTGTACTGTAGCCAATGGTGAAGAATACTCTGTGGAGAGTCTTGAGGATGGTCCTGGACCATTTCGTTGTTATTTGGATGTTGGTCTTACTCGAACCACCACTGGAGCACGTGTCTTTGGGGCTATGAAGGGAGCAGTGGATGGGGGTTTGGATATTCCTCATAGGTAAAACATCCTAGACTTTCCTTAGTGAGATTTGAATTGTGGGAAACTGGAAGTGATTATCCTTTTTGCAATTCCAGCTCCAAGCGCTTTCCAGGTTTCAATACTGAGACTAAGGAGTATGATCCTGAGGTCCATCGTCAGCATATCCTTGGCATCCATGTGGCAGAGTACATGAAAAAGCTTCTGGAGGATGATGAAGATGCCTACAAGAGGCAGTTCTCACGTTACATCAAGCTTGGCATAACATCTGATGATGTGAGACTCTACTTGAATGCTTTTAATTCTCTGAATAGTTCATTCAAACTTGCATCGGCCTATGGAAGTTCAATACCTGCATCTTGTTTCAGATGGAGCCCATGTACAAGAAGGCACACGAGCACATTCGCAAGGATCCTTCGCCTAAGCCAGTGAAGAAGGACAGGACTGGCAAGGTGCAGAAGAGGTGGAATAGGCGCAAGCTGACTCTTGCTGACCGAAAGAATAAGGTTGCCCAGAAGAAGGCATCTTTCCTGGCCAAGCTGGAGAAAGGAGAGGTTAATGCTGCTGACCTTCCTAAATAGTGAAAATGCCACATTGAGGTTTATTAATAAATGAGGTGGCTCCTGAATGGGATCTTGTGCTGTGGAGTTTCTATCTTGATCTTATATGAGGATAGGGGATATCATCAAGCTCCAAATAATGTTTTTCATCTTTCATGTGATTGGAATTTTATCTGAAAACTGAAGGACTGACATGAACATCCAAGGACCCTTATTGCCGAATCCTGTTGCACTATGTACCACACTTACATTATAGAACTCTGATTTCCTCAGCTAACAATTTAAGTAGGGGTAACTTACTGGCAATAACCATTCCATGGAGTTGCTTTTTTATGTGCATTTATGCAATTTGCTGTTCCCAATTCTGGAGCAAAACTTATTCCAATTTTGCTGCTTGCCTTATGTAAAAAAAAGAAAAGAAAAAAGGATCAGTACTTGCAAACCACCTGTTGACTCTGGAAAGTTACAAGAAACAGCACATAGAACAAAAATCTCATTGAGTGTAGTCAGCAATAACAATGATGACAATTAGAAACAGCTGTTGTCCTACTCGTGCTTCTGCCTGCATGGGAATATTTAAAAAAGCTGATTGCTATTCCAACATGGCATGTGGGTGGAATTAACAGCACCCTGTTTCATTGTTTTGCCACTCCTTTCCCAAGAAAATTTCCAAGTTTGAATTGAAATGAACTGAAGGTGTTCACTATAATTGTTCCTTGATTAGATAATGTCCCAATCCCAAAGAGATCCTTTTGACCTATTCAGGCCATAGTGCTTTGTATGTGTGCCAAATCCTAGGCTTTTTACTTCCCTTTAGTCTAAGGAGATTAAAAACCTTGTTTCATGTTACTTTTGGTCCACCAAATGGGGCAATTGTAACTTGGCTGAGTAAAATTCTCTCCAAATGTACTGAGGAGCATATGGGGTAACTGATTGATTGATTAAATTCCACATTAACTTGAATTTTTGAAAAACAGCAAATGCCTGAAGATGAGGTAACAGGAGCTAATGAAGCTGAAGCAGCCAGAACCACATTCTCCTCTGGCCGTCATGAATTTTGGAACAGCTTTGAGTCATAGAAAGTATGCTCTGCCTCATCCAACCTACTCACCTTCATCTCTACTTATCCTTCTTCGTTTCCTTCTCAAAAATATTTTCAGAACCCAGCAATCCTGCTTGCCTAGGCTCGAAACCTTAACTGGAGCTATCCCTAGCCATCGACATAATGGTAACTTAGTCTCAGATCCTTGATGTAATCCTGGCTTGTTAGAGACTTCAGAGAAATCCATAGAAAACAAGATAATTGCATTGGATTAAGGCCTGACAAAGATCGTGATTCATGACTAGACTGACGAAAGCACAGGAAAAGTCAAAAGAAACTGAACTTCTGCTTGCAGATCGACTTCCACACCCCCTTGAACGTTTCATGGTTGCCCTCGGCCTCATTTACTCTTATCTCCTATATTTCCAATATTTGAGTCTTCTGTTAATAGATTAGGGTCTAGTGCAGAATTCCTTGTGGTCATATCCAGGAGTCAGAGGTGTCTACCTGGTGACACCTTCCTTGGTCCTTTGGAGTATCCACCGCTGCCGTTTCCCCACTAATGCCTTATTTCCTAGACTTCTCCCAAAACTCATAATTTAATCACGTATTATTAATTTTAAAAATAAGTTTGACATGACGAGATTTAAAAAATATTGAATTCTAGAAATGAAAGTATTTCATGGTCGAAGGCACTTTCACCTCATGGTAGGAAGTTCAATTTTCCAGTATGGGCAACAATAGCGACTGAAACCGACCGGGCCAGCGCCACAACCAAGATGTCTGGAAATGTTAAGCAATTCCAAGAATGGCGATAAATATCAAGAGAGAAGGGAGAGGAGGATTCGCTACCTGTAAAAGAGCATGCTGAATGAAGATCCATGGCTTTACTTTGATTATTATCCATATTTCACATATGTGCAATGTCCCATTTCGAGGTATTCTAATTGAACTGGTTCTGGTGTATTTTGCATTGATTTACAAGTTGGATTAGATTTGGCTATGAATAGCCTGATTGCAACGTGTTCACTTCTGCCGACTTAATTCGCTTAGCGCTGTTTCTGATGCTATCTAACCACATTTGCAGTAAATGGTGCACATTTGCGCATGTCTCGTAAGTTTTATTTTTCTATTGGTGCGTTTTGCACTATTGTACTGTATTTCTGTTTTCAAATTCATTTTGATTGCGAAATGATCTCTGTAAAGACGTCATAGGAGTCATAATGGGTTGAGTTGAAATACGGGAGGCCCGCCGGCATCCGTCGCCGAAAACCCATTTTCACGAAGATAGATAGGTCAAGTTAACCCATCGTACGGCATTGCATTAAGCATGTATCACCTATTGCTGCTAATGCCACCAGGTTGCGATCCCATTAGGTGCTCCATTCGATATGAATTGAGAGCATCTTGTTTCCTATTGCATTCTGTTTTAGGTACCGGAAAGAGTATTTAAAAATAGCCTCATTCCTGTGGTTTTACAAATGAAACTATTTTATAGATTAACCTTTTTATTTAAACTTATATAATAATAATAAAATTATGAGTTGGAGACTTACTTTATTTTTCAATTGTCAAGGATCTCGAGCAAAATTGACGATTAAGAATTCCTCTCACCCCTCCATGAAGATTTCGGAGTCGACTGAAAGCTCAGGTATGGAATAAGTTATTTGTGTCTATAAATAAAAATGCTAAACCCACCCACTTAATGGTTGGCTCGTTATATTAATAGCTCATGAAGGAAAAGAGCACGTTCTACTAAATGTCATTTCATCTGACAACATGAATGGGTTTTTTGTGTCTGGAAATAAAGTGGTTATCGCCTTTTGTGTTCGAACCATCCTCTTCTCCCTCTCTTCCCCCATCCCCAAGGCCCCTTTATATCCTAATATTATGCTTTATATTGTCTCTCTGCCTTCTGCCTCCTCTGCATAATAACGTGACACTAGTGGGGTTCTGAGGTTTTCGGACAACTCAAGCATGATCCTTTCCTTAGAAAATTCACAACTACCGTCCCATATTCTACTGCCACGTGATCTAAGTGCATATCCGGTGGGGGGGAGGTTATTGCTGAACGAAAGGGACGAAGGGGAAGGGGATTCTGTGTTAAACGAAGTGAGGTAAATGAGGATCATGAACCTCATCGTATCCAACTTGTGTCCTCATGGGAACTGCACTCTGCCAAGTTGTTCGATACTTCCCTGTGAATCATCGAGGGCGACTCTCCTACTTTTAACAAAAATAACCACAAAACCACTGAACTTATACGTGACTGCAGACCTCCCAGGGGAAAACGCACTTGCCTATATCTATAGGCCTCCCCCTGACTTGACATCGGCCCATTCGTGTTTCTGGTCTGGTCCAAATTATTGCCCTGAATACTCATTTACTGCCTGCCGGTACGAGTCGCGAGAGCATTCATTTCATGTATACAGGGTGACGCAAAAGTTCCCGTCATTTTTTAAAGTTATTTGTTTTTTTTTTTTAACTAAACCTCTGCTACCTTAGCTTAACACGCGTGGCCTACAATGTTATGGATTTTTCGGCCGAAAGGATTCGTGAACCCCTCTATAGTCGTGTTTGGCAACGAATGTTAATTTTTTAGGCATGAATTCATTTCGACCTGCAATTATCCGTTTGTTTGAAGGAGAGCGAATTTCTGAGATCGGCCTCTTGCTCAATTTGCCACGAATGACCGTCTCCGATGCCGTCAAACGTTACCAAGAGACTAAGAGCAATAATGACCGTGTTCGCAGCGGTCGTCCGAGGACTTCAAACACACCCATCAACCGAAAAACGATCAAGGAACGAATCCAAAGGAATCCTGGGTGATCGACAAGGAAACTCCCCGAGGCTGCCAAAATTTCCCGAATATCAGTTCAGCGAATACTCAAAAATGATCTCCAGCCCAAGGCTTACAAGCTACAAGAAGCCCACCTGCTCACCGACACAATGAAAGCTATTCGACTGGAGAGATGCAAAACTTGGAAAAGACGATTCGCGGCTGGACGACACAAATCAATTCTGTTTTCGAACGAGAAACTCTTCACGATCGAGCTGACACAAAATCACCAAAACGACAGGATTCGGGCAGCAGAAGCTCCTCTTTAAGGCAGGGTTGTTGGCCGCAGTCAAACACCGAAGTCTGTCATTGTCTGGGTCGGAGTTACAAGCGATGGTAAAACTCCACTCGATTTCGTTGAGTCAAAATCAATCAACAGATCTACCGAGAACAAATTCTGTAGGGTAAACTGCTTCCATGGGCTCAAGAACATTTCGGAGAAGAAGAATGGACAGGATTCTGCACCGGCACACAAGGCTCGAATCACCCACGATTGGATCAGAGACAGTTTCCAGGATTTCATATTTTCTCAAGAATGGTCGCCCTATTCGCCTGATCTCAACCCTTTGGACTACTCAATATGGAGTATCTTGGAGTCGAAGGCCTGTGCAAAGCCACATAAATCAATTGATTCACTGAAGCGAGCTCTGAAGAAGGCATGGGATGAAATTCCTCTAGAGACTTTGAGGAAAAAAGTCATTGACAACTTCCCGAAGAGATTGAAGCAGTGCATCGACGCCGGAGGTAGTCATTTCGAGCAAAAACGATCTCATCGTGTTCCCAAGATTATGGGAACTCTTTTCTCACATTGCTTTGAAAATAGTTGAGATCTTAAATAAAATTTGAACTTTGAAAGAAATGACTGGAACTTTTGCGCCTCCCTGCACATGTAACGTTGCAACTAATTACTGCAAGTTTGCATGTATCTCGGGCGCATCATCGTGGGTTCTTCGTGCCTATGCAACTTACTCTTTGGTACGTCCATTTCGTGGACCCCCCGTGACTCAAACACTCCATTGCTCCATTGACTCCAACCCCCCCCCATCCCCCTCCATGACGAAATTGAAGCGGCTTCTCCGCTTTACCGCGGGTCTGCACGCCACTGTGTGACTACCTTCCAGACTGGGATTACCTATTTATGGAGTTGAATCTGATCCGGCTCATTTCTTGTAATCTCATGAAATTCTCAGTG